TCAACCTTATTTGCTCATGTCTGTTCGAATACCCTGGTGAACGAGCCCCGACAACGGTCGGAGGCCGAGAGCTTAGCGCGTGGGTGTCATGATTGTCTATGCCCGTGAGTGGGTGTGGGCGCACGAGGGGGTATTGGAGGCCTAGAGCTGATTGATGGCTACCGATGATTTGTTCGGGCAGTTTTTAAAAGCCCGCTCTATTGCCTACTTAGTCAACGAGCACGGCTGTCATGAATCATGTCCACGGGTAACTAGAGCAGAGGAGCTTATACACAACACGTAAGACCCCTCCCACGCCTGGCGTTGAAGTAGCCTCAACTGGGCGTAGACTCCGGATTCCGGGCAGGTCTCGGAGTCGAACCTGGTGGGACCTGTGCCCATTGCATTTGGCAGACCTGCAGGCTTGCGGCACCAGGCAAGCTATTCCGACAGGCGTGTTTTGACTTTATTTTCCACCCCCGAGGGCTTGAGCTCTTGAAGCAATGGTGAAACAGGGAGTGAAGATTAGATCCCATCGAACCACTGGAGGGAGATTGAGAACGGAGTGAAGAGCTTTGTTTCAAAAGCAGGCCGGACAAGTAGTATCCAATATTCTTAGTTATTATTTTCGGAACTAAGGATAGCACGAACGGTGATGACTCGGATGTGGGCGGGAATACGGGCAACGAGCGGTGGTTCGAAGCCACGAACTAGGGGGCATTGTTTGAGAGCTGGCTCAAGTCGGAGCTGCTGATCTGTGGCTTTCAACAAGAGGAGATAACGATAGAGAAGGAAGGACAGAGAGAAAATCTCATGCAAGATGGTTGATCCGAGTCAGACAAATGAGTGGGTTTCGGGGCACCTTTTCCACTGGGATTGTGGTGGTGGTGGGCACAGCAGGGCAACAACAAGAAGAGAGAGGGAGAAGAATTGAAAGGGTGAAGGGGAGAAAAAAAAATAAATACTCAAACCCCAATTGAAGGCAGGAAAGGGAAACAAGACAACTGAAGCAAACCGAACACACACTGACAAACAGCACACAATCTCAGGTTACAACCAAACAATCTTTGATGGAACAATAACTAATCGATAAGTAACTACTCCATGATTCACAATCCAATTATTCTCTACCCAGCATTCGAGTCGAGGAGGGCTGATCAACCCACACTTGTACAACCAGTCAATCAATCTTAATTCTCCTGCATGGCCTCAACTGAGTTAAGCAACTACCACGACAAACCTACTTAAGTGGACTCACACATGGTCCCGATATTAAAATACGGATCATTCTCCGATGATGATTGACGGTAGTCTCCAACCCACACCCACATGGTCGATCCCCTAAGACCAAAACACCGTTAGTGTAACAGCGCGCCCCCCTTCCCCTTCAGCACTTGGGCTTTTTAACACTGCCCATAGCCAAGATCCCTTTCTTCAAGATCAACCAATTATCGTTGCATTCCATTGGCATCTCTAAGACACCATAAAAGTTACATACAATTATGATACAGTAACAGAGTGAAACCAACCCCATGGCTCATCATCACCATCACTCCCCCCCTTATTTTTGGATCCCAGATGCCAACCAATAATCGCTGCAACAAAATGCAGTGGGGTAAAGAATCTCTCTGCTGGAAAAGGAAGACAAACGGGAGAAGAGAAGAGAAGAGAAAATGAAGAGAAAGAAAAGAACAGGGCTAGCTATTAAGACCAAAAAAAATCGAAACCCACGAAAAGGAAAACGTTACATAAGATCATCCAGCGCCGCCCAAGTCATCACTCACGCAAAGTTGTCCGACCGATCCACCCAGATATCTTCCAGCTCAGCAAAGTTCTGGAAGTGCAATGGGCGGTGCTGATCGTCGTAGAATTTCAAAGGCGTGTCGATCTTGACATACACTGGCCGCTTCTCCACACTGCCGAAAGAGCTTCCCATGAAGCTATAGTTCCACACGTTATCCTCCGGAACAAGGAAGTATCCACGGATCTTGTCACTGAGCAGAAGCTGGCACTTCTCTCCCATGCTAGTCGAGAACCCTTGGGGTTGGTCGGAAGTCATGTCCCGATTTTCAGCACCCCACTTGTAACCCTGGGGAGTGAGTCCCCACGCGGCAAGCGAGACCGATCCAGGGGTGAAGGAAACAGTCATCGTGACCGTCTTCTTGTCCCAGGAGGAATGGGCATTCATCAAGCGCGCGTGCTGCGTCACATCCGCGGCCGTCATATAGTGTGGTTCATTGCCGGAGATAGTATGGATCACACCAAGAGGCTCAAGGTTGTTCAAGTAATCGTGCTGAGGTAATTGCTGTGGCAGTTGAACCTCGCGCGTGTTACCCACCTGCGGCACCATGACGATCGTGCGAATCTCCTTGACCTGATCGTTATCGGGCGGCGAGCTACCATAGAGGAAACCGGCAACTTGCACACGGAGATCAGCAATGGTGATGAACCGCTTGAGGATGTTCTTTGGCATGATGTAGGTGTAACCTTCATCCCTGACCTCGTCGGAAGAGATGTAGATGTTGTTCGACCTGGTACGCAAGTTGGACGTCGCGATAGCACGGGTACGCCACTCCGTCTTCGAAGAAAAGGATTGCTGTTCGTACTGCGACGTGGTCGTGACGATGATGTCCTCGCCCCGCACGTTCTGTGTCTTCGTTGTAACAGCGGTAAGCTGCTTCTGCTCTTCCTGTTGCTTCTCAATCTCGGCAGCTTGCTGGCGCTGCAGAGAAGGCGCACTAATCTCCATACCCAGGATAATATCACGGACTTCGCTGCTCGTCAAGCTCTGGACGTTGACATTGTTCTTCTTGCCATAATCATTGAGGATGAGGTCGCGCAACTGAACTTCAACCTTCATCCAGTCCTCATCCGACAACGAGGGCCAAATGTGATGCTCCTGTGTGATGACACTCTTGTCAGGTCTAAGGATAATCTTGGCCTTGTCGATGTTCACGTGAAGCGCGCGCAGGATCAGAATCAGACGAGAAAAGGCGATGTAAGGAGAAATGGACTTCAGCCATTCATCGTACAGGTTGAACAGAACCATCTGAGGCTCAGTCGCTCGGAGAATCATGTCAGCGAGCTTCTCCACCTTCATGGCAGCCTGGAAGGGCAACTGGAGTTCCGAAGCACGAATAGAAATGTTGGGGAAGTCCAGCAGATGCACTTCAAGAGGATCCAGAAGACCCTTACGCGTGACAATAAGTTGCTTGGGCTGCTCCTCAACAGGCAGAGATCGAATAAGCGCTGCGACTTCTTCGGCCGTCTTCCACTTCGCCAACTGACCGAGACGCTTCTGACCCGCCCAAACGCTGGTGTGGATGATCTTCAAGAAAAGCTGTCCAGTGCGAGGATTGAAGATGAAGATAGCACCGTTGATAGGCTTCGTCGTCAAGTTACCTTCGAAGGTCTTGTGAATAGTCACACGGTAGACGTTGGTATCGTCGATGAACAACTGGATTTGCGGACTGAAGAGCTCGGAATAGTTCTGAGAGTTGAGGAACTCTTGGTTGCTTTCGGAAGCGTACAGCTGCAGACCCTTGCGAATACGCTCTCTCAACACGTACAAAGCCGGGTTCGCCTTCATGACCTTTGCCATGGCTTGTTGGATCAAAGTCTTCAAACCAGGGAAGTACTGTCCGTAAGCGGAATAGAGGTTGTATGCAAGATCAATGCCAATCATCAAACCAGTCGCCGACGGATAGATACTCATGCTGTCGGTGGTGTAGTCCAGGTACTTGGCACGGACGTATCGCTCAATATCGTGCGAGTCGTAATCACCGTATCTCAGTTGAACATCAAGCCAGAACTTATTAGTGGTCGTCGGCTCGTACACATCCTTGGTATCGAATAGCAGGGAAGGACGGGTGACGTTCCACTTGTTCGTGGCGAAAAGAAGAATATCCGCGCAAGAACTGTTCATCTTGTAAGACTTACGTGGATGGATAGTCTCCTTCTGCACGGTCTCAATACCCAGCTGCTCGAGTTCTTGGTCGAAGACCTGGCACAGATCCATAACCACAGACTCATGGATCTTCTGCCACAAATGCGCACGGAAAATCTGAATCAAAGAGATTTTCAAGGTAGGAATCTTTCCGTGCAAGAAAATACCTGTAAGGTCCAGTTGTACCTGGAAACCCACGTACACGTTCGCACGGTTAATAGTGGGAGACCACCACAAAGTGAACCGACGGTTCGGAATCTGATTCAAACCAGATCTTTGAGCATTTGTGAGCTTCTTGAACTTCATCGATTCTTCGAAACCGGAGTTATGGAGGACAAAATAATCGTGTCGCAAATAAAGCTGGTCTTGATCAACCCTGAAACCAGCCCATTCTGTGGCCTCAGACTCAAGGGAGATGTCCTCGATCATGAAGCTATGCATTTGAGGAATAATGCGTTCGCATGCCTGCTTTCGAAGGAGGAGACAGGGAATTTCTGAGATGTTTCCGGAGATTTGCGCAAGTAAGTGAGGCGTTCGTTCACGCCGAGTGGGTTCCCACATCATTCGCTCGGTTGTCCAGACACTGAAGCCCAAAGATCGTGCCAGATTGACGACGTCCCAGAACAACTCGGAGTGCCAAATCTTGCTCTGAGCGAAACCAAACATGTTCTCGGGATAGACATACCATCCGTCGGAATCGAGTATTCCAGCCAGAACAGCAAGCCGGACAGCTCGGGAATTCCTCATATAACTTGATGGGATACGTTTCTTGTCCGTCTGTGCACCTTTTTCACCATGCGCGAGTAGCTGCAATTCGTCAAGAGCAACACGTAGAGAGTTGATGTCAGGCTTTCGCTCAGTTGTATCGAGGATTCCATCAATCAATTGTTCTTGCTCCTCATGAAGCAGTTCACCATAGGCAGCACGACCGATCTGAAGATGGACTCGCTTGCGCTCAAAATTCTCCTCTGAATCTTCAGATTTCGCGAGATCCATATTGTTCGACATGTCCGAGACTTCATCGGCATCTTCAATGATGTTGACCAGGTTTAAGTCGAACTCTTCAAGTTTAGACTCTTCGGGAATGTCGCCATCTGCCTCCGATAGCTCGGAAGTAGGATAAGCCAGACGATCAATCGGAGTCTCAGGAACCGTTGCTGGTGGAGCTAGGGGCTGAGATTCTCCCTGGGAGCAGCTTAAGCAATGCTTTACTCCGGTTTGAGGGACTTTCGGGCCCAGATTTGAAATCTCGGAGGCTTGGACATCTGGTGCTTTCCAGATTCTGACTTCCCCAGGCATACGCCCAGATTGGGTCGTCCAACCAGCGGCAAGACGCTGCTTCACGATGGTTTGTCGCGCACGACGAACTCCGGGCCGGTCGACTGGATTACTTTGAGCCGGCGGCATCTGGCGATCTCCAATGTTTGTCCTACCTACCGTCAAGTAGCCGAGACTTGCATAATGAACAAGCTGCAAATCGAGTTCGGCTGCATGATTTTGGAGGAATCGGACAATTTCCGCTTCGTGTTGGTTGTTGGACATGGTTGATCCACTGCGAGAACCATCGCCAAGCCAGAGTCCCAAGAAGTAAGGATTGACAGGGACATCAACTTCCGGCAGTTCGAAACCCGGGGATCGGAACAGCCGGTATTTGCACTGCTCATTCTTGTCCAGAGCTGCGAATTCAGCTGCAGTCAACTCGACAGTATCGAATCTTTCTGTTGCCGAAACCTCTGGATGGGCATTGTCTTGTTCGTGACTGTTTTCAGATCCTTTTTCGCGGTGGAGGACCAATATGTGGTTGGGGGTTACCACGAGATCTTCTTTGTGACCTCCAATCTTGATGCGGTAGAGAGGGTCGGAACCACTGACGATGTTGAACGCACGGCGAGGCCCTCCATCAGGTCCCAGGAGCAAGTCACCTTCCTTGACATCCTCGACAGCAATCTTCGAACCATCGTAACGCAACAGCTGAGTACCCTTGGCAAGACAAGCGCGCTCCCAGAATAGACCCTCCCATGAAGGAAAAGCGGTAGCCTTGAAAAGAGTGTGCTCCAAAATAGTTTCAACACCACCCAGCGCCTGGATGACGTCGGTACGGTAGGCATTGAGATTCCACAATTTACCATCGTGCCGCTGGCTTGTCCACCAGAAGGGGTTGCTCTTCATCAACTGGTACTGCTTGAACTCCGCTCTGAGACGGAAGCCCTTGTCGAAACTGAGGGTGCTGCGGTCCTTCTGGAACAGAGTGTTGATACGAGGCAGACCGCGGTCCCAACTGTCCTCCAGGTCCTCCAACGTTAAGCGCCGGTTCTGCTGTTGAGCCTCCTGCCGCTTCTGGGAGTATTCCATCCACACGCGCTGAGAATCGATAAATTCGGCTTCCCAGGGGATGATATAGCGGAAGATGTTGGGAATCAGAGTCTCCTCGTCGTGAGACATACCCGCACGGAAGTGGGTGATGCCGGTATCCGTCTGCTTGGACCAGCGCTTGTCACTGGCGGGGATGAGGATGTGCGAACCGGAAATCATACCCAAACCTCCCAGTTCCTTTGGCGTATAAAAGACGGCGGGAGGGAAACGCGAAGGCATCTTGGAGTTCAATCCGATCTTGACACGGGTCTGGATCTTGGTTTCACATTTCACGATGGTATCCAGAAGGTTGACAGTGGACACAGCAGCTTCACGGTAGTAGGTGAAAAGGGCAATGAGGGCGGTGTTCCACTTGTTGGCGATCTTGGTGAAGGTGGTCGAACCGGATGACATCAGAATCTGACGAATGCGGTTGTTGAACTTCTGGATGTCCTCCTCCGTCACCTGCAGGAAAGCGTGCGCCGTCCGCTCCTTGGTCGAGTTGTCAACTAGGGACCACACACTATCCTTCACCGAGAACTCCTCATTCTGGTTGCGGCACTTCGGAAGAATGCGGACTTCGAACCCACTCATAGAGAACAAGAGGTTCGGGTTGTCCTTGCTGTAGACACTGGCAAAAGTATCATCCCATTCAATAGTAGTGATAGACCGAGGCAAGCGGTTCTTCAGGTCCCAGAACACGGCACGACCCAGGTTGACATCGTGTCGCATCAAACGCATACGGCAATCGCGTGGCCAGCACTTCTTATTTTTGTAACCGATAACGTTCTCAAAGTTGGGATCAGGATTCTCAGTCAGGAAACGTTGAATCAAATCTCTGGATTCATCTGCGGAGAAGCGAAGGAAGACCCAAATCTTGTCCACATAGCGGGTGTACAGACGGATGGGGTGTCTGGTTTCGGTTGCACGGTCCCTGAACTGGAGGAAGTCGTTAGGACTTTGGGGAGGACCGGCCATCTCACTACCTCTTTGCAAGCCGAGAAGTAGCAAGTCAATCATCAAACCATAGTACTGGAACACGAAGCCAGAGAACTGCAGACCCCGGATCAAGCCGTAGCTGTTGGTATGGTTCATGTCCTTGTAGCTGAGCTGCACGTTGTTCTTAGAGGTGATGTAGTCGGCCAGATTGTGGTCCATGATCAGACGCAGCATGCGATTCAACAGAGTAAGATCCATTTTCTCATAGACCTTAGAGAGTTCTGTCTCGATCATCACGTTTGTCTCACCGTCCTCGGTCTCCCATACATTGGATAGATTGTTGATTCCTTGAGCCCACTTGTATGTGAGCAAGGGAGGAACCTCCGAGTCCGAAGGCTTGATCCAAGCCGGGAAGAGGTGGCGCTGCTCCGCTTGGTACCATAAATACTGATCAAGGTAGGCATCGGTAATCTTCTCAATAGGTTCAACATCATACACAGGGTTAATGTGGCTGTAGTTGTCGTTCATGTCAATACCAACTTCCTTGAACGCTCTCTGCGTCAGAAGGAAACGCTTGATACGGGCCAAAGTAGTTCCGGGGGAGTCGTAAGCCTGCTCGATGAGAGCAAGTTCCTCACGCTGGCTCTGATTGAGTCGGCCCTTGACGGAGTAAGCCTCGCGCAGGCGCTCGAGAGCAAGAATCAGGATCTTCGTGTCGTGCTTGTAAGATACACTGGGGAACGGAATAGGCGAGAACTTGCGAGACTCAAGCCAGTGCACCATGGTCGTGTAGATGGCCACAGCCTCTTCAGACGACACATAGGGACCGTCCTTGAGGTAGTTGTGCTGCCGTTCCTGCTCGGCCTTGAGCCACAGACGCGTAAGACGACCAAGGTTTTTCTTCGCAACCGTTTTGTCCACCGTGGCACCACGACGGATACGCTCACGATTGTAATGCGCGACGGAAATCCACCAGTCGGCCTTACTCTTGACGTACCGCAGAATGATGTTCTCGATGGGAGCGGGAAGACCAGGAACCTTCCAGGGAATGTTACTCTTCCAACATCTCCATGCTTCCGAAAGGTGCTGAAGGACCGTGTTGACCTTGTTTTGTTTGATGCCTTCCGGCATCATGTCCATAAGATCTGCCATGACGGAAGCACGGAGCTCAAGATCGAAGTGAGACTCCACACGCTGCTTGGTGACGGTCTTAGCAACACCCTTGCTGTGGCGACCTTCGAATTGACGAGACAGCAAGTTTCCGAGCCATCTCTCAAGCAAAGGAATGATACCACGCATGAAGAAGAGCCAGACACGCCATGCCGGAGCCCAGAAACCACATCCAGGACCCTTACCCACGGGTCCAGAGTTGAACCGATAATAGATAAGATGCTTCAAGTCCTTGCAGGAACGAATCTGGTGCATCAACTTGTACTTGTAACGGTACATACCAGTCAACTGTCCGACGTGGTTGAAGGCGTAGAGGATACCATCGGCCAACTGGAAAGCGTCGATGTTACCCAATCGGTACTGTACTTGAGCGTCGACGATCAGCTTGGTAAGGCGAAGGATTTCCCTCATCAGGTGGAAAGCATTTCCAAATCGGGACTTCTTTCGCTCTTTGGTCGTCAAGGTCTTCACAGGCTTCAGGTTGAAGTTATAATCGAGATGGAGGTAGGTGAGGTTCTTGCGGTGAATTAAAAGATTGAGCATGTTGAAACCCTGGCGACAGACCTGCAGACCAGCTTCAACCCAATCGATGGTGGTCTGCTGGAAGAACTTCGTGGACTTCAACGTCTTGAGCAAGTTCTGCTTGTTCTGGGCCTTGGGCTTCTTCTTGTGCAGCTCATTGAGCACATAGGTCTTGAGAAGCTTCTGGTAAGAAACGCGAACTTTCACAGGCTGACCTTGTGGGCAGTGTTCCAAGTACCACTGCTTGACCAAGGGAACATCTTGTGCGCGCACCATCTTGCCGGACCGCTTGTTGAAAGGGTGAGGAGCCCACCACAGAGCAATGGCGGAGGCCGTGTCCGGGGTGTAAAGTTCCTCATCGGCGAAGAAAGGCTCGAAGTCGGCGGGAAGTTCGAAGTCGTCCTCATCGCCATCACCGAAGATCTCATCTTCATGGCTGACCGTGATGTTCTTAGGGGCGACGGACCGGGAGGAGATAGGGTTGATCACAGGGTCGAAGTAGAAGGCAGGGAGGTTGGGGTCTTCGGTCCGGACGTAGACGATCTGAGGATGAGAGTACCAAGAGAGCTTGACGCTTCTGGGAAGTGTGTTGTACAGGTAGGGGTATGCGACGCGGTATTCAGTTCGGATGGGAGCGCGGAAGATGATTCGGTCGATGGCGTTGAACTCGCTGAAGTCTTCATCGTTAGGGTCGATATCCTTGTAGAGCGGCTCAAAGCGAGGGCCACCGGGGATGGCGACGTTCAGGGCCTTGGCGGTGAAGAAACTGTTTAAGTCGAACATGTGGAAGTAGTTCTGGTCGACGACGTCACTCAACAGCTGATGACTGAGTCGATAGAGTGTGGCCATCTGTGGAAGATTTAAGTTCCAGCTCTTGTAGCTCGGTCCGTTGACATGAGGAGTATCGAGCAGGGGCCGGTGGTCATAAAACCATTCATAGACCGGAGAGTCTTCAGACTCATCGAGCTCCATCTGAATAGGTTCCAAAGGCTCCACATCTTCAATGTTCTCCGACCACGACAATGGGGGTTCCTCATCATCGAATGGAGGGAAGCGCATTCTCTTGAAGTGTCTCCGGTCACTCTTCTCTCTCCGCATGCACACCCACATGGTGGCCCACTGGGCGTGGAAGACGGGCTCGATGACGCGGGGAGTTTCGTTCACGAGTGTCAAACAGCCATTGACATGATAAAGGACTTTGACTTCCCTGGCAGACTCCCAAGGCATGGGCATGTTCTCCAACAGTTTCAGGACGGCATGCGGCATGAACTTGAGCGCACCCAGATAGCTACGTTTCTCGTTGCTGAACTTCTTTTGTGATACATCGCCGATGTCTCTGACGATTTTGCGGAGATGCTCCGGGGGCATATCGGCCTTCTGGGTCTCGACAAACCCGCCCTTCCGTTTCTCGCCAAACCGGTTACGTTGCGTCCGCAGCCATTCATTCTTCTTCTGGGCGAACTTTGCGACGTTCGGGTCGGCCGGAGGTTGATATCCTGGCGGCGGCGGAGCCAAAGGCATCGAGGGCGGCGCCGACGCACCCCAGCCGGGAGGCGGGGGAGGAGGCAGGGACGCCATGATGGAGGAGAAGGGAATTGTTGGAGGAAGATCCCTCTCTCTGTCCTGCTCGACGGTGGAAGATGCTCAGACACGAGTCGCGTAATGATCACGTCGAGGGACAAGTGACTGGAATTATCGCGTGTTCATCGGTTTAGATGGAAGGGAGTAATCGTGATGCGCGAGTAACAAACGCGTTAGATGAAAAGGGTGTTGATGATGAAAAGGGGATAATGGGTATGATATACAACCCCGAAGTAAGATAGAACCGCGCCTGGACGATCCCCTTCTCGCCACGGGTGATAGCAAAGCTCCTCACTTCTGTCTGGCACCTGGCCTTGAATGAAGCAAGTCTGAAAAGAGGTGGCGGCTCTGCCTCGGGCCGGCACTAGGACGTATCTGGGTTAGCGCGGTCTCGCCAAATCTGCGCTAGCGCGGCCGCCCAGGGCTCCGAGCGAAACCCACACAAATCCAGATTACCTGCGAGAATTCTACGAGGTTAACGACGACAACCCGACGACGCCGCCGCCAACTTCTTGACCACTCCAGCCTCGAGGTACGGACAGACAAAATGGCGAACAACAGATTGCAATACGTGAGTTGAATCGATATTGAGAACACAATTTGAGCAGGATACTAATTTTGTCCCGTTCGCAGCGCCGCCGGAACCCGTACGTTTGAAAATTCTCTCTTCCCCTAGCTTTCACACAGTGCACCCTGCATTTGGCTCCCACCAGCGAGCGATTTTTGCTTCGGTTGCTACGACTCAGTCACAATTTGCTCAGTTTTGCTCTGCGACGAGAGGCATAATTCGCAAGCGATGGGATCTTGGGCACCACGATTTTCAGGAAACTCTTTTTAGGGGATGAACATGACATTGATGGATTCTTCGTCTACAGGTACAACACGCGGTCCAACCAGGTTCGGATCATCAAGACCCCTGGCGGTGAGCTCCGTTACCTTCACATCAAGAAGAAGGGTACCGCTCCCAAGTGCGGTGACTGTGGCATCAAGCTCCCTGGTGTGAGTAAACCCCAGTGATTTCTGCGTTTGGGTTTGGAGAAGAGAGATGGGAAAGCAACGACAACCGACGACCAAACGCTTCTCGAACATCGGCATCATACATTTTCGCAACCAATCGCCCAGGGAAAAGGTTTCACCAACCATCGAAAAATTCGTCTCCCAAACGCCCTCCCGAAACGAAGTTGGAGTTGGAAGGAGAAGAGGACATCAGGACCTTCAGCAACGCAGTCAAGCTGATCGTGACCGTGATCATCATCTAGGTTCCCGCCCTCCGCCCCCGCGAGTACGCTCAGATCTCCCGCCCCAAGAAGAACGTCAGCCGTGCCTACGGTGGTTCCCGCTGCGCTGGTTGCGTCAAGGACCGCATCGTCCGCGCTTTCCTGATCGAGGAGCAGAAGATCGTCAAGAAGGTCCTCAAGGAGTCCCAGGAGAAGGCCGCCGGCAAGCGCTAATTGCGTTTTTGTTCTCTCGGACGGTTTCTTCTTCCTGTCATGTCTTTTTTTTGAAGGAGCGGAAAGCAAATGGAAAAATTCTTAAAATTGGCTGGGTTATGGATTCTCCCTCAGTGAATTGAACGGACGGCTAGCGCGGCAGACTTTAAAAAGGGCCCGTGATCAATGAATTATATTCTTGAATGTGAAATCTTCCTCTTCCCTCTTTCATTATCTTTTTTTTTTCTCTCCGGTCTTGTGAGGAGCTAAGCATGGTTGATGGTGTCTGCGTGTGGGAATTCTGTAGAAAAAAGATGATACCCGCTGTTGCCCTCTCGGCAATGCCGAACTGAGATCATATGGCATGCTATCATAGTTAGTTCGAGGCCCAGCGGTGGAATCTCAAACATATCCTCTCTACAAGTTAAGGCCAACGAGCAAGCATCTCGCAGGACGTTCAGAGGGTGTAAGCGGGTCTAGCTCCATCGTGTACACCTCATCTCCCTCACAACGTCCAGAAGCTGCCAGTAGAGCATCTAGACCGTGTTTTCAACCTAAACATGATTGAATAAGTGAAGGAATGAAGGGCCCTCGATGAACGGGAACGAATAACGTTCATACTCCTGTCAGGGGGGAGGGGGTGGATTGAACGCTCAGTGCTGTCACGAAGGTCGCCGAATGCAGTAGCAATCCCCATGTGCCCGCTCGTGCTCGTGCTCGTGCCTGTTCCATGCCTTGGACATCATGTCAAAACGCGTGGCTTTCAGTTTGACGCTTTCATTAGACATCAGCCGCAGTAGGCGAGCCCTTTGCGTCACTACCCAGCCAAGGAACATGACAGCCTGCAGGGTGCGATAACCCGTAAGACTGAAACAAGGAACAGGTAAACCCACTTTGTAAAAATGTAAATATTTAAAATTGAAGCAAACTTAGGACAAGAAGGCCAGGCAACAGCAAGAAAACCTGCCGATACCGAGTATGAAGTCTCGAAAAGGCGGACTATCGCCAAAGAGACAAATGAGGAAATAACACAAAATCCCACCTGAGTACATACAGCTGGCATATAACCTGAGAAGCATAACATACAAGAAGACTGGCTGGTGGATCCCCCCTCTCGGCTCGTACATAAGCCTACTAACTATGCATACCTCCTTATAGTACATCATTAGTTTGGGTGCACGGCGCGTCTAGGGACCTGGCCTCTTTCGACAACCTTCGACCTCCGCAGAGATCCCTTGAATGACCGCTGTAGGGCTATGTCTGTAGGTTGATGTACGGAGGTATACAGCATAGTCGATCATCGTTCAGTAAGACGTGTGGATTGGATGGGACTTTCCTCCCGCTGCGTGGTTGACGACGTTATGAGTTAATGGCTTGCGGTTGTGATACATGACTCCCATGTCTTGTTCCTTTCTTTCCCCTTTTCCGTTTCTTTTTCTATTGAGCTTTTTTTTTTTTTTTTTTTCTGGGAGGGCTGACCCTGACGTTGCTCTGCATATACTGCCATGTACACAGGACAAAGTCGGCTTGGCGTACCTCGTAACAGGATCAAGCAAAACTGATAGAAGTGACTAGGAGAATGGAATTGTGGAGAAAGAAAGGCCCTTTGACGAAGTGACAAGTATGCCTTTGTCACATGTCTCGGTCTTAAATTCTAGTTCTGTGTCTATTCTTCATTTGTGGGGAGTAAGCATTCAACGCTGTCCGCTCATTTACCTGACGCACTTCAAATTTCTAGGTAGCCATGACAGCCTTTTGTTTCCGTTGGATCAACAGCCTCGATCTTGTCGGGGCTCTACGGCAGGATGTCATGCAGCTGACAGGCAATCGGACAGGCGAGGGTGTGCCGTCTCGGTTCCCATTCTGCTGCTGTCCCCTTTTATCATTATCGACTCACCCGCAGCTGCTGTGCCCTCTCAAGTGATTTGAGAGAGGTGCTGTCAGCTAGCTGCAGGTGAAGACAAGCGCTCACCATGTTTTACAGTACTTTTCGAGTCGCGATGCTTCTAGACATTGTCAGTGACTTGATTCTGAAGAAAGAGCTAGAATATCGGTCTATTTTTCAGCCTACATGAGCCCTAGATATCGGCGCGTCAAGCGGAGTAAACGACGGTAACGAAAGAGCCCCTGCTTAGCACAACAAGTACAGTTCCCGGGCCTGGCGCTGATTTTCGTTCGTACTGTGGTTAGTTGACACTATCTTCGTCCTCGATCTTCTTGGCACCCCTCACCAATTGAGTTAGTTCAATTCTAAGGTGACGCTGGGGGCATCTCCCCCATGCCTTTTCCCCGCTCTTTTCCCACCGGCGTCCTGTACATTGCTGCGACTCCTCCTGTCAGCGGTGCAGAGCTGATGGAGGCGCAATTTCAGATACTCGAGAGCAAGTTTCGAGAACATGGGAGATCAGCCAGCGGGCCACAAACGAACCTCCACCGCCGATTGTTGAACGTCCATCCTCCGTCGAAATTGGAATAGCCTGGGTTCGTTTTTCTTTTTTGATGCCCGGGTCCAATAGACGACGCAATTGCCTGTCCGCAGTCAATATTAGGATGTGACAGTCATTGGCCGGAATTCTCAACCAGCGTGCTACTAGTACTGCATCGGACGTTCATCATGTTGAAGATGGAGGGGTGGCATCTGTCCTAACAAATGGTTGCTGGTATCCCGTCAATCAACCGAAGTATCCGTCGATATGACTTGAAGCAAATGCTCTAGAATGTTAGCTTTTACCGACCAAGAGCGAAGAAAAAGGAGAGGGGGTGGTGGGGCATGAGATGGATGATGGGTGAGAAACAGGGAGCCTTGCTTCAGTAAGAAGAGGGGAGCGGGCACTACTGACTTACTTGATGCAACCCCAGCATGTCGGAAATCGGACCGAGAGTGTTGAAAGCGAAGAAGGCAACCGACTGCTACAGGATGGTGCATAGTAGTCCACCAACCCCAACGACCGGCGCCAAATTGTCGGAAGTACTTTACAGCTTATCTCCCCTCTAAGTACGAGACTACTATCCGGCTCCTGCCAGAAGAGGAATGAACCGGAAAGTTGTAAAAGCGCCAAGAAATCTGAGGACTTTCGATGAATCAAGCAAGCTGTTGTAGCATGGCGATCTTGAGAGCTGCCCGGTTGCTCGAGATTCAGATGTCGTCTAGATATTATATAGTATGATCACACCACCACCAGATCGGCAATCTTAGGAGGTCAGACTTATGATGTGTGACTCCAATCATACATTAATTCGCAGGTGATGAACGAAAGATAATCTTGCTGCGTGAGAAGAATCAACAAAGAGTGGATAGATCTGCAGAGGGGTCGTAATCAGATTTCCTTTTTGCCACTGCTGTCTCTTGATCTGAAGCTAAACGTGCAGCCAAAGGCGAAGCGTTCGCGGTCGGATGCATTCACGTTCGTGTCAACTTTATTTGGCCATGATTTGCCTCTCGGGTTATCGACGCCTCCCGTGGCTGGAAAGAACTACCGAGACTGATTTGGAGTGGGAAATGGGCGAGGGGAAAAGGTACTTTTGTTTGTTTCCGTTTGCTTTTTTTCCAAGTCTCGTGCCGTCAGCTCGAGCCTCGAGAAGTATAGCTGTCAACTTGAAGATTCTCGGTCCCCAGTGACATGCAGTAGTATCAAGCGTTGATTATTATTGGGGACAGTAACAGAGGATTGAGCAAAAGTCCTCACTCACTGAAACACCGATGCTTGTTGACAGAAGAGGGTAAAAAGAAGAACAAATGACCAAGCCTAAAATTAGGAAACGAGAGTCGAGCTTTGGAACGCTAAGGGATATGATTAAGTTAGCATAGCGAAACACCCTAGTCCGGAGGTCACTTTAGCGTGTGGCTCTACACCAATAAGTTATCCAGCACTACGTTGAACGTGGTAAATGGTGAATAGACTATAACGTACCTTTGTCACCTTAGAGGTCGGGAAACTGGTGCGTAGGCTACCAGACTACGATTCAGTTACATGTCGGAAGTCGGATGAGACGGCCAAGGGGGGCCGAGAACCAGTAGCAGGCCAGAAGTGTGTACCACTACTGTATATACCTATAATGCACGTTGGTGGACATTGCTTTTAGCTTAGATTTTCCAACACCCGGCCGATCGAGCCACGGGCTACCTACCCCTCTAGCTTCTCTGCAATTTGTTGATTAGCCAGTCGGGACCATTGCGAACATGGACGTTGCCGACAGGACCGTATACCCATTCAGGTGTGGTTCAATGCTCTCGAGGATCGAACCTTACGATGGCTCCACCAGTTAGTATCCGAAGTCAGTGGACCTGACTCAGTCGTCATGTAGTGGTTCGTAGCTGCTATTAGTGAGTAACTTAGCAGCTATACCGGCGTTGGCCCATCGCACCCTTGAAGCTGGTCGCAGTGCAACACCTCGCTCCGAAAGTCCTTCATGCCGTTTTCCTAGCTTCGCGAAATGATGGGAGTCAACGCAACGATGCAGGCTGGGTTTGGATTTTGCCTCAACGTCTCTCCGATTAAATGTCTTTTGTTCCACCCTGCTCTTGAAAAGACTGAGGAGGGGTTTGCCCCAAATTATGGCTTTTGTTTTTGACGGTGTTCCTTGATACTCCATACGCTAACGTGGACTAAAGGTATAGTGGATAAGAAATGAGGAGTGTCAGGACCCAGGACCGTCTGAGATGTGGATGTATGCCACTTTCAGGTCGGGCGTTCGGGTCCCTAAGGTGGTAGGTGGTAGCCAAAGATCTTTGACACAACGTCAGTCAAATCGAGTTTAGATGCTGTCAGCCCGGCAAAGACCGATTAAAGCTGCTTGCCCTATCGTCCCGTGCTAGCGACAAGTGCATCGATCCTTCGAACAACTTGGGCTGGAGTGAACATTATTGTCTTCATGTTTTTTTTTTGTTCGTTTTTTTTGGGGTGGGGGGAGGCAGGTTAACTGGCCGGGGAGACAAAGATCAGACTACCGCAGCCGATCATCGGACCTAACGCGCCTTCAGATAGTCCTTCCTGATCCGGTTCCTGCAAGCGACCATTGGATTTATGAACGCGGCAAGTTCTCATGCGTTTTTGGCGGTAGAGAAGAGAAGGTGGTGGGGGCAACCGACATGGAAGGGCCGCCGCGGGAAGCTAGCGGGTAGGCGGAAGTATGGACTACTGTAGGTATGGAACAGCTGAGTCCATCCGCCACTGGTTCACTCCCTGATACTGAGTAGTATATAGTAGGTACCCGTAACGCCATACCTTCTTGGGCATCCAAAGCATAGATTCATGATTGACTCCGAGAAGGAGGGGGAGGGAGGGTAAAGGGAGGAAAGAGGCAGAGTTAAGGATAATGACTCTCTTTCCCCCACCCAAAAATAAAAAATAAAAAATAAAAAACAAAACATGTAAAACATGGTCAACCGGAATCCCGGGGAGTGACTTGCAGTAGCTATCTGGTAGTATTGTCAAGCTAGATGAAAGTATCTGAGCCAGTGTCCCTTCGAGTCGCTGACTATGGGATGACCGTACATGCTACGCTAAGCATAGATGCAGGAAACAATGCAACCAGAAGTAGGGTTATTTGTGACCGGGTGTAGGCCATCGAGATGGAGGGGGCGTTTTTCGAATCGAGCACCTACTCTGTACTAAGGTCTCTGATTCGTGGTGTAAGAAAGGACACGTTGAATGTTGTTTGTTATTCCTTCTTCTTATCTTATGATTTCATACATCTCTGCGGCGTACCACTGGCCATAAAGAATCCCTCATTCATGCCAGAATAGAAATGGTGATTTGGGCTGCAGCCTTCGACTTGGAAGGCTCTTCGGTCATCTTATCATGGCGTGCAAGCGGTGATCACCTCCGAGCCACGTATTGCAAGCAGCCTGGTTTGTTAAGGTAGATGTAGGGTAGATAGATGCAAGGTCAGTCAGTCAGTCAGAAGTAGGTCAGTAATTAAGCTGGCCATATATCTCAATTGGGAAGATAGAATCGAGCGGCCAGTGAAAATCGATCAACCCAATTCCGAGGCGCCACACATGCAAGCGTTCAACTCGCCATCCGCTCCTGCAAGAAGAAAGCACACATGATAGCCCAAAAGAAATAGCCTGTTGTCTAAGGGTCCCCCAAACAGGGAGGAATGCATGGTTCAAACATGGCGGGACCAGACCACTTCAAATCATTAGCTAGTACAGTACATTCGGAATTTCATGGACCACCCATAAATGACGCTATCTGATTGCTCCGCCCTGCTATCGCCCTAGGTGAATATCCGCCGTGATCCCAGGCGCAGTCATCATCCCGGCCGAAAACGACGGAAGGCTCCCCCATTCCAGCATGTTGCTGTTACCGATTGCTACCGGTAGAACAGGCGGTGCTGATCCTGTCATGTCGTAATCATAGTAGAAGGACGCACCTGAAGGGGCTTCTGCACAACCAACTACATTGTTCAAGTCGAATGACTCGCTTGCTAACTGTGTGACCGGCCCTGACACATGGAAAGATGATATCACCGCTGTCGTGGTTGGTGCCGCGGTGGTACTAGAAAGAGTTCCATGGCTATAGATCATTTTTTGCAGCGCTTGTTGTGGTATTCCCCGCTGACATTTCTCTTTTCGCAGCTCGTCTTGGCCTGATGGGCGCCCACGGAGCTTGATCTTGATCTTCGTAGCTTTTCCCCCTTTCGCCCCTGACCGCTGGCGTTGGGGTGCTGGTGGGTCTGCACTGGATGTCTTCTTGTTACTCGCTTGCTTTCGGTACCGTGTTGTAGACTGAACCCCATATTTGACGGCTTCTTCCGTTAGGCGCCAGTAATTCTGGGCCTTCTTGCCGGGTTCCTCCTCTCGAATTGCTTCAAATGCCTGTTGAAAGATACACCAAGTCAGTTATTTGCTTGAATCACGGGCTTGGAACAAACAAGGCAGGCAAGCACGAGGAGGACAGAATCCGTGAAGAAGAAGAACATACCGCGTTCATCGAGAGATTGTGTCGCACGCTATTTTGCCAGCCTTTAGAAGAACGATCTCTCCCTTTAATCGTGCGCTTCTCGAACCAGCTGTAAATATCCTGAAGCGTGAGTTTCTTATCAGGTGCCTCGAGGAGAGCTTTCTCGATAAGGCAGGAATACGGAGCTTCCGAGTTTGCCTCCTCTCCGGTGTCGTCAGGACTAGGTCGTGGATCCTTATGGTGAGACCCCGGTCTGTTTGCATGGGTCTTCACTTTGTCAGAAGGCAACGAACAATGACTTGAGCTCGGGAAAGCCAGTGACGGCGGTGGCAACCGTGGGGTAGGACAAGCCGTTTTAAAGGTATCTGGCCGTGTTGAGTACGGTGCAGCTATATGAGAAGGTACGGAATAGGTGCCAGATTCAAGCGAACCGCCATAGACCTGGTTCTCTGGCGCTCGTGACCAGAGTAGCGAGCTTTTGCTCTCTTGAAAGTGCCCTAGTTCGGGCTTTACTTGTTTGGACTCCGGGTTACTGGGTGCGGCCAGGTAAGATGACCACCCAGAAGACTCGACCCCAAAGGTAGGGAAAAGACTCGGCACTTCCTCATCGGATGATGAAGCATCAGATGGCGAGGAAGAGGGCCGGTAGAGCGGTGCCTTCCATGGATGAGAATCGTAGTGGTGGTGATGGTGGTGAGACATCGCCGTCTCTGAACTGCCGGAAGGGGGACTCGTCCAGTTTCCGATTGTCGAACAGGGATAGGCATGGTGAGAAGGGACCAAACGAGCGCCATCTGTTACAGATGAGGGAGGGGTCACTGTTTGTCTCTCGCGCTCGTTCTGAGAAGAAGCCCGGCCGAATGGAAGTGAGTCCGGGTGTAAACTGAGAGGAGGAGAAGGATAGAAACGGGCCATAATGTGCTTGTGCTAGTAGTATGAGCCAGGATGAACGCAGTCCGTAACAAGAGCTGGGACAATGACTAGTTCAGAGTAACATGAGAAAAAAAAGGTGCAGCTTCACAGCGGAATTAAAAATAATATATAAATCTTTGTTGAGACTCTGACGACAACCCTTGCCTTCAAAAGACTATCGTAGTAGCTGCTGCAAAATGGGTTCTTTCATAGCTGAAGAAAGGGAGAGGAGGGCCAAGAGGGGTTGACTCCAAAAAGGCCATCAAATCAATCAAAAAATAAAAAACGACGTGTGACCACTGAGATGAAGGGGAGGAGCCCGATCTTGCAATTGAAGCTGTGAGGCAAAAGGAATGCCAGCTCACAATCTACATACATACAGTACCGTCTGGGTTTTTTTCTTTTCTTTTTCGGTCTGTCTGTCCCTCTTTTTTCAATGTTCCTTTTTCCTTTTTTTTTTCTTTTTATTTCAAGCTGGCTAACATCTAGTTCTTCTGCACGTCGATAATCCTGTGCAGCAAGAAGGAAGAGCTTGACAGGATGTGGGCATTCGCCGCCTTCCTCAAGGGCCTAGGAGAAAAAATGGGCATTGCCCGGAAAGAAAACCCAGAACAACTCCCACTTGTATACCGAACAGCCTATACTATCATGTGTTGGGAAGGAGGCTGCATTGGCAACCGCGGGAGTCGCTCCCTTCAGGTTGTGAAACCGACTCGACATTCTAATCCGCTTCCTGTCACGACTCGTGGGTCAACAAGTGCCCAAACGGAGGCTAAAACTGGTCCGACGAGGCTGGCGATAGCGGTCCCTGGACGCCTACTGCGCGCGCTGACCGGGGTCATGCACGTACTAGTAAGAGGACAGCGATACCGGTAGCCTGCAGACAATACTGCCTGGCCATCTCTCAAAGCAAGATAATACAAGACAAATACCGAAAAAAAATGAAACAAGGACACTAAACTGGTGGAGTGGGGGAAACAAGTCAGATTAGCTGCAGAAACTAGAATTGGAGGCATATGCCTCTCCTTTCCCCTCTCCCTTGAGCCATGACCAGATCTAAAGACCTTGCTGCAGATACACCATTACTCTCCTGATTCCCCGACCAGCCAGAGCCCTAGGGCAATATGCGATGTTTTCCCAGAAGCCGCATCAGTAGAGCCACCATTCCCAAAACCCTCGACAACCATGTGAAGGAAGCATAAGGTACGGCCCAGCCCCAATCCTGATTTGCTGCACGTGATATGCAGCGGCGCTGCCTAAGTTACGAGCGCCTTTGCCGAGGGAGGAGACACCAGAAATGGAAGCGCCTTCATCTGAAAGATACAGATCTTGAGTGCGGTGTAAATAAGCATTGACAGGTATCTCATGGGTGGAGACCACGATCTGCGAGCCGGATCATGTAGTAGCTTCATATCGGATATGATATGTCTTAGCTCGGCTGGAATAGAACCCAATACGGGCTCAGGTGGTTAAAGTGCGCAGTCCAATCAGAGGAGCGAAATGGCTCCTCGCTGTAGACGGACGAATTCGTCCCTGTGGCACCCAGTCTTAACGAATTCTAGCCCGTGGTATGAACTGGGATTTTCGGTATGTTCCAGACCACCGCAACTCCGAGAATAGCCTTGATTTTACTTCCGGTAGTAGATCTACACGACCAGGTTAGTATAGCACCAGGATGATGACGGCTGCCGGGAACTCGACTTACTCGTTTGAACTGGAAATGCAGTTGCAAAATACCCTATTGACACTGTCAGCTCCCTATTTGGTTATGAGCTATATAGCGATGCAACGTACTTTGTCAAAAGTACTCTTAAACCCGCGTTCTCGCTTCGCACTGTAATCCCACTCCTTGTCCACAATGCGAAAGGCGATATCCTCGTAGGGTGGGCCGGCCATGAAACGAATGAGACAAGTGTCTTCCTCCCCTGCTTCTGCAAAAGACTGACCGCGCTTGCGGCCATTCTCCCGCTCGATACGGTAGGTTGGGGCTTTGGTCTTGTCAATAAGATCGGGATAGAATATGTTGAACTTGTAGCCCTGGACAACTTTAGGGGGCGGGTTATCATGATCATAGTGGGTCTGATTATATTTGTTCCACTCGTAACCCATTTGAACACGGTTGAAGTATCGCGGCTTGCGGGGTCGGTATTTGCCGGCCCATAAAGGTTCGGCGCCGGAGCTGACAGCTTCCTCGCCCGTGAAAATCTCTTCGTTTTCACTCACCCCCTTCGCCAACTCACGTTCGTAAAGAGCCTTTGTTGCCTGGGAAAAGTCGTCGTTGGGAATAGCTGAAAATCGGGTCAAGGCGCTAGCAACCGGTACGTTTGATGCTTGACTCAAAGGAGCAGCCGAAGGCTTCTCTGCATGTCGCTGGCGCAGCGGCACAAATCCCATCTTTAAGATCTTCTGCCGTTCCCGAGCCTACGTGGTGTCAGTACCAGCTTTCAGATGTCAAGATATGATATGTGCTCGGCTTACTACTTGACCAAGGAAGGCACTTTCGTCGACGATCTCCAGTACTTTGTCCTCAGGGCGCACCTGAAGCAACGGGTCCGGGTCGAGGCCTTCAAAGTCGGAAGGGTCAGGCTGAGCTTCAGCCTCAATTCCAGAAGTCACCTGTATCGATGGCGCTAGCGGAGCGAGCTTCGCCCGCACGGATTCGGCCTCCTCACGCTGTTGTGTACGCAGGCCTCTGACTCTCTCGTCAATGACATCTTGAAAGACTTTCTTCAGCTTGGCACGAGCTTTCCAAACAGTGAGACTGCGCAGAAGTTCCTCCCAGTAATCCGTGTCAATGGGTTCATTGGAATCCAACTTCCTCCTGACTTGCACCTCGAGTGTCTGGAGCTGTTCGTAGGATTTAGGGCTTAATAGTCGATTGATATCGGAAGCAACTGAGCTGAGTGCGCGACCCTCGGGTCCGGTTATTTTTTGGCGATCCCGACAAATGACCTTCATCGTCTGCGCCGAGCGGAAGAAGGAAAGTTAGCACATACGTACACCTGAACAATATTCTTGCCAGCCAACACGTACCTTCCAAAAGTCCCTATTCTGCGAGTTTCTCTCCAAGCTCAAAAAAGTGTCGATATCCTTCTCTAGATCCAGCAACTGTGTCTGCGATAGTCCTTCAAAGACCCCATCTGGATCTACCAGATCGAGCTCCGAGTCCGCGATTTCATCATCCAAAGGGTTTCTTGTAGGATCGATCACCCGTAGCGTAACAGTGAGCCAGTCAATCGGTTTGGCTCTGCCCTCCTTCACCCGGATCTCTGCTTTCTTCTTGGCCTGCTTGAGAACGAAAATGTCTTCCTGCGCCACCCATTCGCGGACCTGCTCATCTTCCTGGAGTTGATTCAGCCGCACTTGGTCCTTCATATTCCGCGGTCGCGCTTGCGACGGACGACTATCTCCGCCCCGCCAGCCCTGGTTGAAATCGCGTTGCTGGTCTCTTTCGTCATATCGGCGTGGAAGCTTCTGGGGATGACGCGATGGGGAGCGAGAACGGCTGCGCTTTGAGCTTGATCGCTCAGGGAACCGCGACGACATCTTTTCTAGACGGGCTGAAATTTTCCCCTTGTATGGTTCAGAGATGCACTTAATGAAGCAAAGTAATTATCCAGTGACTTTCGACTGAAAGAGCAAGCTTGCAAAGTTGCGCTGTTATCGGACGGTCCAGACTTGGAGAGATTAGGTTGGGTTGACATGTTCGCCCCCGGTTCTGGAAGGTAAATCGGTCGGCAAACCTTCTCCTATCGGCACGTGCATCTAGACTCATCGCCTACCATCAGCCCGCGGATGCCTCAAACACAAACAGCTCTTACTCCTCAACATTCTACATCAGACGGATAATCAGAGAGACGTGGTCAAAATGCCATCAAAATGGCAGAGACTGCATGTCTCGCGCTCCGATACTGTTCCCACGCTGTTGTATAAATATTCCTTTACAAGCGACGATTATGCATTGTATATCACCGATCTCACATACATGTGGTCTGAACATCTGGATTATAAATCCATATTGCGACGGGCTGATGATGACAATACCACCATCGACCCCAGCGAAGATCGGGAGCAGTTCAACGTACTCTTGCAGAAAGTAGGGGAGGCGCTGCAGCATGACTCGGGGCAAAATAGCGCTGTACTAGGCCGTGGTTCAGAAGACACGCATCTACACCTTAGCACAACCACCAAGCTTCCAGCTCCTCTCAAGCCTCTACGATGGAACTTTTACTTAACCCGGGCGGCTCTTTCTGCCACCACTGAGCATCTGCTTATACCACTGATGAAAGCAGAAGCCGTCTGGCAGTCGCGCGAACGGCTCCTGATCGACCAGCTAAAGAAGAAAGACTGGGTCTTGGGGAAGCTATTCGACAAGCTCGAGACTCTGGGTATCGATATAGGTACAATCTTTCCTGGTGTATCCGCTCATCGCTCGGGGCAGAAGGAAACAGTACTGTCACATACTGCCAAGTACATCAAAGGCGTTGAACCGTTCGACCAGGACTCTTGGGCTTCCGAAACCAACGCACACTTTCCCGAGCTTGGCTCGGCAGCCAGTCTTGCCACAGAAGCTGCTGGTGCCCGGGTTAGTGATGCTGATAAACCTCAGAGTCTCAGTGTGCCACCAAGCGGATGGTGGGAACAACTCTCCGCTGCGGTTGTGGACTCCGTGGAATCGTCCGACATCGAGCCACGGAAGCAACCCGTTGACAGGCGCCAATTCAATGATAGCCTTGAGACAGACACCGACAGCGGAATGGAGGATGACGACGATGATGATGAATTTGAGGTAGGTTCTCCAGACTCTCCCCGTCTCTTAGCGAATCAGCGATCACTAACTTCCCAGCTATAGCGACAAGAGACACCTCCGCATCTGAAGCGAACAACAGCCCAGGCGTCGCCGTCAAGCCGAAGCCCAGAGCGAGATACAGCCCAACGCGAGACACGATCACCCTCGCCAGGACGTCCTTCGGCGCAAAAGCCCTCAACAAGGAATGGTCTTGGCATAATCGGAGGCAGACCCAAACCACAACCCAAAGGAAAGACACCGTCGCCGCCTCCTGCTCCAGCAGTTGACTTCCACAGAAACAAACCTAACCTATCAGCAACACCTCCCCCCAAAGCAACAGATTACGACGCAACCGCCTCCGAAACAGACGGAGACGATGACCTTTCCCCACCCCCACCACCAAGACCGAAAGCACTAGCATCATCCAAACGTGGCTTTGGGGTCATCGGCGGCAAGAAGAAAGATCAAGACCAACCTCCACCAACATCGTCTACTCAGCAATTCTCTCGGCCACCATCAGACCAGTCGTCCAAATCACTAGACACCCAGCCGCTGCCCAAACGGACCGGCCAATTGGGGGTTATTGGAGGCATCAAACGCTCCACCAAGCCTCCTGTGAAATCTCAATCATCACCAGATGCCGCGCCTGACGCTAAATCCGGCAAGTATGATGATTTATCGGGAGGAGACACTGCGCAACTAGAACCTTCGCGGCCAATTCGTTCTGGATCTCACGAGCAAAAGCCAGTGTTGGCCCCATCCACGGAACAAACGAAAGAGAGTGAAGAGCAAAGGGCCGACAGGAAGCGAGATGAATTGAAACGACAGCTTGAGGCGAAGGCTAAAGCTCCTGCCAAGAAGAAACGAAAATTCTAGTCTGGGCCTGCGGGGAAGAGGCCTGGTTTTGGATAAATAAAATATACATAGTCTTGGCCTTGAGGACCGTGTCTTTAGGGATAGACCTTTGACAGGATGACATTTTTGGGTTCTTGCATTAGTGTTACAATGTAGCTGCATATTCTTATGTACAGTGGTGTCATCAATGTCAGTCCCGACTTCTGTCCACCGACAACTAAGCGCCTGAATAGGGGCTTTATGCTGTAGGACACGGTGCAGATGAGACGACAGGCGAAAACATCCACAATGAGAGAAGACGGCTTGGTTCTTCCAATGATTCGCATCAATGCACATCGCCAGAATCGATACCTATCAGTTGCTCAGCCCACTGCCGCTGCCACCAAAGCTGGTCCGATGGCCGCTTCGTCGCGGTTTCCCCTGTTCACTAGGAGTCACCAACCGCACCTTCTTGGGAGACATTGTGGTAGAGGAAGCCCCACTGGGTCCAGCACTGGTGGTCGCTGTGGTCGAAGTGCTTCCAGCTGAGGCGCCAACTCCTAGCATACCACGGACCTTCTCCACGGCCCTGCTTTCTCCCTTGGACCACGTATCTCGCTTAACAAAGCCTACACCTGCCTTGCGACCCGCAGAATCTCGTTTCTTGGTCTCCTCAAGCAATACAGACCGGTTTTGTTCACGACGAGGCCCTGGACCACAATCATGCATACATCCAGGGGTCGCGCAGCCACCCTCGCTTATGGACACATCACTCAACCAGGTACTAATACAAGCTAGATGACCTCCATGGCCGCAGCCTTGACACCACGTCCATAGAGTTGCCCCTTTGGGCCGATGTGGTAGGGTATTCTCAGAGAGAAGGGCATCAATATGCTGTATCTCGGAGTGAGGTATGGGTTGGGTTTCTAAAGATGAATGTGAAGCGGACAAAGTATATGTCGATCCTGATCCAAAAGCGGGGTGATCCGACGGCGTCGAAAGCTCTGCAACCCACTCTGGAGGGGGATCAACGCTCATACAGATAGCACATGGATCCTGAGGGGTATTGCAACGATAGCAACGCCCGTTGTCACTCCTGGGATTCTCGTAGGGTCGTTTGCAGGTGAAACAGAACACGTTCATGTATGTATCCGCCTGGGCGTATTCGTAGACTGCTGGGTAAGATGGCACGCAGAGAAGCCGGAGCTCGGCCGCCTCCATGTACGTTGACTGACGCAATAGTTGCTCGTTATAGGCTTTCAATATAAGTTCAGACTCTCCGCTAGGCAGAATTTGGTCGCAATCTTGAAACAATGTGCGCATCTTCAACAGCAAGTGGGCAGCGGACTGAATGTCAACAATAGTGCCACTATGATAGTGTCTGATCGCTTCCTTGAATAGTAGCTCAACGCTCCAGGGTTTGTTAGTGTTTGTATCAGGAGCAATTGGGATACTGACGTCCGAAAACTGTTTCAATGCGCCAGATGTGCCCTGAGCGCCTGGTTCGGTGTGCAATATTTGAGATCCTTCTTCGAAAGTACAGGGCTCCAGTGGTTGGCTCTCTTTCACAAGTGGAGGAGGGCTGGATGGCCGATCAAGGTGAATAGTACTAGAGCCAGGAAGGTCTTCTTGAGACAACTCACTGTCGAGCTCTGTCTTCGGCACAACGTCTGGACCTAGACTAGACTCTCCTCTAGTCCTAATTATGCTCATGCTGGTAATTGGTTCGTCTGCCTGCTCGTCTCGGTCCTCATTCAGCGCTGTCTCATGAAGTCTTGCAGCAGAGGAAAGAGACGTGCCCATGTACTTGGAGGGATGTGAACTTTCCGTTGATGCGGAGAACATTGGGAAACTTTCTGATGATTCTTGACGATGATAAGTCGGGGGCTTGTCAGCGTCCATTCGAGAATCCAATGTTAGTACTTTCTTTGGATGAAGCTTGTAATCACGGATTGCCGCTCTTTTATCTTCCATCTTCAGGTCGTATTCGTCCACCTCAGAAACTTCCTTTGAAATGCCCACGGGTTTTCTAATGTGCCAATCCGTCCTGCCAGTGATGGCTCGCGGTGCAGATCGCTGGTCATCTGCCAAATCATGGGCTACGGAAGGGCGCAAAAAGTCTGGTGGTAAACTCTCAGGCGCAAGGAGAGCACCTTCATTTGCCTGCCCCCGGCTTTCCTGGAAGTCGCGGAGGGGACGATGATCAACGTCCGATACCGATGACCAGTCGTTCGAAGACATTGTCCCGATCTTGGGACTGAGGATCGAAGCAGGAAGCGGTTGGATCTCTGTGGTATCATTCAAGGACGTCATATGGGAGATCGAGCTATCCAGGGATCCGAGGGGAGAGTCAGGTAGGGGCTGCGCAAGCGGGGTTGACATATTTGAGGCTCCCTCAGTATCTGTAACATAACGCTTTGATGCATCGCTGTCGACAACACTCTTGATCAATTTGTTCTTGAACTTATCTTGACGCCCGTCTTCCATTGTCCGCTGCTTCTCCGGGACCGGCCCTTCTTTAGATGGCCGTTTCTTCACATCCCGGAGTCCTTTATCGAGAGAAAGGGGCTTTTGCTTCGCTCTTGAATCAAGCTCTTGAATGACAGCGTACTGTATAACCCGCCAGGTCTGGGCAAGCTGGAATAGAGACATCTCTTCTGAACACTGAGCATTGTGATTGAATGATTCAAGGAAGGACTGTATGGGATTATTGATGGAAACAGTACCAGGCTCGCTGAGTAGAGGGTGATAGTGCGAAGCTAGATACTGATATGTGTCTTGATCCAATGTAGCTCCCGGAATACCTCCAATTACACCGAGCTGGCGGACCTCTGGAGCCTTGATTTGAGAAAGTAACCTTTCTAAGGGGAGAACGGGAACAAGCTCCGAGGCACTCGGGGGAGTACTGCCTAGAGACTTAGACGGTCGAACACTACTTGACTTACTGTATCGATGTCGAGTCGCAGGTAGCGGGAGCTCATCGAGGAACTCGTCCACTGGGCTTTGACTCAAAACTTCCCCACTGCTGCTCTCTTCCTGACGAGGACCCACGAACTCGGTGGTGACAGGTCCCAGAGCGTTTCGTCGAGGACGTTTCTGGACGAACGCAAGGACTTCTCCGGTGGGGCTCCATGCAACAGCACATGTCGGCCGTTGATTAATCACTTGAGGGGAATATCGGACATCGGTCTGGGTGAAAGCACCGGCTTCGCCCACTGTCCATAATAGATCCTTCGAATGCCAAAGTAAATCGGTAGCGTGAGAATCATAGCGATCGAATTCGCGGAAGGGGATATGGGGCCGACGGAGATCCCAGAGCTGAACTCGTGGATCTTCCTTATCGTAGGATGTCACCACCTGCGATGACTGCCAATCACCAGCACCATCTGGCTCTCTAGCCCATGATGGGGGCCGCCAACGGACGTTGAGAACAGCCTGAGGTGTCCGGAACTGAAATGCAGGCTTCTGTCTTCTCTCTGCTGAAGTGGAGAAATCCCAAACCTTGACTTGTCTGTCTGTGCCTCCGCTAACAAGGTGTTTGCCATTGGGATGCCAATCTACCGAATAGCACGGGCGATCATGGGCGGTGATTCGCATCAATGGGGCACTGGTCTTACGGCAATCCCATAGCTGTATTGCTCCACTATCTGTGGCTGTTGCAAACAGAACCCTGTCGGTAGGCGACCATCTGATGTCACGAATAGCGTCACTGTTACCGTTGAATAATTCCGTGCTTCCACATACTAAAACACCCCGTTCTGCCGACGCTGCCCGCATATCCCACATCCGGATTGAAGAGTCCTGACTTCCGGACAACAGCCATGATGAGTGATATGGATTGAAAGCCAACCGGTGGACTTGACGGCTATGCCCCTGAAAGCGGCAGCATTCTAAGCCTGTCCGATGCAGGTCGTAGACCACAATGCGGCCATTGGCCACTGCGGTGGCAATGATTTGGTCATGCTCGCCATGTGACCATTTCACATCTCTGACTGTCAGCTGGTCCTTGTGCCGCGCGGAAAGGCCACTCCCAACATGGTGAGTAGAAGAATAGCTAATAATTGCACTGCGAAGATTGAATTCTTCCGACGAATGATCAGGCGAGACACGGATCGTCTTCAAAATCTCTTTGCCGCCAATAACTGCATGTGTCCGCTGAGGAGATATATCTAGAGCAGCTATGGGGATCCCAGTCTTATGGGAGATCGTTTGCGAAGCACCAGGTCTAGGGTAAACGTCAGATCAAATCACCGTTCTTATTTCGAATGCTCGGAGCTTCTAGCGATCCCCGTCTCCCAGCCCGGATTGACCCGCTGGAACTGAAGCAGTAATTGGGCAAGGAGATGTAAGGGGGAGTTGGACAAAGAGGAGAGTGAGGGAGAGATAACAGCATCTCGGAAGGGGGTGGAGGTGGAGTGGAGAGCTATACAAGGACTTGGACCTAGTGGAACGGGGACCAGCAGATAGATCTGCACGGCCACTTTGCGTATGCGGACTGGGAGGTCGAGACCCAGAAAAAAAAGGCTGGGCAAATCTTGCCAAAGCGCTGGCCGCGCGGTTGGAATACTTGTGACTCTGTTGCACGGGAGCAGGAGGTGGGGGAGGCGGCGGTACTGGGGAGGTGTTGCCTCGAGGGGGCAATCGAGAGAACTCGGCCATGATTTCCAGTGTCAGCGGCTCTCTCAGAGGACAGCCATGCGTGACTTAACCGAATGAGGGCTGGAGCTCCATGGCCGTGAAGGTTTTTATTTCCCCTTCGGACAAACAAACAAGAGTGATGCACAGAAGAAGAGAGTGGGGAATGGGAATGGAAAGGAACCTGGAAGGGTAAAGCCAAAGGAGAACGAAAGGGGGAGGCGGAAGGTGAATGGAAGGGAGGGGGGGAGGGTGCAGCTGATTCCTGGAACTATGGTTTTAAACCGGGGAAGAAGATTGAGATGGAGGTCATGAAGGGAAGGTAAATCAATGAAGGTAGCTGAATGATTGGATATTGAGGTGATACTGTCGAGGACCAGGTGGAAGTAATGGTAGTAGTAGTGCAGGAATGTGAGGCGGACAGTGCAATAACGGGATTCTGCCGGTTCAATGGATGGATGACACGGCTTGATACCTGAATTGGTCTAGAGTCAAAAGCTGGGGGAGGGGGGGCAGGCAGGATATTATGTAACCAGTGGCGATAACTAACTAACTAACTAGTTAACTACTAGTAACTAGTAACTAGTTAACTTAGCTCATGTAGCTACCCTGTGATGTCTCTGCTTGCCTCCTGCGTACTCGACCGCTGTATAGTATCCATACTGACAGTCATTGTCCTCCATAAAACAAGTACAGATGACTACAGTTAAAGGTAAAGATAAGTACTAGTAGCTAGCAACACCAACCCAGGTACTCATAACATAACTGTACTGTGACCGAGTAAAACAACCTGGACTGCCAGCTCGAGGATTGCCCACAGGTCTCAGTTCTGCCGGCTGGGAACTGATGCTCAAATATATTTACGCCCAGCGCCCAGCACCATCAAAAGTGATTCTTCGCCTTTTCCAATATACCTTGCTGCCTATGAATGAGGGCAAAATTTTCCAAAGAAAGAATCAATGACTCACGCAAAGCTTCTTTTCTGAGCACTCTTGCGGTTTTGGCCACACCAGCCACACGACGTGTTGGTTGCGGAAAAGACATTCAAGATTTTCGTGTGCACAGTAATGCGTAGTGTGGGTGGATGCAGACAAGGGGTGCATGCAGGTTCAAGGCGGTGTGCGATCACGAGTCGATGGGGGTTCGATCGGATCAAGAATTGTCCCTGTCCAACCTGCAAGCATAATTACGACACCCGCCTATGATGATGATCATGGTTGTCTTGCCCTTTTGCTTCTCATCCTTAGGGGGAGGTGCTTAAATTGACCGCCACCTATCGGTAGAAGCTCCTCCATGCAAGTCGAACGGTGCGGAAAATGAGACAAGAAATCCGAGATTAGGCAGTTGGGTGGCCATGTCATTGGTCTCACTTTCTCAATGGTCCGCTGCCGTACATTCCAGGCGTTGTTTTAGATCATCCGGACATTCGGGACTTGGAGATGGGACAAGCTAAATTGCACTAGTCTGGGACGGTTTCCGAATGACTCGTCAAAATCGTGATGAATGCGCATAATCGTTGCGGGTTGAAGAATACTACTACTTTCTCCCCGCATCAGAAGGCGCTTGCTCTTGGAGTTGTTGTCGGCTGATGCGTGGTTACCTTCGGTAGCTTTGCTGGAAGAGGGGGGTTTGTTGTGGTTGTGCACCGCCTCTTTGCCACCGTTTTTACCCATCTTGTCGGGGGTTTGCCATGCAGTGGATACAGCGGCCTCGATAGATGGAGTTATATACTCCGTACTGTGTTATACATAAAAACCGTTTCTATATAGTACTATCTATAAGATTACCACCTGATTCTAGCCAGACTGGTCTATCTACTTATCACTAGGTACAGATATGCCCCGAAATCTGTCAGCCATCGACGCATCCTTCGAGCAAAAACACCTGCATCTGAACGGCTTGATCCATCGCGAATCCCGCCCGTATTCATCCTGTGAGCGCCATGGGCTTTATCTTTCAGCGAGCACCAGCAGGCGGGGGAGGGGTCAAAGTTGATGGACCGGCTTCTGGGCCGTGATGTGTCTTTGCTCCAACCGGGGCCAAAGACCACTCACAGAGCTTCGTTTCCATCCCAGCAAACAGTTCCCCAAGGAATCCCCGAGCGGTTAATTGCTGCGGCAGCTCAGGCCTTTCATTATTCGACCTCCACTTCCTCGTTCCATTGTTTCCTCTCACATTTGATCTGCGCAAAGTCCTCCTCCATCGAGATCTGTCATGACATACCCCTACAAACGATCCCCTCCAGTTGCTTCCTCGCTTGGCGACATCGCGGAGGAGCCCATGTGTGTGCCATCATGGTCTCGATGGATCAGAATCGCGGTAACTTGCAGTCATGCCATCTATACCACCTACCTGACTACCTAGCTACTCACGTCCTAGGTCATTGAATCTGTCTCATTCTTCGAACCGATGGAGGAGTCCTTGGAACCACTGCCCCTCTCCTTGTGTGGATTCTCCTCCTCCATGATACAAAACCTTCATTCCAACCCCTGCTCCCATTGGGCATGATGCACCTCTAGACCTCTCTACACCTCTATATCCCCACGGAATCCGACTCAGATGGTGCCTACCATCGTTGATACATCCTAGAGAAACAAACGGACCACGTACTACCCTGTAGATTGATCATTCCAGACCATGACCTACCCATTCGGATTGACGAGCCCAACATCCACCTTTTCCATTTTAAATTGAGAAGATGGTGGGAGGAGAATAATTGGGAATAGACACTAGACCCAGAAAACGCAGGCGAGAAAGAGAAAATCCTCCGATGTTGCCTGCATCTGATCAGCCGGGGATAATGAAAACGACCGTTGGGAATGAGGTACTTACCTACTGTACGTAGGGCGGATGGATCATACGTAGTAGCCATGCCTTCTTCTGTTCTTCTCTGCTTTATTTTATTCTCCCGTTGTGCTAGGGCTTCGTTTTCCTTCTTGGTCTTTGTTTATTTTCTTAGTTTTATGATTTTCGTTTATTTGATTTTTCCCTTTCCGAAATTTTTCTATTTTCCGCTCAGCGAGACAGTCAATGGAATAATAATACGGCTGGATATTATTATTGCTATTTTGCCTTCCCCTCGCCTTCCGGATCCAACCAAGCTTAATAAGGAACTAGCTTTGGAAACCGAACTAGTGCAGTTCTGGTTCTCGACTTCTTCCGCATCCACACCGTCATTCTTCCTCTCGTCGAGCTGCTATTTGTATCCAACGATCCTTTCCTCTCGTGTGCCTCTGGTTTATCCTGTCCTCTTTTTTTTTTTCCCTCTTTTCCTTTCCTCCCCTCCCTCCCCTCCTCCTTTTGTTCTCTCTCTCCTCTTTTTAATTCGTTTCTTGCATGATCAGAGAGCTATTGGCGCAACATACACCTCCGGCTGCCAGCCTTTTACTCTTCTTTATAGTCTTTGATTAATCAATCTGTATTCTTCTTCTGTATCTATTACAGTCCCTTTTTTCTTCATTTTAACTTTTCTAAACCTTTCGCGCCTTTCAGACAAGAATTTCTCCCTTTCAATTTTGATAATTGCCCTTCTTCTTGTCTTTTTGCGTCAAAAGATCATTTCCCCTTCTACAATCCAATAGAATATTGCAAGACAGACATAACCTTACTACTTCCCACGTGTTCGTCGGCTCTTGCTCAACTCCCGGCTTCCCTCCATCGACGAAACTCGGCTCAGATCAATTCGCCTCGAATCCGAGTCCTCCCCGACCTTTCGAGCTCTCACCGCCTGTCATCTGTATTCTTCGTCCTGGAGAGAAGGTCGCGGTCGCGGTGTCATGGAAACATTATCTTGAACGCCTCAAAGAGAACTTTCGATCACCCGAGTGGATATTGATTACATCATGGATACCCATCACGCAACCCGGGAACTCCTGGGATACCTTCGGACTGGATCTCCAATTCTCCTCCTCCTCGTCTTCATCGCTTCATTTGTTGCGAATTCCATTCTGGCAGCCAAGAGCGTGAATCGCAACAGCGAAAATGCACAGACCGGACCTGGAGGAAGACCGCTCCCCAAGCGATCAAGGAGCACAATGACCGTTCTCAAAAGCCCCCAAAAGTTCTCTCAGAACGCAAAGTTGCTCTTCAAATGGCTCTCAGTAGGAATTCTGTTGACCATTGTGGCTGAAGGCGCGCTTAATGTGTCGCATGTCATCATCGCTAGATCGGAGCATTGGTGGTGTGGCCAGTCTGTTGTGGTAAGTTCGCTGGGCTAATCCTGCGAAGCCTACCTTGTAGTCGCATCTTTGTTTACCTTACGAAGCAAGTGCTGATCCTGCATAGATATACGTTGTGGGTTCATTCTTTGACTATGCGATTATCCTCGTTTCATTGTTGGACACGAACCCGTCTCCGACATTCGCTCAATTTGTCCCGTGGCTCATCGCGATCCCAATCGAACTCGGAGTCCTTGGCACATCCCTTTCTATCTACACTGGTCCCCATCGAGAACCAGTGGTTGGAGACCCTAATGGCGGTCGCCTTCGACATGGGATAACCTCTTGGGAGGTGGCAGGGGTCATATTCAACTGCTTCCGAGTGCTTATTCTCGCTACCATAGTCCTCACTTATGTTGTTAATACGGTCAGCGTCAACCTCAAAAGGGAACGAAGCCACGCCAATGGCTCTACCGAGACCACAGGACTCCTGGATGCCCACAACGTAGAGAACGGGGATGGCTATGGTGCGACAAACGGCCACGGTGCGACGAATGGTCACGCTCAATCTTCGAAGCCTACCGATCCATGGGTGCGCCCGACCACCGTCCCCTCCACAAGCTGGTGGGAATATCTGAGTGGATACTCCCTGTTCTTTCCGTACCTCTGGCCATCAAAATCTCGCCGCTTGCAGATCGTGGTGGTCATCTGTTTCTTGTTAATCATTCTGCAACGCATTGTCAATGTGCTTGTTCCTTACCAGGTGGGCGTCATCACCAACATCCTCTCCAGAGAGGATGGCGAATTTAGGATCCCGTGGTTCGAAATTTGCTTGTATATTCTCTATCGGTGGTTGCAGGGTAATCAGGGACTGATCGGATCTCTGCGCTCCAACTTATGGATTCCTGTGAGCCAGTACTCGTACATGGAACTCTCAACTGCAGCTTTCGAGCACGTCCATGGCCTAAGTCTCGATTTCCATCTGGGGAAGAAGACGGGTGAGGTGCTGTCTGCGCTCAGCAAAGGTAGTTCGATCAACACATTCCTTGAGCAGGTCACCTTCCAAGTCGTCCCGATGTTAGTCGATCTTTGTGTAGCCATTGTTTTTTTCCTCATCTTTTTCGACGCATACTACGCCCTTGTGGTTACGATCATTACTTTCTGCTACCTCTACGTCACGGTGCGCTTAGCACAATGGAGAGCGGAGATTCGGAGAGAAATGGTCAACAAATCCAGACAGGAAGATGCCGTTAAGTAAGTATTAACGTGCACCAACGCTTGATGTTTTCAGGGGCTGACGATGTCGCATAGGAACGACTCGATGGTCTCTTATGAAACCGTCAAATACTTTAACGCGGAGGACTACGAGTTTGGCAGGTACCGCCAGGCGGTGTCAGATTACCAGAAGGCCGAGTACCATGTGCTCTTCTCTCTCAACCTAATGAACACGTCACAAAACACTGTTTTCATGCTGGGCTTGCTTATCGCCTGTTTCATCGCTGCCTACCAGGTGTCGATGGGACAACGAGATGTCGGTCAGTTTGTGTCACTGCTCACGTATATGGCACAATTGCAAGGACCCCTTAACTTCTTTGGCACCTTCTACCGGTCCATTCAATCAGCCCTCATTAACTCAGAGCGAATGCTTGAGCTATTCCGGGAAAAACCTACCGTGGTAGACCGAGCTAGCGCCCGGCCGCTACCCGTATGCAGCGGCCGCATCACATTCGACGACGTTAAATTCTCATATGATACACGGAAGCCGGCTCTCAACGGCCTGACATTCCAATGTGAACCTGGCACTACGACAGCTTTGGTGGGTGAGTCTGGCGGCGGGAAGTCCACAGTCTTCCGACTGCTTTTCCGCTTTTATAATGCTGAAAAAGGTCGTATGTGCGTTGATGGCTACGACGTCGAGAGTATAACGATCGACTCTCTCCGGCGGCACATGGGCGTTGTGCCCCAGGACACAGTCCTTTTCAATGAGACATTGATGTACAATTTGAAATATGCTAACCAGAACGCTACGGACGAGGAGGTATATGAAGCGTGTAGAGCGGCTAGCATCCACGATAAAATTCTGTCCTTCCCCGACGGCTATAACACCAAGGTCGGCGAGCGTGGCCTGCGGCTGAGTGGAGGAGAAAAACAACGAGTGGCAATTGCTCGCACCATTCTCAAAAACCCGCGGATCATTCTCTTGGATGAAGCGACTGCCGCTCTCGATACTGAGACGGAGGAACATATTCAAGGGGCGCTATCGAGTCTTTCTCGTGGCCGAACCATGCTTGTCATTGCTCATCGTCTGAGCACAATCACAACGGCAGACCAGATTCTAGTCCTGCATGAAGGACGGGTAGCTGAGCGTGGCACACACGATCAATTATTGGCTATGAAAGGCCGGTACGCAAGCATGTGGCGCAAGCAGATTCGTGCCCAGAGGGCTGCAGCTGAAGCCCAAGTGCTGCAAGATCGAGCTCAACGCTTGCGTAGCGCATCAACGGCAGGAGGTATTGGTGATGACAGCTCAAGCCAATCTGACGAAGACCGCAATAACAACACTCATACTGCGACAGGTCGACAAAGTCAAGGCCACTCAACCAACAAGCTTACTGAAGAGAGCCGAAAATGAATGCTTCAAACTGTTGGGTAGATGGTACGGCGTTAAGACGAAAGGTGACATCGATCATGCCTGTCTTTCTCTACAATTTACTTACATCGATTGCTGTAAAGCTTTCCCGAATTTTCCAGGTTCAAGCTGATAGGAAGTGGCACTCCAATAAGAATTCCATACTCGCTTGTATACTGATGCTTTCTATCTATTTATGACTTGCATGACCTTGTTTTCATTGTCATCTCATGGAGGGCATCGAGCTGGCCCCATGATGTGGCACGAGGTACGGCTTGGAACTGTGAATGAAATATGCTAGACCAATTGCATTTAGCCGACTACTCCATGTCGCTCTTCGATCGCATGCTATCTAATACAAAAGAGGTTCTTTCTTTCTTTCTTTCCTTTTTTTTTTCTTTTTTCTTTTTAACCCATCGTATGAAGCAGCTATGCAATAGACAGACCTAGTAAATTTATGCCTACTTACCTAGCTCTTCAGAACAGGACCTTGATGTACATCAAGAGTTTACTATTGCCCGCCAGCCGATTGGCTGATATCGTTACCGCCTGCCTTAATCGCTACTAGTAGATTTGCGCTTGCCCGTGCCCGCAATAATCTCAGATGACGGGGCTAGGGATGCCTCAGGGCAAAATAACTTAGTGCTTCGTTATCGATCCCGAACCTACCGCTCTTCCGACAGCTTTCGAAACCAAGCGAACGCAGTCTGTTATTATACCAGATTACTTCTCAGTATTGAAGCAGCAAGGATACCTTCATTACCCTTTTCTTTCAGCATTGACTACCACCAGTCTAGCACAAGTTACATCACTATGCACAGCCCATCGCTCCAATTGCTGCGCGCGTTGCGAACTTCCATCTTCGCCGACAGCGCCAGTCTCTGCGCCCAGCTGACTTCCCGATCTCGCTCGCCTCTTCCCCGAATCGGCTACTCTATCACATCCCAGCGTTACAGCAGCAACAATGCTCGCCCTTCCCGGATGATTCCTCGTGCCCACAGCGCAAAGCCTTCGAGTCACGACCGCGGCCCTGAGTCGAAGGAGGACACGCAGACGGACTTCGCCGCCCTCAATGTACTCGGCAATATCCCTGTGCCGACAACCTCTATTGATGCCACTCTTGACACTGGCTTTCACCTGAACAACGGAGTCAAAATCACCGGTGGCGACGGCGTGATGCTCATTGGTGGAGAGGCGTTTCCGTGGCGTCCGTGGCAGGCCGGCCCTGGTGGTCGCGCTGGTATGATCAATAAGAAGGGGCAATTCGAGCTTGATGAACAGGTCTGGGGTGTTTTGAGCCTGGTCTGGCCTCGTCCTGGTAAGTCGCGCCTTCGACTTCAATATGCTGGAAGAGCGGCTGGATTGCATCGTTTCGCTAATATTCTTGGCTCGCCTTAGATCTACTGATTCTCGGTATGGGTGAGCATGTTTTCCCTCTGTCGCCGGAGACACGGAAGCATATCAACTCCTTGGGCGTGCGGGTTGAAGTGTCCGACACTCGGAATGCTGCTGCTCAGTTCAACCTACTTGCTACTGAGAGAGGCGTGACTGAGATCGCTGCGGCTATGATCCCGATCGGGTGGAAGGGTAACATCAGACGGTAGATTCGCTGCACTCGCTATCACGTTCTGAGGTGAGGTGTTCTTGGCGGATGGGTTTGGGACATTCGGAGGTCTGGTGCAGATGTTGGTGGCTGTGTTTACAATGCAGGAGTACCCTTAGCACAAGGGTTACGAGGTTAACACTAGGCAATTTTCAAGATAGAGACTGCGTCATCTCCACCTAGGACTCGTTTCATTGATGTACTCTATACTCTGTATACTACGCAAAACTGAGCTTTTGAGACTTACCTAATCCCTCAAACGTGAGGCGGTGACGTCGATCCCCCGTACCAAGCTATTCTCAAAACGGCAAGTCAGGGTCACCCCGTGATTGCTTATCAGCTGAGCTCAGGTGCTCCTGCAGCTCCGACTTCGCTTTGATTCATCTCTTCTTCTCTTCTTTGCTGCCTTTCTTTTTCTCTTTTTTGACAAATTCTGGACTTTCTGTCACTACTGCATATTGAAATAGCTGTATATTATCTCAAAGAGGCAACAGCACAGGAATATGGCCCGACAAGAGCCACTCCTGGCCTCGCACCCGTCCTCCGATCGCTCGTCCATCCGCGACGCCGAGGAAGAGGATGCTCTGCTCACTGGACAACGCACCAACCGCACCCAAAGCCGTAGTTGGGCATTCTGGAAAGATGTCGGTCTCTTCACCTGGGCCTTGCTAGCAACAGTCGCCGTCATTGTTCTGTCTGTCGTCTATCAGCACGAAGTGGGCCGAGTCAATGATGACTCGAAGCATTCATGGGGCCCCGGGGGAAAGCCGACCGGCAAGCGCAATCTAATCTTCATGGTGTCCGACGGCATGGGTCCGGCAAGTCTCACCATGACCAGAAACTACAAGCAGTACACAGAAGGGCTTCCGATTGATGATATTCTTGTTCTGGACCGACACATTATCGGCACCTCGAGGACGCGGTCGAGCTCCAGCCTCGTGACTGACTCCGCTGCCGGGGCCACTGCGTTCTCTTGTGGCTTCAAGAGCTACAACGGTGCCATTTCCGTCCTCCCTGACCACTCTCCCTGTGGTACAGTTCTCGAGGCTGCTGCTCTCGCCGGCTACAAAACAGGTCTGGTGGTGACCACCCGTATTACCGATGCGACACCAGCCTGCTTCGCTTCCCACGTTAACCTTCGACAGTATGAAGATCGGATCGCGGAGCAGGAGATTGGTGAACATCCTCTTGGACGCGTGGTAGATCTGATTATGGGCGGCGGCCGGTGCCACTTCCTGCCTAACACAACCGAAGGAAGCTGTCGGGCCGACGATCGTGACCTTATTGAGTTGGCGCAGACGAATGGGTTCCACTACTTGAATGACCGGCAGGGGTTCGATTCTCTAAACGGGGGCGCAGACGTCAAGTTGCCTTTGTTGGGTCTGTTTGCTGAGAAAGACATTCCCTTCGAGATTGACCGTCGCAGCCAGAATGATGTGTACCCATCTTTGGAGGAGATGGCCCGCACCGCGCTCAAGGCTCTTAGCGAGGCTACTGCTGACAGCGACAAGGGATTTTTCTTGATGATTGAGGGCTCCCGTATCGACCATGCTGGTCATGGAAACGATCCCGCTGCTCAAGTCAACGAGGTATTGGCTTACGACAAAGCGTTTGCGGCCGTCTTGGACTTCCTTGAGAAAGACTCTACCCCCGGAGTGGTAGTGAGCACGTCCGACCACGAGACTGGCGGTTTGGCTGCTGCAAGGCAGCTCCATGCATCTTACCCGGAATACAAGTGGCTTCCCGGGGTGCTAGCTAACGCTAGTCACTCGTCGGAGTATGTCAACAAGAAGCTGCAGGACTACATCTCCAAGGAAAGCGACGTATCTGCGCAGAAGAAGTTCGCGCGGAAGTTGCTGGAGAAGGATCTCGGCATCACCGACGCTACTGAGGAGGAGGTCTGGGCTGTCCTAGATCCAGAATCGCCGATCGCTCCCCAATATGTGTTCGCAGATATCGTGAGCCGAAGAGCCCAAATTGGGTGGGCCACCCACGGGCATTCTGGTATGCTTCCAACTTGTCTTATGGTTCTTAGGTATACTAACACTGTGTAGCTGTCGATGTGAACATCTATGCGTCCTCTACGAAGGATGCGTGGCCTCTTCTGGGAAACAACGAGAACATTGATGTTGGATCGTTCTTGACCAAATATCTCGATCTTGATCTGAAGCCCGTCACCGACAAGCTTCAAGCTTCCGAATATTGGTCCGCGGCCTCGTCGGAGGACCAGGTACCTACATCATCGTTCGATTGGCTGGGTGATCCCCTCGGCGCGGATGTCCGTACTGAGGGGATCGACACCTACCATGGCGAGTTCAAGCGCTCGCTGTCAGAGAGTGGCTGCAACTGCGGTGGACTCCACTAGAGTAATAGTCGGCTGACATGGCCAATGTATACTCATCCTTACTTCAACCGTTATATCATGACTACTTGCATGGTTATTCTGGCGTCCGGGGGGAAGGGGGGGTCTTGACCACATTCGTTCCGGGACAATCGCTTCAGTCCAGAGCTAGGTAAATCTTGTACATAGTGGCTTATTACACTGGCTAGGACGCATAGCAACACGCTACTTCCAAGCATCTAGGGAATTCTTATACGTGATCATAATAAGCCCATGTCAAAACCTACCGTTGGTGGATTTTAGCTCTTTCAGCCGCCTATCTCTTTCGTTCTACTTTCGAGTTTATATTGGCCATCGCGGCTTATTGAAATTTACTCCATTCTGAATTTCAAGTAAAGCAGTCCAGCCATATGAAATCTATCTCGTGACTAAAGACTACACATATTAACTGTCCCCCTTCCAAGCGCAAAACGCCTTTTTTCGTTTCGAGAAGGTGCATGTGTGCTTCTTGGTGGCCAGGCGATAAATATACAATTACCGATACAGGGTAGCCTACCTATCGACTCTAGTAGAATTGAATATGCAGGGCCTGCGTGGCAGAGGTGTATTTAGAATGGGGCTGGCTGGGTGAGGGGGGGTTTATTGTCTCTTGGACGTACGGTATGTATACTTCAATGTAGGTATAGAGGGAGGGGAAAGGGATGGGGTGGGTTGCATAGACAGACGGGAGGGCTAGGTAGCTAATAGCTGGTTATTTTCCGGCTTGAGACAATGGCATGGAAGGCCCAGGGTGAGGGGGGAGAGGTAGTGCGGGCGACCAACTCATCGCTGTGTGATTATCTCCGTGTACTCTACATAGTCCTTTCATGTGACACACAAGGATCGGCGATACACACCATGCGCAAGACAGTGAGTGCATCGTATTTCAGATCTACTCGCTGTATTCTCCGAAAATCCGCTGAGAAAGGTGTGAATTATAGACCTGAGAGTCCTGATCTACGGCATAGCACATAAAAGCATCCAACCAGCATGCACACACCAAGACTGAAACAGAAAAGGGTTCACTCAAGGACTTCAAAAGCCATTTTCATGACATCAAAACAGGGACGCAACCTCCGATGCGCGATCATTAAAAAACATCAAGACATCCACTGGGAAAAGGTAATAAGTAGTAAGGGTCAAAACAGATAAGGGCGATGATAACGCCAGGTATAGAACATCAAGAAGTAAAAATGGTACGCTGAAGTCGTAAAGAAGTGACAGTATTTCGGGCCAGGTAAGAGTCAAGCAGATACATGAATAAGAATGTTCAAGAAGGGAAAAAACGGAGGTTGTTGACTCTGCTTATAGCGTGACCGACACGACGATTGCCACCAATGCGGCAAAGAAGGAGCCTTTCACAACACGCTCACTAGGAGATGCGGCGTCGTTGGAGCTGGTGTCGGTTGAAGTACCCTGGCTGAAACCCGTCGAATCGCTTGAGCTACCACTGCTTGTGCCGGAGCTGGAGCCAGTAGTGCTGGAGCTGGTGGCTCCAGGCTCATTGCCCGAGCCGCCGCGGTTTTCGGGGACCGTGCTGTTGTCGCCCGTGGTGTTGGTAGAGCTGCTGCTACCCAGATCCATATCAAGACCTGTGGCGCCAAAAGAGGCAAGAACGGTGCTGTTACCGGTGATCACGACTGAGCTCTCAAGTCCTTCGTCGTTGACGAAAGCGTAGGACTTGTCACCGGTCGAGACGGTGCCGTTCGGGGCGTCATAGCATTCAACAGTAATGTCCGAGAAGGTGGCGTAGTAGTATCCTTTATCCTTGATATCCTCGCTGTCCCAGTCGATTTCACCACCAGCCCACTGGATTGTACCCTCTGCATTGCTGGCCTGGCCTGCAGGCCACAATGACAGCTGCATTCTGGAAGGTGTCTGGGGGTATTTGTAAGTCTTCGAGGTTGCATTGTAGGTGGACTCCTTCGTCAAGGTGCGGGTGACCTGGCCGTCCACAGACCAGGTGATAGCGTCCTCAGTCCAGTCAATCTCGTACTCATGCCAATCGTCAAAGGTATCGCTGCCATTAACAGCCGATTTTCCTCCATTGTTGTCTGGGTAATGCGCGTCAGCCTCGCAATCGTGTCAAGCCTTGGGAATCCACTTACAGTCCAAAACACCCTGCCAGTAGTAGTTGGTCTGGACATTCGCCAGATCGGAACCGACAAACTCGAAATCAATCTCGTCCTTTACATCCGACAACAGGATGAAGGCAGTGACAACACCTTTGCCACGGCTGCTCTTGACCTTGCCGGAGATCTTTCCATACCAAACGTAGTGATTGTTGGCAAACAGACTGCCCACGGTGTTCTTGGGCATGGTCAACAGAAGGTTGCCATCCTCAATCTTAGGGTAACCGCTGTAGACCCAGTCGGCTTCGGAAGAGTTTCCTAAATACTTGGTGTTCAGGGCGGCCTTGTCCAAGTTATCCCATGTATAGGTTCTACTCTGACACACGGGCTCGGAAACACAAGAGTCGAGGGAGTAAGACGAGAGCGGATCGCATCCACCCAGACAGTAAGCGCCGGTACCACATTCACCATACTCTAATGAAGATACTCAGCAATGAGTCGTGAAGATCTGATTGGGAAACAAGCGCACTTACGCGAACAGCAGGGATACTCCTCTGGACATTGCGAGCTGGTACTGCATGTGGGAGCGGAAGCGAGGGCGGATGTGGCGGCCAATGAGGCCAACAATAGGGATGATGCGATGTGCATGATATCGTGGCGACTATCCTTGTTACGCGAGATCAAATGGAAGCCTCGTGGTTTAGATCAAGTCGAATGGAGAGTGAAAGAAGAATCGGAGTTGAGAACTACTGAAGATCTGAGGGCGCGCAAAGGGCAAGTAAAATTATTAGTACTAAGCCAACCTGTTGTGCCCGGGGATGGGAAGCACATGTCTTCATATCGTCTGATGCACAGCGGGTTTCTGAACCACTGGGAATCAAGACTAGAACTGACTTACCGAAAACTCCCACAGTTCCGTCTAATAATACAGTAGAATTATAAACCAACCAGCGAATGCGCCAATGGACGAGTATATAATAAGTCAGGAATGAGTTATAATAGCAGCCGTAGTAGTAATTGTCGGAAGCGAGTGAATGAATGGAAAGAGAAAGAGAGAGAGAGAGAGAGGGAGAGGGAGGGAGGGAAACGAAAGCGAGAGAAGGAAAGAGGAACGGGACGAAGTTGAAAGGCGAGGAGAGAACGCGAAGACCGACTGTACCACGAGGGAATGAGGATTTCGACCAAATGGGGGCAAGAGGGAGAAACCGATCATATATACGTGAAAGGGAAGGAAAGGTAGGGAAGGAAGGCACTGCTGGATGCATTAACTACCACTGGCTTAACTTACCAGTGACCACTGCTTACTAGTTTATCACTGCATGGTCCACACTAGTTGCCGAGCTAGTTGGTGGGTAAACTGGTCAAAGAACCTTGGTAAAGTCCTCCCATACAAGTAGTATGTACGTAGTTCAGTTCCCTGAGTAGTGATTCCCCGGGTAACCCCTGGGGTGTCTTTGAGGAATGGATGAATGACTGATCCTCCCGAAGGGGTTGAAGTGACGGCAGCATGAACCCATTCAAAGCGTGCTATGTCAAGGTGAATGAGTAACCAGTGGTTGACTGGGCCACGAGGTGCGAATGCAGTACACAACTTCTTTTAATGGTCTTGTAATACCCATACTGGCCGGAGTACACTACCAAGTAACTACTAAGTACTCCGTACTAACTATAGTCGGGAACTTTCCCCAGGACCCTCGCGCTCTTTCGGTCGGATATTGGGCCACTAATCTTGTTTTGGAAACTGTCCCCTCCCTTATCTCCACCACCACATCCTCCTCGTCCTCCTCGACTGGCCTCCATCCCCCATTCATTGATCGGGTCGCTTTTGCCTCCCTCGTCTTGAACTGTCACTCATGCAAAACTAAAATAAGACGCATCCGTTGTTGACCTTCTCCTCGGCAAGAGAATTGCTCTCCCCGAATTGAGCCACGATGAACCGAAATGGAGAACCTCCCATCCGGGTCCAAGTCTAACCTTCAATGGTTGCGAACGCCCACAACCAATATCTTACGGAGGAGACCTGGATGGAAGCCAGCTGCTGTTTAGGTACCCACGCACTGAGCCCTGCTCTCGGACACTACGGAGCCCGGAGTACTCGTTTCGCCCCTCCATCCTCACCTGACATCCGCCCGGAGCTTTAGGAGAGACCAGCGTCTGCGACATTTCGCAGGGTTCGTCGCCAACGGCCTGACATCATTTCCATGCCTTATAGCTATAGTGGCCTCGGCTGTTCGTCCAGATTGCAATTGTCTTGGATCTGTAGGTCAAAAACCTCATCGAAAAGAGATGACTGGGTCCCGGATTTGTGTGGATTCGACGCCGACGGTGGTGTTGAATCCAAGCGCACATTCCGATTGCCTCAGTCCCTTGGACCCCGGGGGTCTGTCCCCGATCGACGACCTTGCCGCTTGCTCCGCCCGTCCCTTATCTCTATGTAACTAGTAAGGGGTAAAGAAACAAAAACCCTTTCTCACGGGACAATGATAACAGTCAACATCCATCCTTCGTCATTCGAAGTTTAGTTGACTATCGACCCCGTCATAATCATTCCCAGTCAAGAAAATCCCACCAAAGTGGGTTCTTCGTTTTCGGCCAGAACAACTGGGAAGGACAACCCCATGACATGACCATTATCACTTCTTCCAGCCCTTTCCACGGTTCTTGGTCTTTGTTGTTGAGGAAGGATTATTTTTAGGATCCCTCGTCTGTCGCCCCGTCAGCCATGGAATGTGTCTTGTAGACAGACGGACAACGTTGCGACTACAATGAATCGACACAAGGAGTGAGCAACGAATACTCGCATTTTAATCCGTACTTTTGGGTTCATCAATCTCTTGCATGAGGAAAAGACAGTAATGCAGAGTTCTGGAACAAAACATCCCATGCAACTAGCCCTAGCAAGTCACATGGTTCCGTGTTCTCAAACCCAACGGCTTTTTTCTTTGTCTCCTCCCGTTCATTACTGCATCCCATCTATCCAAAACCACTCCAAGCCAAAGCAATTAATCACCAATCAATTGATGGCAGCATGACTGATATCTAACTTATAATCCACGATTCACCGGCATATCTGCATGTGAAATATTCCGTATTCTCAACAAATTGAGGAATACTTCTCGAAAAAATCTCGAACCTCCCCAACTAATTCTTCATGATAAGACGCGTCCAGGACCCTTAAAACCAGGGACTTTATTAGTACTGTACTCCGTACCATACCGGTACACAGGAACTACGGTAGACACTCCCACTCTTCTTTCCGAGCGCATGTTCACAACCAAACCTCGGCCAACCTCGAACCCACCGAAGCAGCATCCAATGCATCCATGATCCATCTACTGAACCTTATTTGCTAATTCCCCAAGACTTTCACCAAACACAACCACCAATTGCAGGGCTGAATCAGGGTCCCCCTATTTTTTTCTGGCTCGCAAAAATGCTTTGCATTGCAGATTAGATGCACTAAATGCAGGGGTTAAGAGCACTAGGTATTCTCTAGTCACAGATAGTGGTTGTTCACTGCCTCTCTTTAGCCCTTGGCATAATTCTGGCGAATTGAAGAAGATACCTAGATGATGACAATTTCCCTTGCTAGGATTGTTTTAGTTCAGGGGGAAAGAAACCGGGGTTTGTTCTTGTATTTATTATTTGTATAGTGTGTTCATAACGGAGGTACCTACTGCTTAACATCTCGATCTCGCGTGCGATCCCCCTTTCTGAATAGCGGGGACCTACTACCATTCCTGGAACAGAAGTTCTTTGTTCAGGCCCGCGGGCGGCATTTCGGTTGAATGGGAAGGTCCATCTGTCTACTACGTACCACTACCACTCAATCGACAATCTTGGTTAGCCCGTGAGATCTGTCTCATATTGAAAGGTACCGAAACTCAAGATCTGGACAGAGTACTGATACTTTTACTTTATGAACCATGTTCAATGCAGACAAACCCAATAAACAACACATAACAAAACATCCTCCGCACATTGAAGATGAACCAAATCCCCCACTCCTCTCTCTACTAAGTTACCTCTACAACCACTTCCAGCCCCAAAAACCAACACAGTCATAACTTCTTCAGCCCGGTAAACTCACATATATACCTCTGCCACTCTCCAAACAATCCCAACCCACACATTCACAACTACTAACTACATCTAATCCCACCGCAAAATCACAATCACGTACTACCCCGTCCAGGTTGATAATACTAAGCACATCACAAAGCAAGGGGGCCGCAGTGGTGTGCATCCATACATGAAAGGAGAGACAAAAGGATTATCAAAATATCGAGTAACTTGTCGATCCGTGCTTCTCTGCCCTCTTCTGTCAGACGAAAGCCACCCGCTACGGCAAGATTCTTGTTGATCAATACTACATGGGTTCCCTGCACATGTAGGATCGCCGGTACATCAATTACTACTAAGGTGCAGGATACCATGCCAGGCTTCAGGGCCAGAATCAGAATCACCACGAATTCATGATTGTGAGGAAAGAATTGGATGCTTGTAAATAGCTAGGGAGAGTATTGGAATTTTCCAATGGGAGGGACTTTTTGGCGTCGATTACGGTAGAGAACCGGGAATTCTCCGTCCTGTAGTCGGAATCACATCAGAGGGATGGGATCCGCTTGGGCTACTTCGTTGATCAACAAAGTCACGACTATGTGCATATATGTAGATGAGCGCAGCAGAGGAATTCAGGGCAAGGAAGGATTCCAATGGTGAGCCTGCTTCGACATGAGACCATGACTCGACTGCCTCGGCCAATAGGGTGGGCAAGGTTAACACCGGACCTACTTATACATCATGAGACCGCTGCTATCAACCTAGCGCTGATCTGCTACGGAAGACGGTCCAATTCAATTCTGCTATGTTATGTTTCATACCTTGAGGCAGTAACACCCATGAATTGATATTGTACCATGACAGGCGTAAATGTAACTTTAAAAACGATGCGGCATGAGCAACAAATCCAGGAACAAAGGACCCAACATGCAATGGTTCGACACTCCTGCAAGAAAAAAGGAATATTCTCACCACTGCCCGTGCGCTCGTCAGCGTCCTGGAATTGTAAGCCGGACGGATCGATCGTGCGTGCGCACTAGGCGGCCACGTTCTTCCAGCATCGAGACGAACATTTCGTACAGGACTTCCAACTACTAGCAAACAATTTAGGCCCCTGTTCTGCACTGTCACTCTGGTTGTTTCTTTTGTTTCTTTTTTTTGCTTGTTTCACTTTTCATGCTTTTTTAGACTTTTCTCGTTTTTATCCTAAGATCTCTCCACCGGTAAAATGTTTCCAATCAAGAACATTGAGATAATGTTGGTTGTCCTTCAGGGTCAATCATCACTTAGATTGTTCAATTCATTCAGCGGATGGTCCGCCTCACATAGCCTCTGCCCATATTGGCACGGCTCTCGCGAACTAAGGCGAGCTCCTTCTCGCAGGGATCAGAGGAGTAGGTGACCGAGACACCACTGTAGACAGTGCGAGCGTTTTTCCAAGTCTCGAATGCCTCCAGCACACGACGAGCGATGCTGGTGCTGTTGAACACAGCAGTAGCTGAATCAGATCAGCGAATGTGGTTATGCAGCGACGGACAGTATATGAAAGCTGGTAAACTCACCATTGCCAGAATTGAAGACCCAAAGAAAGTCGATAGCGCCAGGTCCTGCCACCGAGCGAACGTCATGCTTCCACTTCTCAGGGGTCATCCCCTCAGCAAAAAGTCTCTTTCTGGCGAAAGAGAGGCGGCGTCGCTCACGGATCGGCTGATTCATGCGACGGAGGTCGTCATTCCAGTCCACAATCTCGGCCAGCTCGACGTGGTAACCGTGGCCGAAACGACCATAACCCAGCAACTTGACCATTTCATGGTTGGATTTCATGAACTCAAGAGCCGCGCTTGCAAGTTGGAAAGTCACACGGGTTCTATCGTCGGCCTCGACACGGATTTCCAGCAGCGCACCCTCGTGGATGCGAGTGGTGATATACTGGGTATGTTGGTCTCTCGCAATTTTGCCATGAATACGGATTACTCCAGCCTTGGCCTCACTTTGGCATGGCACCAGCGGCAGATTGACCGGAAGTCCGACACTGGCTACATCGTGGCACTCGATTTCTTCGTCACTATTCAGGCTTTGTCTGGAAAGCGAGCTTGGAGCCAAGGAGATTTGTGAGATATAGTGCGCAAGCCCTTGAGTCTGAGCCTGAGCCTGAGCCTGGGTGGAAGACTCTGGCAGTGCGCCAACAACACGAGCCCAGTTTCCAGCCAATGGGGCCTGTCTCTCATGACACGAAGTCTGCTGCAAGATAAGATTGCGCTGGTTCTCTTGCAAAGTCTCGTTGAGTGAAGATGGGGCCGATGTGTGCTGGGCTGAATTGCCACCATTGTAAATTTCAAGAGTGCCATGGTTATGACCACCACTCTATGGACGTGTCAGCATTGCTGCAGCTGTGAGTCAATGATGGTAAGCCTTCTTGCCTGTGGTGCCAGCAGATAGTCTGTGGCTGGGACATTCACGACGCCTTCAGAGAACTTCATGACGATCATGGTGCTCAGCCTTCCAATTTCGTTGGCGATGTCAGGGTTATTTTGGCGATCACGAAACTGACAAGGTTAGTGTGACTTAAACCACATGCGATATTCGTAATACAGAGACACATACATAGGTAGATACCTGGCTCAGGTGTCTCAGCGCCTCAGCCATCGCAGCATCAACTGAGTTAACAGCGTACGACATTTTGGCTAAAGAGCAACCGCACGTGTTCAATTGAGTTACGCTAACAGACGCGGTGCATAGAAGTATATGAGCAGGAGAAGTATCCTAATGTCGAAACCCATGCATGTTTAGCTCCCATGAGCAGCAAAATGTTTCGGGCACGCGAGCATGGCATGGCATACCTTTGGTAGTCGGCTTGAGACTCTACTCAAATAGTCTCAGCTTGTTTAACCCTCAGATAAGAAATACGGTGGTATTTTCTGAGGGTATCCAAGACGACGAAGGCGTCGACGTATAGCGATAAGGAGCCGAAAATCCGAAGACAGAGATGGACCGTAAGTCCAGTCCACGCTCCAGAACGGAGAGAGTTCAGGACACCCAACAAGAGAACTTGAATGGAAGTTGGGTGTGAAAGAACTGGTGGGATATACACGGGCTACCTCTGGAGAAACTGACAGTCGAGGCAGGTGTGCCTTACCAAGAATAATAACGAACAGGAAAGCAAACACGTCACGGACGACGATGAAGGTAGTGGGAGGTTAGAGATGAGGAAGGTATTCAAAACAAGGGAGGAGAAGGGTGGAGGTGAGATGAGGATGGGAAGAGGGTGGAGAGAAGAAGAAGAGGAGGAGGAGGAGGAGGAGGAGGAGGGTGAGAATGAAGAAGAGGAAGAGCAGGAGGAGAAGAGAAAAGAGGGGGGAAGGCGTATAAATGAGTGACCGGCAGTCAGATTTCCTGTCACTCTGGAGGCAGATTGCGCTCAGTGAGTGATGGACAACTCGAGGGATATTCACTCTTCACTAATTTCTGCCGCTGTGCCTCTTGGACAAGACGGAGCTCCTTCTGGTCGAACTAGGCCTCTTGACAAAATTGAACGTCCGTTAAGTGCAACCAAAGATCATTTTGATATAGCGTGGGTACACAAAACCCAAGCTCAATGTATTCTGAAGCAGGCCTGGCCTGCATAGTAGTGAATGAAGCAAACCACAGACGAAGCATTAGAAGTCTTCTTTTAGGATCTGGCCTGGTAGATACTGCTATTTGAGACATACTGGGCAAGCACTGCCCTCCGCAGCCTTGAACTCAGGATGGTTATGTCATCCTAACAAAAAGACTCGACTGAATACATCTCAAGCGTCTGAGTCCTCAGCCAGCACTGGAAAATGGTAGCTAGCACATATGATCCTACTTGTTGAGCATATCAGCACCAACCCCAAAAAGAATCTACAGAGGGCAGCTAGAAAAGAGTCTCTCCTCCTTCCCAATGTATCCACGAACCACAATTTCCTTTTTCATTGAATGCAGCTTAGCTGACAGGACTTTCTTATACACCTGGGCATGACAACATATCTCATATCTTAAATCTTATACGCCACTCACGCAGAAAGTGGAGGGAACGACCGCACGAAGCTGGCAGAGGAAAAAGACCGTTAGCAAACGCATTCTCAAAACAATATGAGGGATAAATGGCACATACTGAGCAGGGCATTCATAACCAGCAGGGTTCTTGGTCAAATACAGCTGATGGTACTCTTCAGCATCCCACCACTGGCCTGCGGCCACGATTGCGGTCGACACCGGCTGCTTATACCATTCCTGGGAAACCTTGTCCGTCACCTCCCGCGCAATCTTATCCTGTTCCTCGCCGTGCGTGAAGATCGCGCTGCGGTATTGTGTGCCAATGTCGCCGCCCTGGCGATTTAGAGTGGTGGGGTCGTGCATGCGGTAGAAGAATTCTAGAAGGGAGCGGTAGCTGACAATCGATGGATCGAACGTTATCTGCAGGGCCTCGGCGTCTATCGGCATTCACAAACACAAGTTCAGTTTCCCATACGCAATTCGATAGCCCCCTCCCGACCCTAACCAGTCTGCTCAAGAGGTTTCACTTACGACCAGTCTCACCCGTGCACACAGCACGATAAGAGGGGGACGCGCTGTGTCCACCGGAGTAGCCGACCTTGGCTTCCAAGAGACCTTTTCCATTGCCGAAGTGTTTGCGGAAGAGGTGCTCCACACCCCAGAAACAACCGGCAGCCACCGTGGCCGTCTGCGTGTTGGTCGACATGTTGCGCAAAGTGGAAGGTGTGCTCAGAGCCAGAAAAGGCGATGTAGTCGAAAAATGACGGGCAATCCGAGAGAAAAGAGGCGAGCCAAAAGCGGGCGCCGCAAAGGCCATCAATGATTATTTATGCGTTTGCGCTTCTTGCTCCACCTTGAGGTTCTGGTTTCCGCCGTGGTTTCCGCCGGAGAGGGGCGCCTGACAAATCGCGTTTGCAAAGCGGAGATTTCTGTCAATTAATGAGGACAGACTGGATCTAGTCGCAAGAATATCAGGCGCAGTTGAGGTAATGAGAGGTTCAAGGCAATTCAATTGTAGCTGTGTACAATATAATGATAGCTCTCTCAGGGCTCGGGAATTTGCCATTATGAATTTGTCATTTGTACTCCAATTCTGGTGGCGTCATTCCGCGCATGACATAAGATTAGTGGCCACCGGGGTACAACTACACAGTAACCGATCAGAAACGATCAGATTGTACTGTCTATAGCGTAGTACGGGTTCTGGCTCTATTTGAGTATCATTATCGTCATCCGTAGTAGTGGGTTCAGTCAACGGCCCCATGCAGCCGCAAAACAAGTTCCCAGACTTGCAACAAGCTGTTACTGTACAGATCCCGCGCGAATAGGATGTTGGAGGGTAAACAAACGAAGCAATAAAATCATGAACAATGAAATAGAGGATGTGCCGACAATTTGTCTTTCCAAGCCCGGGATGAAATCCAGAATCCCTCCAGTCGAAAAAAAGGTTGTGTAATAATATTTTGTACCGAATCGCGGCTCGTTCGGTCTCAATTTCAAAAGATAGAAAGAAAGCAAATGGTATCTATTCCGAAACACCGTACCAGCAACCCAATGCAATGACACTTAACAATTTCATATGTGATCATCTACCTCATACCAAACCCATTATTGGAGTAGAGAGTCTCTGAAGGCCTCTCCAGAGAAGGGGCTGCCACCATGCTGAGTCTTATAGCATCACGACTGGTAAGACTGATATCCCGTGGGCGAATGTCTCCACCCAAGGTGCTTCGTCGTTGGGTGTTCTTCATGATGGGTAGAGCACGCGGGCTCAGCACGCGAGGTTTGGCCTCCTCTTTCTCGCTCTTGACCATGCGTCTTGCCTGGGAGGCCGTGAACATGGTGTTCTCCGTTGGGGAACTGCCGTATGTCACAGCTGTCGGGCTCCGGCGACGGTGAACGCGGAGTGCGTTAGCCGAGGGTCCAATCCCGAACGAGCCCCCGGAGATGCGCCTCATTGCGGAGGTAATCTTGATAGCATCATCTTTGCTTGCCTTCCAGCTTGTGGCACTCTTAGACTCTGATGCAGGACTGCCGGAGTAGCTTCCACTTGGCGTTCGAACCGCAATTCTCGACGGGCGCTCGACTGACGAACGGTTCAAAAAGCTACTGTTGTCAATATCGCGAAGAGGCGAGTTTTCATTTTCGGAAAGAGGAAGAGTTGAAGTGGGAGGGGGCCCCATGGGCGAACTACCAGGCTTTTTCGACAGAAACCCAGTTTTGAACCGGTTGTTGTTCTTTTGTATGTTCAATGTGGGTTCTGGTACAGCTGAGATGGGAGACGAGCCACTTGATGGGCTGAAGTTGCGTGTAGGCACTGGAATCCCTCGTGGGATAGGAGATGCCCGAGGCAAAGGAGGATCGCCGGGGCTGGCTTCTGGTACTGGTGCCAAACCCGGCTTCTGAGGAGTCTTCTGAACCTCGGTCAATGCACCATCTTCTTCGTCGTCCCTCCACCGCACGCTTCTCTTAACCGGCTTCGGCTGGACCTTCTTGGGCGAAAAGCTGACACTCTTCCTTCCCACATTCAGCTTGCGGCGTCTTGGAGACCCCTTTGTAGGAGAGGGGGGTGCTGCTGGAGTCAAGATCACTGGCGCATGTGAGATCCGACCGATGGGCGCCGCGGCGGCTAAGCTAACCCTCTTCTTCTGCTTAGGAGAGCCCATTGTGCGCTTAATGGGACTGGCTGGCAAGAGGGATGGAACACTACCGTCAGGCTTGACCAGGCTAGATGTCACGGTAGAGCAGGAGCTAAGCATCTTTGCCAGGATCTTCCTTCCTGTCTCAACAGCCTCTTCCTCACTCATCTCCATAATGTTCTCAATCTCGGAGATAGTCTCGAATTGGGCCTGGAGCAGCACTTGCACGGTGGCTGCGTCTCCAGCTTTGTCCTGGTCGGCGACTGCCGAGAGAGCCTCGCGCTCCGTGTTCGCACGCAATAGCTCTGCTTCGCGATGAATGTTGTCGATGTCGTTGTTATCGTTCAAATTGAACTCCTGCAGCTGACGAACGGCATGTTCAACAGCGCTCACGAGGATGCGGTCCCACGTAGACTTTGCTAATCGCTGATGGTAGTGTTGCCTGCTACTCTCCAATTCGAGGAGAATTCCTTGTGCTGTTTTGCGAATGGCTTGGAGGTTGCATAGTGATTGATCAGAATCAGAAGAGGCGCAGACATGATCAAATGCAGCAATCCAAGACGACAGCAGTCCTATCCGACGGCTAATCTGCCTCAATTTGATCATATTGTTGGTCCTTTCCTGCCTTTCTGGCAGTGAGTGTTCGTAAGCATTTCGAATACGAGCAATGCCCTCTCGCATGACTGCATCCTTCTTCTCTGTCTGTTTCTTAAACTTGGCGAAGGCAAGCTTCTCATAGTTCTTCTGCTGTGCCTTCAATTCATTAATCATGGCCATTTGTTCATCGATCTTTACCAAGAAGTCCTTGACGTGGCGGTTAACATTGAAAACGTTCCGCGTCACCTTTGTTTGGATGTTCTTTGCTCTATTAGCATAGCGTAATGTGTTTTGAGTTTCGTCGAAATGTTGGCTTGATGGGCTGACACAAACAATCATCACTGTCTTGCAATTGCCGCCCAGCGCGAATTTTAAGAGGCGAGTCAATTTTGAGTTTCGGTAGGGAATATGGTTTCGCTTTCGGGGATCGCAGAGTGCGTTGATGCAGCTCCCAAGCGCAAGGAGGGATTTGTTGATATTTGCGCCCTCGAACAGTCGTTCTCCTCTGTTTTTGGTGGCACTAGCACGCTCGCTGCCGGCAAGATCGATGATGCTCAAAGTGGCCATTGTATGGGGCTCGTTCACATCCGCATTCCGATCCTTTTGTGCAATGTTGATTTGGAGAACCGCATGGGAGCGCGAAGACGTAGCATTAGCCTCCGTCGGTGACATGGTACGGCATTCATTGCCCCTCATGATCATATCCATCACTTGCTGGACGTTCTGCGGATGATGGCTTGACAAGCCAGCCACAGAAACCGAATGGTTGGAATCCTCCCGAAGCATCAAACCTCCCTTGCTCCCTCCAGGCACAAGCAAATCTCGAATTGTCTCATTATAGATCTCGAGATAAGAGAGTGAGATCTCGGTCGCCTTTTCGTCAGATCGTTCATCGATACGTTCAAAAAGCTCCTGCATTGTCATGAAGATAATACCCGGTTGCTGGGCTGTTCCAGTAATCGTATGAGTCTTTCCACAGCCCGTTGCACCGTAAGCAAAAACAGTGGCGTTGTACCCGTCTAATACACTGTCGAGGAGCCCCCGCGTTGTTGATTCATATACCTCACCCTGAGAGGCATTTTGATCGAAGATGCGGTCGAAAGCGAAGGTTTGATCCTTGACACGTTTCCCTTGTGGTACGACGCTCTTCGAGAATTTCTGGATGGGGTTGTCTTCCGGGGGATCGAACACACTATGTAATTGCAAACGAACTCAGTTAAAAATGCACATCGATCACGCAGAATATGCCATGTCACTCACAGGCAACGGTCATCTATGACCTTGATGATGGATCGAAGACCTTTCTGGTTAAGCTTGGGTGTTGGTGCTGCCGCCAGTGACCCGTCACCGAGAAATAATGGGCCATCTTCGCATTTAGAGAGCTGCGCGGCTTCTCGGATGGTAAATGGTCTTACCCGAACCGCGACAGTGATGGAAGAAGCGTCAGCCATATTGGTAGAGGAACAATCGGTCAATGATGTATCACCACAGAGGCGTCACGTCCCTCTAGGCAATTCAACGCGATGGTCGGCTATCCAGGGGAGCGACGCCCTGTACCGTCCACGAAGCAAATGAAGAGAGAATACCGAGAAAAAGACGACAAACCCAGTCGCTGAGATGTGGAAGACAGGAATGTTGACTGTGGACCTATTGACACAGAAGGCCCCGGAGATTCTCCCTTAATGAGTGACGCTGAGACTAACTAGTTCGAGCTTCAGCCAAGCTGTTGACATTTGGAGTGTTGTCCACCGCCCCGTTGCTCCTGACAACCGTGTGCGGTGTGGATAACGTACGTCTGCCGTGCCCTTGCCGGACTCTTCGAGCGGCTTCGCACATCCTTGCCGATAGCTGTTCGAGGCACGTCCAGGTAGTAGCTAATACCACGCACCATTAAGCCAGCTCCTCCACCTTCCATGCAAACGATTTGTGACGGCTATCTACATGATCAATGGAGGTTTCAAGCGCAATCTCCGTCTGTATACTGATAACAGCATCGCATTGGAGCCTCAAACTTGAAGTAGGTCTCTCAGCATACTGCAAGAGGGATGAGACCAGCGAAAGTACAGTTACTACGAAGCCCATAAAGCATCTCCCATCATGGAATTACAGCTTCAGATCGAATAATATTATGACGTACCGCATGAAACGAGTGGTCATGAAATCAGAAGAGAACATGTCAGGCCTAAGATGAGCCTACCACGAAACGTCACAGGTCTTTCGTTATCCATCAGAATGAGCCATGCGCCAGAGTCGTTCAAAGGATTCATAAAACGTATCTGACTTGTTGTGTCGCATCTCAGAGAGGGTAGATGCATATTCAGGTCGTTATTCGTTAGCCCAATATCAAAGGAACTCTAGGTTCACAAGTGGCCAGTAATCCATTCTGATCATGACTGGCATGTCAATGCTGGGTTCCGCATGCGACCAATAGACGATCTTTGTGTAGGCCTTTACTGACGTTTTGGAAAAATCACGCTCAATTTCGATCCTCTTCATCGTCCTCAAAGGCAGGCAGGACAACATCCCAGCCGGGGTCTTCCAGGTCTAAATCCGCCAACTCATCACTCTTCTCGGGCTCCTCGGTCGCAGGCTTCCGAAATCTGAAGGCAAGCGACTGGCCATTCTTAATATCTGCAGCTAGTAGGGTCAAGGAGCCGGCTGCATTCTTGCCGGTTCCTCGTTTGGGCGTATCAGCAACATCGAAGTCGGCAACCTCAACCTCAAGCTTTATCCAGCCTTTCTCTAGGTCATTCTTGTCCACTGGGACTCCAAGCTCAATCTCAGAGGCATCCGCTGGAACGACATCGCCATTTATGTCTCTCAGTTCGCGAGCTTGAAGGGCTTTGAGCAGCGCACTTTTAGCAGCAGCGACCGTTTCGGAAGGAGGAAGCATTAGAAGGACAGTGGTTCTGTGCTTCTTGAACAAGAGAGTCCAACTGAGGGGATCTGGTTGAGACTGTATTTTAATATCAGATTAGTATGATACCTTTGAAGCTTAAGTGTGAGCAGGCCACTCTTACCATGATGTGTTCGTTGTAGTCAGTCTACGTCGAAGGTCGTTCTTTCAGAGAGCTTCGGAGGGTCGGCGGAGCCTTTGGAGTTCGGAGCTCGGCGAGCGAGCCGTCGAAAGTCGAGGCCGACACTTCCAGGACTGATTCACATCTCGTCAATGCATTCTCAAAGAAAGTGATATCACCTCCCGACGTGGGATTAAAAGCAACACTTTCATTCTCAATCATAATCAAGGCCTTCGTCGTTTTGTTCAAACTTGAAGAATATTTTCGCCGACCCCGCAGCATGGATGTTCAGCACCCATCGGACGCGCCCGAGTCCCTGGACTCCGTTGTCACGACGGAAGAGCCTCTCAGAAATGATCCAACTCAAAGACTAGGAATGACTACTGGAAGACGCGCGCTGATTACAGGTGCTTCAGCTTTCACTATGGGCTTCTGTCTCGGATTCTACAAAGCCAACAGCACTTCGATCTATCGTTTCCGCGCGGAGAACGCACACCGGCAGCCCACGACTTCAATGGCATGGTGGCAATACCATAAGACGCGCAGATATGTCGCTATCATCGCAGGTACAAAAGAGGCATTTAGGATGGGACCTAAGCTAGGCGGCGGTGCGATGGTCTTTACCATACTTGAGGATATCGTGGATCAAGCCCGGAACGGCCAGCGGGATTTTCTGTCTTCAGTTGTCGCAGGCTTGTCATTCTCAAGCCTTTACAGCCTATTTGGTCCGTCACTACTGCCCCTGAAGGCTCCTTGAATTTATTCGCTAATCATTTCTTGCACTCTAGCGCAACATGATATGTTCACTATGGCTCGCACCGCCAAGTTCAGTTTGAAATTAGGCCTCACGTACGGGTTAATTCAAGACGGCCTCGCATGCTTGAAGGGCCAGCCGCCTGCCTATGTCAACTTCATCGTTGGCAAGCCTCAGACGAAAGCTGAGTGATGACTTGAGAGATCATACGATCACTCTCTATGTTATCATAGCTCTTCATCACAGCTACGGGCCTGTATCTCTTGAACACATACTCCAATCAACTGCCTTGTCCTATACAGCAACGGCTCGGGTTTCTGGCACGGTGCGACTTTACGGTTACGGATATGAACAATGAAGAAGCGGTGAAGTTCTTGGTTCTCAGAGGACAGTTCCATTCATGCTTCTGCTTCATAATGTCAGAACTCAGTCTATGGCCACGAAACGAGGACCCCCAATACCTTTCCGACCACTTCTTACTATGCATGATGGATTAGCTGTTGACGTGCTTAGGAAGCTGGGAAAGGAACACCAACGCATGTCTTGTGGATCTAACTTCAGATGATAGCTAAAAGCCGGAGGAGGGCAGTGGCTTGGTTTCAGACAAAGACCACTGATGGCACAAACCAAAGCCGAACCGGTTCTCTGACCTTCAAGGCTCTTCTAGCGTGGCATGCCACTGTCGAGCATCGGCGACGGCGAGGCGATTCGACGCCTCAGAAGAGCGTGCGGCAAGCCCCTTATGTATTGCTCTCGATACCAGCTAATTCCACGTACCAAATGCTCGACTTGTCTCTTTCCATAATTTGTATGTACTATCATGATTTTGTGCGGGCATTGAAAAGTCTTTGCCTAAAAACAGCATTGCCAAATCGTTTTGTGGCTATCCATTTCCGCAGCTCCGTAGGCATCACCAGGCTCGGACGCAGGACACCTCCGAGGCCTTTATAGAAAGGCGTAGATTGGTTGGAACTACTTTCCACGGCAATGCGTACATGTATCGTCACTTGACCCGTCTATTACTCCCAGCAAGGGCGGTTGTGCTACTACTACTTTACCATCCGAGTATGCCCAGTCTCGGTGGGGAGGCCGACCTCAATGGCCAGAAAATCGATCAGTCTAGGATGGTGCATGATTCCTGCGGCAGGGGATCATGCTGTCAGGTGGCTTTCTAGTCCAAGAATGCAAGTGACTTTGGCTACGGAGGTTATATGGAATAATGGCAAACGGTGATCGATCGACCTAAAATAGCGCTGCCATGCGAACATTATGCCGGTTCTACTACCTCCTCATAAACCCCGCTCCAATATCCACTGTTTGTAGCTGCAAAACGAATGGAAACAGACTGGCTGGGCCGTCTACCGGTCCCAGAGCGGTTTTCAGTCCGTGACAGAATTGGCGCATAAACAAGTCAGTCAGTTATGTTGCTGGTAAGAGATCGTGGTGGTTTCGTCGCAACATGCAGGTGGCCGCTGATAACCGAAAGACTTCAGGTCTCCGTGCAGCAACGATGGAATATCATAAGATCTACTGACTACCTTGAAGGCAAAGACCAAGGGCACAAAGACATGGGAACCGGAGAAAAAGAAAGAAAAGGGGGTGGAATCTGCAGAGTACACTTCATAATCAAACGATCAATTGGTTAACTGGTTCGCGGATGGCCCATTATGCAGACAAGAGAATGTCCCGATTGTTCCGAAGGCCGCATGTTTCACCCTCAACACGGCTTTCTGCACTGTTCTGGAAAAATTGCTTCTCGTAGACACGTTTGACTGAAGAAGTCCAATTGACGGGAGTGAAGGTGGCTATATTGGATTGTATCATGGATGATTGTATCATTGTACCGACAGAGTGGAAACCCAAAGTGGCGGGAAAGAGTCATGAAAGAAACCAGCGCAAGCTCACTGACCATTTGCGGCAGCTGTGGAGCCTCAACCAGAGAATTTGACGTTGGTGATCCCCGCTTTCCAACTAGCCTGGCCTTTTTGGGGCCCTCTGCTAAGCTGCAGCAGTGGTGTCGAATCCACCTTAGGCTTGAAGGCTTGAAGCTGCTTGCTGCTGCTGCTCTTTAGTCTAACTTACTGCTCCTGCTTTTTGCTCAGTCTGCGCTTGCTGCTCTTGCTGCTGCTGCTGCTTCTGCTGCTTTTTGCTCCGCCAACTTAAAACTAGACTAAATGAACTAAACTACTTCTACTACCACTACCTACTAGTTACAATACTACTCACTCCATAATAATTCTCAACTAACCCAGTCTTTCTTCAACCCTCTTTCCTTCCATCTCCCCCTCTTCCCTCCCCTCTCCCTCCCTCCCCTCCCCCTCCATTATGCTTTGTAGTCCTTTTACAGGACGAATTTTGATCACTGCTTGTTACTCTATCTCTTCTCCTTCTCCTTCCAACTTCTCTCCCTCCCCCTCTACTCATTCAGATTTGTTCTACTCGTCTCAACCAGAACTAATCATTGCTCTCCTTCCCCCCGCGAGTTCCAGCTGATTGTCCTATCTCCGACGAATCTTTTGTCCTCCCCCGCACCGTGGTTCCCGAAGAATAAAAAAAAAAGATGTCTCCCTGAGCACGAAAAAGAGCTCCCCCCGTGATTCCCTTTTCGTCGACGTCATCGGGTCATTGATCGCTTTCCCGGCCGAACTATATGCTCCCCCCCATCGAAACTTCTTTCCTAATCCCCTTTGTATCCTTACCACGCCTTTTGGATCTTCTACCAACCATTTCACAATGCGCCGTCATGGCAGGGCCAGCGGGGGTTCGACCAAGGCCGTCACACCTATCTCCGAAACCGCATCCCTGCTACATTCGTTTGATTCGGTGACCAATCCCAATCGTCCTGTGCGTCCGTCGCCGTTGACCTCTTCGAACATCCGAGCGTTGCCGCTAGACCTTGTCGATCGATTGCGCTCCTTCCCTCTCTTCCATACAACCCCGGAATCATTTTTGATCGATGTCGGCCAACATCTTCGCCCCCAGCTCCACCAAGCCAATGACTACATTCTGACAGAAGGTGACGAATCCAAGGCGATCTACTGGTTGGTTCGCGGTGCAGTCTCGGTAACTTCTCGCGATGGCGAGAGTGTGTATGCAGAACTCGAGGCTGGTGCATTCTTCGGTGAGATTGGCGTCTTGATGGACCGTCCCCGCACGGCAACCATTGTCGCTCGCACCAGGTGCTTGCTGGTCGTTTTGACCAAGGAGGATTTCAGGCAAATCCTTCCCCGCTTTCCTGAAGTGGAGCGGGCCATCAGAGACGAAGCACAAGAGAGACTGATGATCTTGGAGAAAAAGAAGAAGGAAACATCTGCTCCGGTTATCGAGCCTGGAAGCCCGGCTAGAAGAGGATCGAAGAGAGTGAGAGACACGTTTTCTGGAGATCTCAACCCCAGCGAGCAGGATGGCAGGTCATTGGCGTCCGTTAGCAAAAAGCGGAAATCACCCAGCCCTGGTTTGGCTGACGGATCTTCCAGTGCGCTGGCGAACGGACTGGTCAATGTCCGACTTCTTCTCAAGGAACTACCCTTATTTGCCGGCCTGCCGCCAGATATTCTCCACTTCCTGGGCCTCAATGTGCAACCCCGATCTTACCCTCCATTTACCGACATAATCAAACAAGATTCTCAAGGACGCGAGATATACTTCATTGTTCGCGGAGAAGTCGAGGTCCTCTCGGAGAGGGCAGAAGCACAGCATACGCAGTCCTTACCGAAGACTATCGAACACCCTGGCTTCGAAGTAAAAGCACGGTTGAAACAAGGTCAGTATTTTGGAGAGGTCGTAAGTCTGTCGCTAGCACCTCGAAGGACTGCTACAGTCCGATCTATCAGTGCGGTAGAATGTTTGATGATCAGCGGCGAAGTGCTGGCTGAGTTTTGGGAGAGATGCCCTCAGAAGGTCCGCCAGCAGGTAGAGCAAACTGCTAAAGAGCGGCTTCAATCAGCTTCTGATGGCGATGTTGTGATGTCAGATGAGGGAAGCACTGAGCCTTATGGTAATCATATGGATGTTGATGACAACTTCAAATTAAGGGCGTCTCGGAGGCAGTCCATGCCCCTTCTCACACTGACAGAAACGGAGTTGGATAGCACACCGAGACCCAACGGTGTAGATGAGCAGGCTCTCTTGCGTCCATCAGATCCAGACCCATTTTTGAACGTTGGCTTGGATAAAGTCCGCCTTCGAAGTCGACGCGGATCGGTTGCCCCAATGACCCCGGAGGAAGCCTCCGGAGAGCAGCAGCGGCCGTCAACTCCATCTTCTGAGCCACGGTCCACAAGCTCATCCTTTCTCACGTTACCTGGCACGCCTAGACTTTCTACGTCCCAGGAAAGCACCCGTGCCCCCCGCCAGGACAATCATGGAGTGTTCCCTGACAAGATCCTCACGAAAATCTTTCAGCACATGGAGCTTCATGATCTGCTACGCCTCCGAGCCGTTTCGATGCACTGGTCCAAGCTTCTGAGTACATCCGCTGATCTACTCCACAATCTTGACTTGAGCGTATACAACCGGTGCATCACCGATGATGTCCTAACGAAGATAATCTGCCCCTTTGTGGGCAGCAGAGCTCGCCACGTCAACATCAGTAATTGCTTCCATATCACCGACGAGGGATTTAGCAGATTGGTTGCTGCATGTGGTTCCAACGTTATTGGCTGGAAGATGAAAAGTGTGTGGGATGTCACGGGATCGGCCATCCTTGACATGGCCAGCAGAGCAACCGGCTTGCAAGAGGTTGATCTTAGTAACTGTCGAAAAGTTGGAGACACCCTATTGGCGCGGATCATAGGATGGGTTGTACCCAGTCATTATAAGCCCAACGAGGAGCCTGCGAAATCTGGCAAAGGCTCCTTGAAACCTACCAAGCAAACAGCAGCCGGTACTGTGTACGGCTGTCCCGAACTCAAGAAATTAACCTTATCCTACTGCAAACATGTCACCGACCGCTCTATGCATCACATTGCGTCACATGCTGCCTCCAGGATCGAGGAGATGGACCTCACTCGCTGCACGACAATCACAGATCAAGGTTTTCAATATTGGGGAAACGCACAGTTTACCAACTTGAGGAGATTGTGTCTAGCCGACTGCACATACTTGACTGACAATGCTATTGTCTATCTCACGAATGCCGCCAAACAACTTCAGGAACTGGATTTGGTCAGTGCAAACCACCGCTTTCATATTGTGTTTCACGCTTACTTACCGACAACAGTCCTTCTGCTGTGCATTGTCAGATACTGCGACAGAGGTACTTGCTCTACAGTGCTCCAATTTAACCTATCTCAATATGTCCTTCTGCGGCTCTGCCATCTCCGACCCTTCCCTGCGCAGTATTGGCCTGCACCTTTTGCATCTTAAGCGGCTCTCAGTTCGTGGCTGCGTGCGGGTCACTGGTGCTGGTGTTGAGGCTGTGGCGGAGGGCTGCGATAAGTTAGAGTCCTTCGACGTCAGCCAATGCAAGAATCTCACGCCATGGCTTGAAGCCGGAGGTGTTTCCAAATATGCCAAACGAATTAGCTTTGAGACTGTCGCTATCGACGGGAAAGTTTTCCGCTGACCCTTTCGACGCTGACCCTTTGCAGCGTCGAAAGCCTCAAGCCTTGGCGTGAGCAGTTCATTGCCGGGAGAGAATACTTTACAAGGCAACGGCGACATCAAAGCAGTTATCAGCTCGCAGCTTTGGAGACATTATTGTTTGATATCTATGTTATTCATTGTGTGATACACTTGTTGCCCATTTCCTCGTCAATCTCTGGGAGCCAGGTTTCACGTCTACTTCCTCCACCTCTATATTGTACGCTCGTTTGGGTTACCTTGCTTTTTGACTTCTTAAGGAGTTAGGTTCTGGCCGCATATCTTTCAGATTCTGTCGCGATGGATTTTGGTTGCATCGCATGAACATGTGAAGTGATATTCGACTCAGGCGGCTCTTCTGGCGAAATTATTTCTTGTCTGGGTGGGATGGGGTTCGTGGCTGATTACAGGTTATGACGGCAACGCGGGCATAATAGGAGTTTGATGCTGGACACACCGAGCGCATGGCAGCATGATTTATTATACCAGGTTGAGCCGGGTGATAATTTTGTACATGTAGGAAACCCTGTGCCGTCTCCGTTCTTTGTACCTTAGAGATTTTTCCTTCTTCTCTATCTTCCTTTCGTCCTCTCTCCAACGCTCTCTTCCTGCCATTTCTTGGGAATAGTCCCTTGGCTTGTCGAACCAACACACTATCTTCCCTAGACCTTTGAATATACCAACATCTTTTCCCATAGATTGAGAAGCGGATGTTTGTTTGATCGGACTGGCCTTCTGATCAGGTAAGTCTCTTTAGACCTGGTTGTATCAGTGGCTATTACTTTGAACCTAGTTCTTCAAAGGCGCGAGACCTGTCCTGCTTGTCTGCGATTCTACCGACTTTTCAACCCGAACTTGAGAAGTTAGCTGTTGCCTGTTCTGTAATGGCGCAACGGATCGTTCCGTCCAGCTCTGGAGCCTTATATGCTCCGACCGTCTTTCCGTTAGTCGATTGGTCGCCTTAGGCACTTTATATTTCATATGCTCGAGGCCAGCCTACGGCGGGTAGGTAGTAGTTCAACTGGATATTGCAGTAGCCGATAACGGAAGGGGAGGCGCGGGAAGGGTACAGCAGGTGGATTAATCAGTACGCTAAGTCAGGAGTAACTGGTACTACTACTGTGTGCGGTCTATGACCAGCACGTCTTCGTGTACTGTACTGTAGTTGCGCCATGAGATAAACTATGGGGGAACTCATGGGCATATGAAATAATGATTGACGACGACAAGACATATACCAGTTCAAGCCAGCTATTAAGCAGATGCTTGGTGTGGTGCGTACGTACGTATACCTATGTAACCTAGAAATCGAATCCAAACGCCTTTCTATGCCAACTGCCTACATGGGGGGTATAACCAATGGCCCAAACTGATACACCCGGACCTGTATAGCTTCCCTTGAGAACGCCGTGTTCAAAATATCATCCAAGAATATAGGGATTAGAGCACTCATAGTGATCAGTCAGAACACAAGAGACTCATATTCAATGAGTCAGGTTGTGACCCAAAAAAAAGACAAGAGAATAAGAAAGGAAGGAGGGAAGCACCTCATCACTCACTCCCTCCCTTTCGGTCGATAGCAACAACACACCCCCCTCGCCTCACACCACTCCTTCACCAGCGCAGCGCCAACCTCGCGATCTTCATTCACGAGACCCAGGCCCTCTGTGTTGAGCCATGTTGTAAAATCCTCCAGAAAGATCGAATCGTACATGAGGATTTTTTCGTGCCAGCTGGGCTGTCTGGAGGCGCTGGTGGGCCGGAGGGGGCGCTGGAGATACACGGCCTGACTGATTTGATCGTGGATGTTGGGGGATTCGACTGCGCGTTCTGCGTGTATCTTCTTGGCCAGGGTGGTTGCTTTTTCCTTGCTGGGGCTAAGTGGGATAGTGGGAGTGATGGTGGTGGGTAGGCTCGGTTGGGGGGCGGCGTTGTGCGAGAGATATTGCGCTTGTAAGCGGCTTGGCGAGGGGATGCTTTCGTCGTCTTCAGAGTCTTGGATTTCTTCGATGTTGGCGAAGGAGTATGTTGAGGTGGTCTTGCTCACGATCCCTGGCGAGCTGGGTTTTGCGATAGCTTGTGACGGTTGTCGAGATGGCAGGCGTTTGCTCTTCGAGACTGCAGATTCGACAGGGGCGGTTGTTGTTTTGATGAATGTGGTGTCCGGTTGAGTCTTAGGCTGAGACTCTGTGTTCGTTATCTTGGTAGTAGTGGTTTTACGCGTTTTGGTGGGTTTGTTCGAGGCCTTGGGGACAAGAGTCGGCACCGACGAGGTAGGCGGTTTTGGAGCTGGCTCATCCGAAACGCTTGGAGCGGCTGTACCATGCTCGCTTTCCCAGCACTTAGTGAGAATCTCGATCATTTTCGGACGGCTTTTGATAGGCTTGAATCCAAACTTAGCAATTCGTTTAGATAATTGAGCATCTGTGAAACCACTGAAGTGTGGCATTGTGGGCTGTCGTCGTGCTGGGGGCCGATATGCGGCCGCACTTGCTTGACTTTCGGCGGTCCCTGAGGTCGCAGTCGCAGATATAGATAAGTCGTCTCCAGACTCCTCTGTATCTGGAACTACTTCCTCTTTGGTTGTTGATGATGTTTGATCCTTCTTTTGCTCACTGACCGCTTTATCAAAAACGGCGCGAGCCTTGGGGGTATCGGGTCCATCTGCCAGATCAACAATCTCTAAGGGCAAGACAGACCCATCAACATCACGGGATGCGACGGACCAGAGCTTTCTTGAAGCTGTGAAACGCGAGACCGTCAAGGGTAAAGTATCACGCGCGCTGCCATTAGCGCGAGTGCTTCTCTCCAATGCTAAGCTTTGTTCTGATTCCCAAATTGCCGTTTGTAGCTCTCTTATCGTCGTAGGAGAGTCCTCACGTTCCAACTGACTGCATGTGCCAAACACCAGTTCTTGGTCATTGAGGGATTTCACAGCCGCTTCGGGGGAGAGAATGACAAGCTCGGGTTCTTGTGGTTTGGTTTGGTTTGTTTTTCTCATTGTTTTCTTGGATGTGGGTACTGATGACATGTTGGCCAAGTCACTTTCCTCCGTATTATCCATACCCTCAGTAGTGGCGGCAAGATACTGAGCTGTTACTCGAGCTGTAAGTGTCGAGAACTTCTTCGTAGGCTTGCTGGTTTTCTTCACGACAGCGGAGCTTTTTGGGTTCAATGGTTCGTCTTCGGTTAAAGATTTGTCGCTACTTTCATTGACCCTTAGATTGTGTCCTGAATATACCCTAGAGTCAAGCAGCTGAACAAATGTTAGTTATCTCAAGCCAGATAACAAGCGCCGGAAACTCAACCGGGGGGACATACTTCAATACGTCTTCTCTTTGTAGGACCGTTCTCTTCCAAAACCCGACCCTGAGCTCGAGAAGCAGCGGTGCCACCGAAACCAAACTCGGACAACATAGTCCCAAAACTTCTCATATCGTTGCTTTCCTGATGCAATGTGTCGTCTAGCCCAATACTCTGTTTTGTGGCACCGTCAAGGGGCGTCCAATCCAATCTTCTTTTCAACGCTTGTTCCAGCTCCAAGCCATGTTTCTCCCAGTTGCAGGCATCATCCGCAGAGTTCTGTTTGATAGATAGCTGCGGAGTTGAGGAACAATTGGTTTTCTTGTCGGCTTGCCCCTCAATTGGCAGTGATGAGCTGCTAGTCTTCGCAACCCTCCCTATTATCGTTCTATTTGGAGCCGTCGCGCGCTTTGTCGTGGTCTTTGGTGCTTTCAGTTTCCCCTCCCCAGCCGTCGGCTTCTTCGGAGCGTCCTTCTTGGTCCGACCGTCGACGGATTTATTCGAGTCTTCGACGCTATCCTCCGCTTTCTTCTTGGGCCGTCCTCTCTTTTTCACTGGAACCTTAGGCTGACCAGCTTCGGCACCAGTCACACCTGTCTTGTCGGTCTCTGTAGTCTTAGCTCGTTTGCTGGGCTGTTTCTCGTTCTCAAAGAACCTCGATCGCGTAGGGTTTTGGAAGAGGTCTGATGGAGAAGGCACCTCAGCGGTGGTGGTATCGATTGGCGACAGGTCAAAGAGCTTCTGAGCGTCGTACTTGAGTGGTGCAGGCGTATCGATCGGGCTCTGCTGCTCTGGCGAGGACGACAGTACAATGACATCCGCGGTGGCGGTCATGTTGGCGAGTCTCTGGATTTCCGACCTTCTCGTCAAACCTATGGCGAAGCAAACCCATAAGGGTCGGTCGATGCAGATCAAGGATCCTCAGTATGTAAATGAGCTTGTAAACATTAGTGAAAGTATAGGCTTGGGCTAAGCCAAATGAAACAACCTTGGTGTAAAAGTTGTAGATGCGGCGAGATCGAGACCTCCGCGATGCGTCTTGGCAAAGTTGAAGGATTTCCGTTTCGGGATGACGACATCGGTGGACTGGGCAACCATGAGCATGTGATCTGTACTAAGTCCAATTGTCAGAACTACAATGCGTGAGATTAACTATGCTCTGCAAGATAACATTTCAAATAAATTCACTGGGTATATTGATTCTATTTGTTCTAATTTGTTGCCGTGCAGGAAGTAAAGACCCGGCACTGCACTCTGCATTATCAGACTGGAGTCTCCATGCACAGATTTCGGACATTCTTGTATCTTGTCTAATTGAGCAAGAGTGTTCGAGACGAACGTCGCCGGGGAAAGCAGGTCTCGTGACAGGCCCTCGACATCGAATCAAGCCTGCTTAGGTATTTTCCACGAACGCTACCATGTATAGACAGCTTGAATGGCGTGGGATAGTGAACAGCTGTTTCCACAGGCCTGGTGGATTCCCCATCATAGAGTAATGGTGAAAGAAGTTATCTCAGTCCCAGAAGATCAATCAAGTGGCCCCGCGCAACGCAATTGCTCCCAGAACCGCAAGTTCAAGTTGCCTCGTACCATCGCTGTTTGTGCCATTCGCCTGCGTCGGGGAAGGAGTTTTCAGGGCACCCAACTTATAAGCTTTCTTGATTTTTGGAACATCGGCAATTCTCGACAAGGTTTCGTCATCGAATGGCACAGCGGAGCCTTCGACATGTTGAGAGAGGTGTGCGGCTACTGCGTTATGGGTGACATCCGGTGTCACTGAGACCTTGATCACGAGAAGGTCTTTGGTGGAGTCCGCAATGCCGAATTTGCGGAACGATTCAGCGATCTGTAGATCGTTAACCAGGCTGTCAGTGCTTTCCACGTTCCACCATTTAGACGTACATTGTTCGCTGGACTGAAAGAGAAGACGATTTCCGAGTGGACATTGCGCGACTTAAGACGTCCGTTAATCGAGTCATTCACGGCTCGAAAGACGGCGGACAAGGCATGAGCTCGAGAAAGAACCTGCGAGCAACATTTAGAATCATTGATTGAGAGCATGCGTATTCCTATTGGTCACCCATACCATGCTTGCATCAATGAATGCATATTCAAAGTCAGCATTCCCTGAGATGAGCTGTTGGCGAAGAGAAGCGGCATTCTTGACATCCCGATAAAGTGCGACATGAATTGGCATCGAAGGTGGCAGATGCGCAAGGTCTATGGTTTCGAGCAGCGAGGAAGACATAGTGCAAAGAGGAACTACGGTCCTTGGGCTAGAATTGCAGAGAAATTGTCAGACATACGACAGCGGCACATACGAGAAGTGGCGGAGTTACTCACAATTCACTTTTGTCACAAATAGTAAGTAGCAGATATCCGGCTTAAGTCCATTAATTCCCCTCCCCCACCAAAGATTATCGCCGAGGGCGGCCACCGCTGAGTAATTATTGAGTCACTGGTCAGCTTCACGTGATTTCACTTCTCGAACGTTCGGGCCGCCGTAGCCAGCGGCACCCCGGATTGATATCATCGCTTTTGCTTTTAAGTAGCCTTGCTCCTCTTCCTTCCCCTCGTCATCATCCATCACACATCGCTCTCACAATCATGGCGTTCTTCTTACGGCGCCCGTTCGCCGTACCATCGGCGCTTCGTCAAATCTCCAAGCCTGCCAACAGCGCTCGATTTATCCACAACACACCATTCAAGCCGGTTCAGCCGAAGCCTGCTGGCCCCGTCTCTGCTTCCATCTTCGCCAAATCCCGTCAGACCTTCCAGAATGCCTTCCGCCGCACGTACATGCAGCCTTCCTACAACTACAGCACTCGTGGTGAGCTCATGCAAAAACTGGCCTACGGTGCAGCCATTGTCGGAGGTACCATCATTGCAACGAACCTGATCTTCAACCGTGAGACAAGAGAGGATGGCGGTATGCCTCATTATGAGCGCAGCTACCTGAACGAGACTTTCATGCATACCGGACTTGGTGTTGGTATCATCGCTATCGCTGCTCGGGCTATGCACATGAACGGTTTCTCCTACCGCATGATGGCTGCCAACCCGTGGATGGTTGTCGGTCTCGGTCTCGTCGCTAGCATTGGAACTATGTACGGTACTTTGTACACTTCTCCTGACAAGTAAGTACTCTTTACCGTCTCACCATCCTAGCCAGCAAGAACAGTAATGCTCACACTTGAACTAGCTATGTCGTGAAGTACGGTCTCTGGACAGCTTTCAACGTCACTCAGGCGGCTCTTCTGTCTCCCTTGATGTTCATGAGCCCCGCTCTGCTCGCCCGCGCCGGTCTCTACACTGTCGGAATGATGGGTTCCATTGCTTTCGTGGGTGCCACCGCCAAGCAGGAGAAATACCTGTACCTTGGTGGTCCTCTGCTCGCTGGTGTGGCCATCGTTGCTCTCTCCGGGTTCGCCCCTCTGGTCCTCCCTGCCACCGCCACCCGGACTTTGATGTGGTCTGAGAAGATCTGGCTGTACGGTGGCCTTGCCGTCTTCGGCGGTTTCACCCTCTATGATGTCCAGAAGATTCTCCACCATGCTCGCCTCGCTCAGCGCGGTCTTGTCCGCAAGGATGTTGTCAACGAGAGCATCAGCTTGACCCTGGACTTCATCAACATCTTCGTTCGCATGGTTCAGATTCTGGGCATGCGCCAGAACCGGAAGTAAATGGACCGCTATCCATCAAGACACCAAATCAAGTCTCGTGGCCCATTTGAGAGCCGCTCTGACGACCCCCCCCCCCCTCCCGGGTGACTGCCCGTCAGTCACATCAACAACCAAATCCTTTTGGAATTCGGATCGATTGAGAAGTTGGAACAAGGTTGATATCTCGGCTCTGCTTTTGCGTCCGTTGTAATTTTATTCCTTTCATGTTTCTCGCAGATCTTCCTTTACAGCCTGTAGATGGCACATTTTACTAGGGTACTTTTGGTTCTCCGCCCATGCTGGTAGACAGCCATGGTATTCAAGCGGAGTGACATAGTATGCACAGCTTCAATTTTAGCCGCATACAAGGAGGAAACAATGACAACTCCACTCACGCATCCGCTGCATTTCTAAAGTAATCGTTCAGTATCTGTAGTTCTCGATACACTCAACTGCTTGCTCATTTGAAAGCATCAGGCATCCCTCCAGCGATCCTGCGAACAGCACGCAATCCCACAACCGCACATCTACATCCCACAAACAACCATCATGATCCAGCAGCCCATCAGCATCCCCAGTCCCACCCTCCCCACACCCGTAACATAAGTAGATGAAGACTCCGAAGGAATCCCCGTAAATCTTTCCTTTTCATTCCCCTCTGAACCACCACCATCACCACTTCCTCCCCCAGCCAACCCACCCACCACCTCATCCCCCGTCCCACCCCTCTTCGCAAACCCACACAACCCACTCCCCTCCATCCACCGCACCGGAAACAACACCCTCGGCTCCCCCTTATCCATCTCCAACCACAACTCCCCGACATCATTCACCGTATACGTCTGGCACGTCAGCACCTCCACCACCGCCACCGAGGGCTGGTACCCCGTCGTCAGCCGGATCTTGTACGCCCCGCTCCCCGTCCCCTGCGTTGATAGCACCATCACCACCTGCCGGTCCTCGCGGCCCTTCCGGAATCCCATCTCGCTCGAACCGCGGTAGATCGGGTAGGTGAGACTGTCGATGTACCGGTCCGGGTCGGTGCGGATGGCATGTCGTCGGAGGGCGTTCAGGGTGGCGATGTGCTTGTACAGCGGCGCGCCGGTGTCGTAGTGCGTGAGCCACAGGGCTTCGCGGTTGAGGGGGTCGTGGCTGCCATTCAGGTGTTGTTCTTGGCCTTGGTAGATCATGGGGATGCCGTCGGAGAGGAGGGTGAAGGTTAGGATGTTTTTTGCGAGCTAACAGGTAGAGTGAGTTAGTGACTATCTTAGGGAGGGGAGGGGTCGTGGACAAAGGGATTACTAGGCGCGGAAGGGGAAAGGGAAAAGATGGTACGTTTATATCGTCTATGAGACTTGCAAATCGAGCGACGTCGTGGTTCTCGGAGAACGTGGTGAGGGTGCTCACGTTAACGCAGGCGTGTTTCATTTCCTCGACCCGGTTGGGCAGCGTGGTGGTGTTGCCCAGCGTGAAAGCGTCGAGCAATGCATAGTAGATGGGATAGTTGGGGACGCTGGTCAGCGCGTCGGCCTGGTAGCTGCAGATGGTACTGACGGACTGGTCGAACACCTCGCCGGTTACCAGCGAGCCGGCCGCCGCTTGAAAGTCGGGGAGGTATGTTGGGGTGATGTGCTTGGCGGCGTCGAGGCGGAGGCCGTCGATCGAGTACTTGGCCATGATGTCCTGGACCCAGCTGTTCAGCATGCGCTGGACGGCGGGGTCTTCGGTCTTGAGGTCGGGCAGGGCCACGATGTCGTCGCCGGTCCAGCAGCGTTGCGCCAGCGGGTAGTCGTTGTAGTCGGTGATCGGGCAGTAGGGGTGGTAGTACTTGGCATCGTTGAAGGGGTGCAATTGCGTGTAGTCGATGCTCGTGGCGGGGTCGGTGCCGTTGGTGAAGTAGGCCATGTTGTTAATGACCGTGTCCATCATCAAATACATGTCGCGGTCGTGCAGGGCCTGGCTCAGGTCCAAGAGATCCTGCTCAGTCCCAAAGTGCGGGTTGAGGGTGTACAAATCCTCCGCCCAGTAGCCGTGGTAGGCTTCGCCGTAGGTTACGCGGCCCTCGACGTTTTTGATAATCGGCGAGATCATTACCGCGTCGAAGCCCATGCCCTCGATGTAGCTCAGCTGGTCGATCATGCCGCGCCAGGTGCCTCCACAGTAGAGGCCGGCGGTCGTATTGCATGGAGAGCTTGTCGAGCCGTCGGTGCGTGCGAAGCAGTCTGTCATGGTTTGATACACTGATCGGGTTCGCCATGCCCTGGTGCTTGCTGCGTAACCGGTGCTGAATGGGCTGATGAGTATCAGAGCGTGAAGCCATCGCGCTATTCGCCGTGATGAAGCCATAGTGTGTAAGAAGGCTGAGGTCTACAACCGAATCCAGAAGAGACAGTATCCCAGGACCAATTTTATGCTGTCTTATATGATTATCATGGTCCGGCTTGGAGGTATGAAGACAAAAGAAATAGCCCAGTGATAGCGAGGCCTGCTATGTCACGGAGTGTATTTGAGATAATTGGGCCTATGGATGTCGTAAAACGGACTACTGTAAGCGCGCGAAAAGATTAATGAGAGACAACGCGCACGCAGAGACAGTATAGATGACTTCTTCTGTAGAAAGAGAGACTAGTTGAGAGATCTACAGATAGACATGATGGAAATCGGTCAGCAGCAGTGCTCCCCCCTTAAAGTGTGTTTACCATCCGACTGGACGAAGCCTGTCGGAATTAGGACGGAAAGACACAGATCAAAATCCAGGTACTCGGCGGCTGGAACCAAAGAGATTGGCCAGAGGTGGAGTCAAACGCCCCTCGACGAATTATGATTCAAGGGGATGTGAACCTGCATCCTTGAGTACAGAACCCCAGCGATGAAGCTTTGAGGTATGCTTTGACACGAGAGTGAAACCATAACCCCATGATTATAGATGATAGTAATCCGCTCTCAAACATGGCAAAATGAAACGGTTTTGATCCTCGCTCGTTCTGCTGTAGCATGCAGGCAATTGATTATTCCGGATGCACGAACAAGCGCAACAGTTTGCGGGGGAAACGGTCGATGCAGATGGACTCTGTCTCTGCTGCAGATCATCCGTGGGCCAATTCAGATGTGATTGGCTCAACTTGAAGATTAGGAACCCTGATGGCAGCCCTATTTCTAATGCAAGGGCAACTCCAGCCGAAGCGCAACAGTTGATCATCTCCAGAAGCGCTTCTGCAACGCAACGCAGCAACGGGTACTTGCAGCTCACGCGATCCCTTAATGGACTGAGGAATGCCCTCGGCAAGGAGGTGGCTTGGGAAGGGACAGCAATTACAGCTAGATTTCCCTTGGGGTTTAATCGTCAGGAGCAATGTGCTGCCATTCTATTTTGCAAGTCAGCAGCAGTCCTTGGCAAATCAACCATGTTTTCAATCAATCCCCGCCCACGAGAAAGCATGCAAGGGACGGAGTATACACTTATCTTCGCTGGAATACAAGTTGGCACCTGCAGATTGGAGTTCATCAAATGGACGATTAGCGCTTCGTATCTGAAATCCTCAACAGCTACCGGTACTATTGCCGAATCAAAACGGATGTGTCGAGCGAAAGTGACGACTATAAACAGGCCCTGTTCTCAAGCTCCTAGGTTGAGTAATTGTCTGGAAACGCCCAGCAAGACAATAGTGTATCCTTAGTCATGTATGGTGAGTGAACATTCTGCAAGGAGAACTATCGGATCATACTAATCATGATGCCATAATAAGTGCGAGCCGATTGAAGTAACTTCAGTCATCACATGATGTGATCCTTGAGTCAAAGTATAAACAGCTTGGCAGCCTTGAGTATCTCCCGGTGTCAATAGCTTCAATTTTCTTACTTTTACTTATGAGATATAGAATGCGAGGACTTAATCTCAATAACATTATTTTGGTTTTCTAAGTTCCTCATCATGCACATTGTGTCATTAGCTATTAACAAATCACCAGTATCATGAAAGATTGACCGGAGATCAAATGACTCATCGTGAGTATGCTCCCACCCTGGATCACTGCGCCCAACGCTGATGCGATCTCGAAACCAGAACCTCAACTCCTTATATGAACCCGATCTTCTAAACACCTATGCATTTGCCCAATACCGACTCCCACGTTTCATTCGCAATCTCAAACATCTGAGGTCAACAAACTCCCAGGCTGCGATGTTCTCATGCTCCTTCCTCTTCGACTTTTTGCGCTGCTGCATCGAAGATGTACACGTTGGCCGTGGAATCACGCCAGCATTTAAGACAGCCTGTTCTTGTACTCACGTGGAGTGAACCGGGATGAGCTATAAATGAAGGCCATGAGATGCACTTCGTATGCATGATTGATGCGCTTCATTTTGTCCTTTTCGTTCACCTCAACCTTATATTTCGCTGACACAGGATCGTGGCGGCGAACCTTGCGTGGCCCTTTCTCCTTAATGACTTGAATCTCCTTCTGAATGGCGCGCACATTCAAGCCTCCCACAAGGGGGGTCATCATCATTCCAGCCATGCGACAGTAGTTCTCCGCGGTGATCTGATTGAATGTCTTGAGGATCACCGCCACTGTCTCCCAGCCCCTGCATCTTTTCTCGGGCAACTGGATCTGTATGATCTTCTCGGGCCAGCGACACTCGTACAGATCCTCGAACACACGCATGCGGGGAGGATCCGGGAGAAAGCCGACCACCTTTTCCTTCAGGATCATCTTGCTGCCTCGCACGGCCGATGCAGTGCGTCCGATCCGTAGGGTCAGAAGGAGGGAGTGGTCGGACAGGCCTTCGAGGTTAACGAACTGCACGTCCTTGGCTCTGAGAATCACGCCAACGTCCAGAGACACGCGACGGTTGACAGGACAGACGTGGTGCTCGTTGATGAACATCTGGTTGCCGACCGCATCGAACGCCACGTCTAGCTTGGTATTGTGCTGGTGCAGCTCGCAGACCTGGCCTGAGTCTGGACCGCACACGATAGCTTCAATCTCGGGGTACAGTTTGGGGTATATGAAGTGGCAATGGCATTGCGGATCGTTGCTATATGAGAAAGTTCAACTTGTGAGATTCAAGTCTTTTTGCTCATGGTTGTGGCTGGGGCTTCTTACCATGGGATGTTCGCGATGGACACACGCTTGATCTGATCATCTCCGACTGTTTTGACCACAGCCTTCTCAGGTGTATGAGGGTGAACTGCGCGTGGATACTTCATGGTGAATTGAGGCCTCTTTCTCTCAAGTTGAAATTGAAGATGGCTCGTGAGCAACGTGGATTGGAAAGCGTTGCGTGTAAGGACGTGGAGGGGGGTTATGGAAGGGGATGAAGGTGTTAAGATCAGAGATTGGTGTTCAGATGGCGATGTTATTCACGCTGCGATTTCACTGAGAAACCATTATGTTGCTGTTTACGCTGATAAGACTTCAACTCACTAGGAAGCCATCGATCTGGGGAATTGGTTTGCCTCAGTCTCCCCTCACTTCACAATGCGATTTGGCTATTCATCCTGGGCTTCGACTGAGAGTATCAGTACATCAATAACAAGCTGGAATTCTCTGAAAATCGTTTGAGCAGCTATTACTGACACATTCATTATGTCACCTACAAGCCCAGTGTCTACATGTGTGCAGACTATGATCAGATCGACAGATTTGAAGTTAATGAGCTACTAATAATTCTGAGTTGCAACCTGCCCGCTGTGAATGTTGACCACAGACTCTATACTTTATGTCTACTGGATCGCTGGAGGACTATGAGCTTATGATTCACTTTCACAAAGTGAGACTGTGCTCTTCGGCACTATCTGTCTTTACCACGGAACCCTTTAAGTGCCTTTAGTCGATGTTTCACGTACGAAGTGCTGTAAACGCTATTCTCATTCAAGCAAGAAGTAGTGAGTCCACATTTATAGTGAAGATTCTGTGCTGATCAGCAACAAGTTCAGCTTCAGAATCGGTACATGCCAGATGGAAAGCCATAAAACCAAGTAGAGATAGTCACTACGGCCTCTATATACCAAGTTACAAAACTTATGCTCTCATCATACCAGGTACAATCTCTTATCTTCATCGCACCGCAAGCTCAAATTGGCAAACAGCATGGAAGAGGATTCGAGCTGAAAGTGAATTTACCCAGGCTCAGGTCTGGCCATGCAGCTCTTCTAAATGAACCCACAGAGGCCATAGCGCTATCAGCGCCAGCCTCGACTTGAAGAAACTTAAGAGTATAGCCTTATGTCTCATTTGGCTATAAGAGATAACTCATCCAAGCTTAATCTAAATGAGCGTGCTTTACCCCATGAACCTGATGCAATCAAACATGGAACGAGGTTAGGGCCGCCGGACTCGGTGTCCGATTACCTAAGCACACCGCAAAGCTTCGCAAGATCCCCATCGCAAGGCCCGAACGGCGAACTGCGTGTCCAGCCATTGGCCCTCCTCGACTACTACCCCGAAGCTATCGCCCCCCTTGACACCTAGTTGCTACCTCTACATCGCCATCATGTCTACAGAAATGGAAGTCGACCCTCCGGTGTTGCAGCAAGAAGAGGAAGCTCCCGCGCAGTCAAGCAATGGTAGCCACGATCCGAGAACGCAAGCGGGAGCCGTCGCAGTACGCAGTATCGAGGGATGGATTGTCATCGTGACCAATATCCATGAGGAGGCTTCGGAGGAAGATGTCACGGATTTGTTCGCTGAGTATGGAGAGATCAAGAACTTCAGTCTAAACTTGGACCGCCGGACGGGTTACGTCAAGGTCGGTTATGCTACCCTACTACCCACACTCAGCTTTACTTGAGCTGAAGAGCTCCGGCAGTTGCTGTCTGCTTACGAGATTTATTTCCTGCGCATCATTGTGTGTTCAGATGCTGACTGTTGGACGCGATCATAGGGATACGCCCTGATCGAATACTCAACTCTCCCCGAAGCATCGGAAGCCATCAAAGCCTTGAACGGCTCCAAACTGCTGGACCAAACTATTTCGGTCGATTTCGCCTTCGTGAGACCGCCTCCCTCGAACAAAGGAAAGGGTGGAGGACAGAGAGGTGGACGTGGTGGTGGTGGTGGTGGTGGCAGGAACCGCAGCAGAAGTCGTGAGAGGAGCCGCAGCCCTGGAGCCGACGATGCCCGAGACTAAGTCCGTCGTGATGTTTGTTTGTTGGGAGAAAAAAGCGTCTTCTTTTGATATTCATCTCACAGGCTGCGGATGCGCCGGAAACTTGGCCTTTGTTTGCCCAAGATACCTGTCCAGAATTTAGGATTCTGCTATTTTGCGCTCGCATTAAAACAAGGAATCACATGGCTGCTGAGGATTGTTCCAGATATTTTCATGCTACTATCGCCCGAAAGACTGGAAGATCGGACTCAACGGAATGACTTCGGAGGGGTTTGCGAACGCAGAATAAAGCCGGCATTGTCCCCTTCGGAACGTCCATGTTATGCTCATCGCCTGACGAGGACTTTGAAAGGGAGATGGGTGCCGGCGTCATGAGGTTTCAATGATCAGGTACGTGCTAATGCCACCTCTGCGTGCCCTTCGGCTAATCTCTGTGGCTGTCATTCTAATATTGCAGTAGGGGACACACTCAGCCTTAATGATGTTACAAAGTTACAGAGCTAGATATCCCATTCTGTCTACTAGCGTGTGTATTTCATCTTTGTGTCGGTTAAACCCACCGAATGCGAGAGTCGCGTGGCCATCCCAGTGCTTGTAGCACAATTCAACCGGATTGTTCTCGCTCCCTTTGTTGATTTCTTTCACTCACGAGACCGCGTGAGAAACCATGGATCCCAGTAGCAGTTATTGAAATGATATGATGAATGATCATCGGATGAGTATATGCGGGGGAAGGAGGACCAAGGCACCGGACAAGCGAAGCCACCAGATCCTGGCAGAATAGAGGATCGTCGAAGGATCCGGGGTTGGAATTTGAATATCTGAATGGCATGCGACCAACTGGCAACAACTACCCAAAGGGCGCGTGATAGAAGACCACAATTTAATAAACAGTAGTAGGAGCTCATTCCAAGGTGGGATTAGTTAAGCCCCGCCCAGACTCTCTCTCTCTCTCTTTCCTTCCCCCGCACAACCAACGGCCGAAGTCAGCCTTAGTTAGACTAATACTACTTGCCATCCCTTCTATCAATCATCATCGTCATTTTTATCGCTATCACCGGCCGAACAAGACTGGGTTCTTCCTTCCTTCTTTCCCTTCCCCATCATGGCACAGACTGCACGGCATTGAGCCCTGGATTATGTCTCATTCGGTCAGCTCCTTCAATTGCATGCAGCTCTTCCTCCATGCTTCAATTATCCCCCGCGTGTCTGCTTAACTATTTTTAAATCCAAAAGAGAGTCGCCATCCCTCTGATTTGCCCACTACCAGCCTTTTCATCCCATTCCCTCCACCCCCCAACCCCTTGGAATCCGGGGTAATTACAGTTAGAACAGAATTACAATCATGCAAGCATTTCTGCTCAATTTTAGATTCCTCTGCCTGCTCCTAACCCTGTTTGAGATCAATGCGCTGGCGTTGCGGTCGCAGGATGTCCTTGCGCCAGTCGCCCTGGACGCACAGATTCCGCTCGAGGAGTCTCATGTATCACCGGCGAAGCAGCTCCCCCAGCCGGCCCCGGATTCGCCTCCGGAGTCCAGCGAAAGCATCAGCCGCACGTTGCATGACTTGCTGGACGCCCTAAATGTGATGCAAGACGCTTACTTTGAACTGTGGCAAGGCACTTGGCCGTCGAGTATCGATTGGACTGCAGCTGTGCTGGGTACCCATGTCTCTGCCACACTTACCTCGCTGACTTCCACCACCGACGACGTGCTGTCGACCGCTGTGTCACTGGAGGACCTCGAAGATTGGACGCATGCGACGACAAGCGGTCGATACGAATTGGGGACAGAGAATTTAATCAATCATTTCTTCGATCAGACTTCAGCGTTTTACTTTGGTGAGAATGCCATCTCCCTGCGTGGGCAGGCCTTCGACGATATGCTGTGGGTGGTCCTGGGTTGGTTGGAAAATATAAAGTTCCAAGTCTTGCACTCGGACATGCACTATGACGACCCCTTCTCGGCCAACGCGACTGCCAAGTTGCGCTGGCACGGAACCCAGTTTCGATCCCCGGCCGCACATCGAGCACGTGTGTTCTACGGCCTCGCGTCTGGGGGATGGGATGAGTCTCTCTGTGGTGGTGGAATGATTTGGAGCCCTTACTTGACCCCCTACAAGAATGCCATCACGAACGAGTTATACATCTCGGCGAGTATTGGCATGTACCTGTATTTTCCGGGTGATAAGATCGATTCTCCCTTTCTGGCAGGAACTGTCGACGATGAGAACTGGTCCGATGGCTATCCGCATAACCCCGCTCACCTGCAAGCCGCTATCGAGGGCTACGCCTGGCTCAACTCTTCCAACATGACCGGGAGCAATGGGCTCTACGGAGACGGGTTCCATATCAGTAACTGGGAGAGTGATGATCGGCCCGGCACGCGCAAGTGCGATGTTCTTAACACAATGGTTTATACCTACAACCAGGGAGTGATCCTTAGCGGGCTAAGGGGGCTCTGGCTGGCAACTGCCAAGCGGCAGTACCTCTCTGATGGGCATCAACTAGTTCTAAATGTGATGAAGGCCACCGGATGGCCCGACAAGGACAGCCAGCAATGGAACGGCCTTGGTCGCGGCGGTGTCCTCGAGGAGGTGTGTGACTCTTCCGGCAGCTGTTCTCAGAACAGTCACACCTTCAAGGGTATCTTTTTCCACCATCTGGCAGAGTTTTGTCGGCCTATGCGGCCGCAGGAGATGCGATTCCTTGCGAGTGCGAACCAGACCGATGAGGAAGGAGCGGGCTGGCAGTATGTGTACGAGTGGCATCAGGCTCGCTGTCGCGCATATCGGCCATGGATTGAGCATAACGCAAACGCGGCTCTTGTGACCCGCAACGACGAGGGCAAGTTTGGCATGTGGTGGGGACCCCAGTCCCGCGCACCTGCTAGCACCATCACGGACGAAAGCCCTCTGCCGCTGGGGGCGATCGACTATGAGAATTATGGGGCGCGGGCTGAGGGATCCGGGGCGCTGGCGGGACTTCTGCGCAGTCGTGACTCCCAACGACTCGCGGATGAGAGGCTCGGCTCTGAATCCGGGACGCAGGTATACGGTTTGGGGCGCGAACCCGGGTGGTCACGCTCTTCGGAAGAGCAGGCAAGCGTAGTTGAGCAAGGCGATCGTGATGCCAACGATCGGGGCCGAGGACGTACTGTTGAGACACAATCAGGGGGGGTTGCGGTGTTGCGGGCACTCTATCAGTGGAAGAGCTCACCGTCTCTAGCATGATTGGAAGCATGCTTAGATTATCTTGTATAGTTTAGCGATTATCAGTTAGGGTTCATTATAGACAAGGGGGATTGGTCTGGTGGCAAGGCACCTGCGTCATCCGATGTAGCCGTGCATGCATGCTATTCTGACCTTGTGTTCTCAAAGAAGCAGTAGACTACTTGTTGAGTCATGCATTCAGTTATCCGAGAAAATCATTTCATGGCAGGTTAGCAGTTGAGGCGAGGAAGCTTTGGCTCACCGCAGCTAGTCCAACCCCCTTTGCCCCCCCGTAATGCCGGCCCCATCTGACCGACAGAATGATATAACGTGAGATCGTCCCTGGAGTTGGATCTCGTGTAATCAGCAGACAGGGGATCTGCATTCTGAACTGTTCAAATGATGTAAGCCGGGCGAAATTGATTTCTTGGTTGCTTCGTTTAGCACACCCTTTGTACTGTACACAATATCCAAGGGTTGGTTAGTGGTTATTGGGAGTTGGTGATGATGATCCGCAAAGTCGGCAGTTGGCGCAGTCAGCGCCTTTGCACTACACAGCCTCCGAGCCCACAGAATTCTACTCAGTACGGCAGAGTGACATGGTCAATCCAAGCTCGACGATGATAGTAATGATGATGTCGATGACTTCGGGGACTCCTTTCCCTTTCTCATGATTTCTTTACTCCATAAATCATATCCTGCCCTTCGCCTTATACTATCAGACAGTGCATATACAGAAATCCACCCGACAGGGCAAAAAAAACCCTTGTGATAATCCGATCATTCGAATACTACCTACGTAAATTAAAGAGCTCAAAGAGGCGTTCACCGGATACTCGGCAGGTTCGGTAATCTGGGTCAATTCGCTCCTTGCTCCATTTTCGTTCTTTCCTTTCCGGCAGTTTTACCTTTTCTTGAATGGGGTCAGTGATTATTTTGCGATCTGACGTTAGTTTCGATTTGTGTGTGTTTCTCCTCCCCAGTGGATAACCTCCGGACACTACGGTCACTATTTTACTTCGTTTTGCCTACGGAGTCACTAGTGAACAGGGATTCCGTGAGGATTACGACGCTGACCCCTGGTCTATATTTATTGGTGGGGTGTGGAGGGTACTTAATACGTACATGATAGTACATACTCCGATAACCATAGTAGTTTGTAGCATAAGGATTGGTTAACTACTACGTAGGTACTCCGTAGTAGGTGTTATACTCCGGGTTGGGGGAATCGAATTGTAAGTCTCTTGTTTGTATGAAAGGGTATATAGCAACAAAGCAATCTCAAATTGCCTAGTAGTGCTTCTATTGAGATTGAGCAACTTGAAGTACCTTAATGCCAAGGCCTATCTTGAAGTCTGACATCCACCCATATTTCTACCTGTACCTACGATAATCACTATGAAGGAGTTACCTTCCATCACCAAGACATCCCCTTCCCCTAATTATTTACAAGGCTACACAGTAGCGATTCTACCAAAATAGCCCCAGACACATACCTACGCGACAGCTAAGTAGTATACAATATATGTGCAAGTGTGCCCACCGCCACCATCCACCATCCACAATAGTAACTCCGTACCTAGTGCCATCGCTGATGCGCAATCCACAATCCAATCACACCCTGACTGACCAAACACCCACCCACCGCTTCCAAATTCTTCAAGGCCAAGAGAAGTAGATGAAAAAGCACGAACCCTGTTCCCACTCCTCCGCCTCCTTTTTTACGCTGGCGCCAAAAAAAAGCCACGTTTTCTTGGGTTTCGTTGTAGGTTTAGACTGTATGATTACTGTGCATGGTGGATAGTATATGGACAGTTGATATGGAGGAGGGGGCCGGGAGAGAGGGGGGCGGTTTATAATTCATATCTAGTAGTGGTTTTTTTGTGCTCTTTGGGTGTTAAGGGCTGTTATAGTAAGTATTAACTTGAGTAAGTACGGAGTGTAGCGTTTACCTATTCTAATTGATTTAGGTGGTTTGTTGGTGGTTTGGATATGGCTGCAGCGAGTTGACTGTTATATACATTGTGTACTGACTGACAAATAGATTGATGGAATGGTTACTTGCGCTATGAGTACTGTAGATTTATTGTGTAAGTAGTGCTGTGAAGCAAGCGGGTGGATTGTATGCCGTGTGCCCCTTTGGAATCGGGAAGGAGATGCTGATGTTGATGTTATAGTCACCTCTGGAGTAGAAACACTCTCTATAGTCTGTCCAATACGTGCTGTGCTATAGACATCAGACAGTAATGAATAAACATCGAAACACCCTCAATGCCAACCCTCGGCCTCCTCCGAGGCACCGATTAATTCGACGAACTATGAGCTGGGCCGGTAGAATCAGGGGTTCGAGATGGTGGGGGAGGGGGATTAAAGAGCGAGAGAGCTTTCTAATTTCCTTCTGGAAGGGCTCGGCGTTCGGGCGGTTTGGGGTTTGATTCAATACTATAGCTTCGGAGGTACTCCGGTAGACTACATGAACTGGGTTGGTGCTGGCAGGTTTACAGATTGCAGAGTCGGCCCATGGTGATCAGTACCTCGTAACAGTAGGAGTTATAGGTTAGATATTTATGTTTTATCTTATGTGGTCGTTGATTCAAGTTGCCTTCGGAGAGAAAGTGGGAGAGAGAGAAGGAATGAGAGGATGGATAGTAGAGATTAGATAGATGTCGTGCACTGATCAGTACGTACTACGTACTCCCTTCCTCGTGGTGTTCGTTGATAGAGCATATCAACGCACCTGCTTGCATACTCCTCTCGATTTAGGCTCACTCGGTCCTCGTAGGCCATGAAATACTAGTATAATTCTGAGCATTTTCGAAACCCTTCTACGTCTGAGATTGCATAACTCCGAACCTGCAGTTCTCATCACACTTCTACACAGTAAACTACCAAATCAAACGTCTATTGTCGAAGAATACCGTCGTGTCCTACGGGTCAGGAACCCCTACGAAGTACATAATTTGTTTTCTTTTTCCTTTGTCTTTGGCTGGCGTCCATCTAACGGTTTGGGCTGAAAGCCACCATGCAGGTTTTCGGAGGGGGTGGAGGGGTCAAGGTTCGATCGGATTTGTGGTTTGGTTCGAGTGGAACTTAGAAAAAAAAATAACTTTAGTTTGTTTTTCATATTGCACCCCCCTGTCCCTAGCAAATCAAAGAATGAGAAAGCGAGATGCTGGAATTGAACATGGGGCACCGCTTTTTTTTGACACTGTGATTGATTGATTGATTGACGGTTTTGATTGATGGTTTGGATTGAGGGGTGGTGCCTGAGCTTGACTCTTCTTTTTCCTTTCTGTTTCCGTTTCCCCTGTAGCTGCTGCTGCTGCTGCTGCTGCTGCTGCCAAGTGGGCTAATTAGCTGGTTTGAAGATGCACCGTTGATTTATTGACAGGAAAATAGATTGGGTTCGATGGATTGCCCGGACGGTGTGGACGGTGAGAACGGTGAACAGGTTGCGAACTGGGAAATGTTGCATATCTGCCAGGGAAGAGAATCTCCCAGGCTCCGAAGTGGGTGCTACTGCTGGGTGGTGGTTGGTACCTGGCTAGTAGTCATATCTATAACCAACTACTGGACTAGTTTACCGCATTTTCGCTCGGTGAGTTGGTAGGTGCTTACTGTACCTGAGAACAGGTTATCGATCGCGGCTTGGTAGCCTGGTAGGCAATAGTAGTAGCCAGCCAAGAGGTCGGTGTACGTACCACGACCGGGCTCCATTTCCCATGCTAAGAGCGGAGTAGGGGGGAATACTCCCTATGCCTATGGAAATGGTCGAGGGGGAGCAGCCGAGGTGGCTTGTGGATAGGGTGATGGGGGTTGCGCAGTCACTAGGTGATGGATACGGAGGGACGATTTGATCCTTTCTCTTCCGCAGCCCAGTCGCCTCAGTCGACCCCTTCTTCTCAATCATCGACTGACAGTCGTCTCCCTATGAATGATGACAGTGGCTCTGGGATTGACCTTCTCCTCCACCTCGTGTATGTAAGTCTGAGGAGACTGTGTGCCGTGCGAGAAGGAAAATGAGGAGGCGGCAAGAGTTATGCGCCGATCAGGATTATTGATGGGCAAATCCACCCCATATCAAGTGACAGTTGATCATGAATCCCTGAACCGCCCGCCAAATGATGGCGTCTCTTAGTCATCGTCAAGGCTAACTTGCTCGCACTTGGCGGTAATAGCGGAGAAACGCAGTTCAGCCACTACCCGATCGCAGATCGGCAAGTCTGTCTTTACTGTCACTCGTCCAGGGAGGAAGAGAAACGAGGGCAGCATCGTGGACAGGCGCTTTAGCTTGACTGTCGTTGGGTCAGCGCGACCGGGGGTTCGCTGTCGGGTGATTTCATCGCTGTTTCAACTGGTGATGGGGACAGGTGTATTCCGGTACTCGCCTGGTACTTACCGATAACTAGAATTAGGAATGAGGGTCTATCTGAATGTAGTGTAAGGAGTGTACTACAGTATGCTCTCCTGCTCTTGTCCGAGGCTATCAGCCATGCCTTTGTTCCTGAATCAGAGTGGGAGGATCCGATGGGATAAGCCAAGGTATCAAATGCCTAGCGTTGAAGTAAGGCTAGGTAGCAGCCACCTTCCTGCGCTATCTTCAACTCTCGCAAAAGGCAGGTACAGCGTGGACACTCCGTCATCATCATCACGAACATAACAATCTCCATCAACAAGTTAACTGCAATAACAACAACATCATCATCATCATCATCAAGAAACATCGGAAAAGGATGGAATGGGCCGGTGGAGCAACGAAGCAGTCACGCGGTCAGTCAGTTGGGTGCACCCTTACTTAGTACATCACGGGAAGGCTGGTAAGGTATGGTAAATCTGACTGCTGCCTTCCCGGAAGCCCCCTTCTTGGAAGTGTTGTCTGTCTATCCATCTCTCTCATCGGGATTTCCTCGCTTGTCTCGGTTTCACTTGTTTCTTTTAGGTAAAGAGACTGAACCTTTTAGGGAAGAGAAATCGACTGAAATGCTGTACCTATGTTCTTCACATATGAGACAGCACCAGCAGCAGGTAACAGCATAATCATACTCCTAGAAGCAAGCAAGCGAAGGAATTCAGATTCCATGCCGATCACCAATTAAGCATTATGTTTCTCTTGGGAGTTGCTGAGAGACACAGACAGTGAAACAGCCCCATTGACATTCCCCATATATTATTGCCTAATGGCGAATAATGGAGGAGTTGTTCGTGATGGGTCGTGGTACTGTACTGTATACACAAGCATACAACGAAGTAGTCATACTACGGAGTACATGACTACAGCCATCTGAGTAGTGTCAAGTCACGTACCCAAGTCAATCCTAGTATACCAATCCATTTACTTATACGCACGCGCGCAGAGCATCGGACGACAATCGACAGTTGTTGTGGCTCTGTAGTTGACATGCCATCGGGAATGATGAGGAACCCGTTCGCAAAGAATGGCTTATAGTCCCATGATCTTGTGTGAGTCTCTCTCTTTCACTCACACATGGTCATATCTTCACTTCTCCAGAGAGTGCACAAAGAGTAAGAGTATGTAGAGGGGAAGGGCGCGCGCGCGACTGCATGCACCGGTGCGGGGGTCAAAGGAACATCTGCCACTGGCTGGCGACGGGTTGCTTTGGTCTGCTGTTGTTCAACTTCAAACCTCACTGACTGACCGGGTTTACTGCTACTAGTAGTACTGCCAATTGCCCTTGAACGAGGATCAAACTGCCAAGAATCTCCTACCAAAGGTCATTTATCCCTGAGTATTCCCCGAACCTTTTGCGATCAATCCCTGTGAGCCCGTTCCTCGTCTGATTTAACTCTCGGTTCTGCAGTGCCCCATTCCGGCCAAGAGTCAAGGTCAAGCTCGTGTATCTAGTCAGAGGAGAGAAAAACCGGATGGACGAAGACTATCGTATCGAGCCAAAAGGAAGACGCGTCGTTGTTCCTTCAAAAAGAGAGTGGACGGTGTGGTATATCTAGTGTACTCCGTACCAGTCTACCAAAGGAACGGCCAAAGAGAAAAAAAAAAAAGCAAAAAACCTCATCAGCTACAATGAGATGATAATAAGAAGAATAATGAGAAAAGAGGCAAAAAGTTACACTAAAGTAGCCGCCGGGGAACGTTCCGGGCGTCGTCCGTTGAGTTGGGGCTCATGTATGTCTGCATGTTCCTAAACCAACTAACTTGCTGCAGCGCCTTGCTGCAAATTCGCCACGATTGTACTAGCGGTGGAAAGGGCTGAGATGCGATCTGTTAGGTGCTGAAGGATTAACTACTGTAAATGACTAAATATCGATAGATAATAATCATTTTTCCCCTCCTCCCTCAAAAACCCCCCGCCCTCCGTTCCTCCCCTCCCTTATGTGACTCCGCCCAGTGACGTTAATCGGTTTCAGACTTCCACCAGATAGATGGATAGCAAGGATACTATGAGTAGGAGGCTCATATGAGTACGGAGTGTATCAAATAATCCGTAGATGAAAAATGGAGCCGGTCGGAGATATTTGACAACCTCAGCTGAAGTGAGATCCTTTGTTCCTGGGTTTGCTCTCCCATCCCTCGCGTACTTTGTCCCATATCTTCCTGCATCGGAGCCAGTAGGGATAGACAGAGAGAAAACAAAAGTACCTATCAGGCCCAATCCAAAGAACAAACCAGTCATTTGGGAATTAAGGGCATGAAAATGTCGTGACAAGGAGACAGGTCCAATAAGAAGACTTTCCATGACGTGCTCACCCGTCATCGACCCCTGGGCGGTGATTCTTTCTTTCATTCTTTCTTTCTGGGTTTCTCCCGAAGATTGAACCACGGTGGCCGACGGTCAGCGCCGCAAGGGCCAAAAAAAAAAGGGAAAAGGGACGGGAAGAAGCGATAGGCAAAGAAAGGGGCAAAAGCTCGCTACAATTCGACAACTGGAAGTGTTGGATTGCCTCCGGGGACGATTTCCATGGTCGGGCGTGGATTGCTATCGATGTTTAAATCCCACTAATATGGGTCACGTACTGTGCAACCACTGAGAAAAATCTACTGTACCTACCCAGGAGCACAGCACAGACGAGAAAATCTCAACTCATTGATATGACTGTTGAGAAAATCCCTGTTTCAACGACATACACAAACGCACACAAGCAGATGTGCTGTTTTCCTCTATCTAACAATTCATACCCCATTCATTTCAGGGGATCACAACTAATTAAGGGACCAATTTCGTCACTTTAGCAAGCTTGTGATTCGATCCTCCCCCGAGGAGACACATGTTCCCGGGTGGTTCTTGGGATCGGCAGCTCGCACATCCTTGCCCAATTCTTGACGCTGCCTCCTCACTCGTTGGCTGCTCCCGGCCATGATCCGTCAGAAGATGTCGAACCCGCGGGAATGGATCGTCCTGCCCCAGCCGTTGATGCTGCTGGTGGAGTTTAAGCAGCCTGAGGGGAGTAAACTCCGGCGCCAATCGATCAGTGGCAGATTGGAGATTTTCGGTACGTATATCAAAATGGGTGTCTTTTCTCGGTGTACATACATGGTGGGTAGACGACCATTTGTATGTACCTGGAATGATTTGGGATGCAACCAGCTGGTGGCTTCGTTGTTGCCGACCCAACTGGCAACACTCCGAAAAAGACAATGGATTGTTGCACCTTCGAGGGCACAGTTTGATTGCCCACCACTAGCTCCGTCTATGTTGCTGGAGAAGCAGAAATAGTAACAGTTTCGTTGTTGAAGCCATCGGTTATTTGCTGGATGATCTCAACTCAACCCCCTTCCCCTCTAGATCTGCATGTTGTGCACAGTACACCCCGGCAGGTGGCCATAGGGCATGGGACTAGGGTATTTTTCTTAGATCCTATGGCCCTAAGGGACCCCCCCTCTCCCCATATCACCAGGTGTAGCTTGCTGGAGACAGGCAGAAAAGGAACAGCCCCAATCTGATGGGCTCGATCGACATTGCATGACCTCCCCTGAAGACCTCAGAACCGAAAAGACGTTTGGTCTTGGACTGACTGACTGACTGTGACTACAGGCTACAGCCCAACTATTGCCCCATAGAGGGATTAGCCCTCTGCCCTTTCGTGGCTTAATGATCCGCCGCCGCCGCCTCGGCAATCGAGCAGGGGGAGGCGCGCGCCCGCGCGCCTGCTCTTACCGGCCGAGCATGGGGTCGTACGGTGATATTGTGTATATTCGCTTAGCAGATATACCCGGCCACCTAACAGCCCTGATTACTGGACGATGGTGATTGTGGTTCATGGATTGTCGGGTTCTGTCGTCAATCATGCCGATTATGATCAGTGAACCCCCGTGGCGACGGAAACAATTGGAGCCAAAAGGGGAGGCGGCTGCTGTCCGTGAACGGGCAACAGCAACGGCAAAAGCAGAGAAAGAAGGATGTCACGCTTCGACATCATTTAGTTATCTTTTTCTTTTTTTCTTTTCTTTTTTCACCTCATGGCTGGCGCCCGTTCTCCGCCTTCCTCGGCACCGGCACAATGCCACACAGACAGTTTTGAGTTGTGGTGTGGCACTGGGAAGGTGTGGGAAGCGGTGGGAATAGATGAGGATCATCGCCATTCCTCCGATGGGCCACATCTCCCTCTCGTTGGGCGAGTCGGCTTTTGCCCCCCTTTTAGGGGGGATTTGGGTTCGCTGCTAAGGAGAAAGAGAGTCGAACCAAGGGGCTTGAAATCCTGGGCCCGAAAGTCACTAACCGAACTAGAGGCACCGAACGAACCCCTAAAGAGCTGTGGAAAACCTGTAGTTGTAGTGGTTCCCCTCTCTTCTTCCGCCCGCCCACCAACCACAGGAAGGCAGGCCGAACGGAGCTCCTTCACCGAAACATTCAACAGTCAGTGCTGTCGCTGTTGCTGCTGGTGCTGGTGCTGCTGGCGTTGTCTTGTTGAAAGAAGAAGAAATAAAAAATGAGAGAGAGACTAAAACGACAAGAGAAAACATTTCATATCGTCATCATCTCGAACGATTAGCGCGTGGGAGGATTTCCTTTCCTTGTTCATAGGGTACCTTACTTGACCACACTGTCCATTTAATTGCTTGCTCCGTACGGAGTATACTGCATAGTATTGTATATTATTCCTTTAAATTCGTTTTATTTTATTCTCTGTCCTCTTTTGGTCATCTCACTCCCTCTTCAGTCTCTTTTCTGAATATTCCCGTACCCAGGAAGACGGCGAATATCATTCCAGTGGCGGCCACGAGTCTTCCCACCTCTAGTGCGCTGGCACTAGAGCCGAAAATGGGCAAGTAACATCCACCGGGGTACCACTCCGTACTCTGTTTGTACCTCCCATACCGAATTTGGCACTGTTTTCTGCCCAAAAGTACACCGAATATGTACTCACTTGCTCCATCGCATACGTAGTGTAGTGGTCTTTGCTGCTGGGCTGTGTACTTGCCCTCTATCTTCAGCCCGCCCTTTTTTCTCCCTCTTTGACTTTCTTATTGTTTCTTTGAGAGAGGGGGGGGGCGCTTTTTTCGCCTCTTTATTTATAATTCAGATCTGGTTTATAGAGTGGACTACGTAAATATACGTAAATATAGGATTGCAAATAGATACTGAGATGAGTAAGCGGCAGGTCTTCGGAGGTATTCTTTGGCGTAGAAAGTGGACAAGTATAGTACTGTGTAGGTCATCGCAGGATTATCTCCTCTCACATCCATCCTTCTTCCTCCTCTTCCCCCCCCTCCTTACCAGTATATTCCTTTCCCAATTGGTACGAATTTGGTAATATTAGTCTCCATATGGCTTGTTGCCGAGTCATTAACCGGCTTTTTTTTTTCTTTCTGGTATCCTTCATTACTTCCTTACTAACCTAACTTACCTGATTCTGGTGACTACGGCCGAATGAAATTATATGAGCAAAACTGGCTGTCCCTGGGTCAATTGATTATCACTTACCTTAACCCATTCTCTTCTCTCCATTACTACCGCCATTATTATTTCCCACTCACCTCGACACCCGCGCTGTGCCCGCCAAACATCATCCACTGGAACCATCGTTATTATTGCGACGAACTCTTCGTACAGCGACTCTCTCGCAGCTCTTCCCATTGTCCCCAATTTTTTTTAAGACTATTACTCCTCTTACTCCTCTTCCTCCTCCACTGCTACCAACCAACACAGAGCTCTCTTCTTGCTCCCTCTCCCCTTCCCTTTTCCCTTTTCTCTCTTTCCTCTCTCTCTCTCTTCTTTCTCTCCTCTTCCCCCCCTCTTACCTTTCACTCCTACATCCATTCTACCTCATTTCCTCCCACTTCGTTTTCGGTATACGGAGTTGCGACGGTGACAAACTTCCGTTCCTCGACGGCTTCAACCACACTACCACCGCCAACCCGCTTCGACCATCCAATTCTACCCTCCACCCACTTCTACCGACCACATTTAACTCCCACTCCTCTCCCCCCCCGGTCCAAGATTTTAGTCCACCCGTTTTCGGACTACCCAACAAACTTTCTCCCACTCGAAGTTCGAACCTGCGAATAAATCTAATTCCCTAATCCAAATAGACCCTTCGCCCGAAAAAGGAACACTGGCATAGCGATTCTTCTCAGAATTGGCTGCTGTTGTTCTTTTCTATCACCGCATTCTGTATCGGCTATCCTTCTAAGTTTACTTAACCGATACGTCTGTCCTTTCGGTCACTCCCTTTTTTGACCCTCACGATTGCCGGAGGCTCTCCTCTTTTTTGAAATTGCTTTGCGATTATCCTTGTTACAAATAATCCAGACGACTTCAGTTAGGATTTCAACATCGCAATCGGTCCCCTGAAATCGTCCGGGTCGTCACAGCTGTCTTGTCTGCTTTCGTTGTTCTGGATTGCTTTTTCCGGCTAAAACTTCGCCTGCCGCGCTGGGAAACACCACCCGTTTGCTTTAACGACAGCTACCTCCAGCGAAACGCAGATCTTTCAAATCTGAGGTCATCGCTAGAGGTAGTCACGGCCTACTGTGAAAAAGGAATTCGATTGTTGACTATATCCTGTTGTGGGATTTCATACCGAGCCTTGAACGACTGGAAAGCCTGGAAACCCGCCACAGCGACCGCCCGAGAGTTGCTCGATTCCATTGCTCAAGCCACCCTTAACCACCGGAATCCTTAAATCCAACCACCGGCGCCACCGCCAGCACGCACAAACCATGGCGTCGACGTCAGACATGCACGGTTCCTCGCCTGTTCCAACCCTGCCACATCCCCACGACAACGGTCGCTCGCACATGTCCTCACTTTCCTCATCCTCCTCCATTTCTGACGTTGAAACCGAACGAAGAGGGCGATCCGAACGTCCTCGCATGGCTAGTCGAAAACCGAGTGCCTCCATTCTTGTTCCCCGAGACCATCCCGAAATCGAAATCGAAGAAGAAGAATTTCCCCCCGACGACGCGCGCGCTATGAGTCCACGCCGGAACTCCGCTGATCTGGAGCGACTGGGCAAGGAAGCTAGGCAAACATTACAGGAGTGAGTTTTGGGCACCATCCATATATATTCGTCACATTCTGCCATGGACGCGACCACAATCACGCAGAAAGGGTGAAAAATCAAAACAAAAAAAAAAAAAACAGAAAAACTAATCAAATCTCGAAATCTACGAATAGGCAAGCCAGAGCCCTCCAGTCCTCACTCCAAGCACTCGCAGAACGCATCGAAGCTGTGAAATCCGATCATGACAAACTGGAGAGCGAAAACAAGTTTCTTCAAGATTACATCGGCGGATTGACCCGGAACATGACGAAGACGGAAATGGGACGGACGAGCACGAAAGTCAGAAAGGCGCAGAAATAACCACAAGATCCCTGCAATCGACCCTGGCTGTTTGGGACGGGTAACGGTCAGGGTTTAGCTGCCACGAGACGGATGGCCAGCGCTGGTTCAAAGCGACGGAAACCCACACCTGCCATGCGATAATCATTTTTCTCCTTTTTTCCCGCCTACAAAGCCGATGAATTCCTGGTGTCCGTCGAAGCAACATTCCCGAATGGTCCCTGCGTGCCTGGCATAGTCGAGAATGGTGGCTGTTGGCCAAAGCACGGCCTCTGCAATCCGACACGATCAAATTTTACGAGCAGGTCGGCTCTTTGGAACTGGGATCTGGAATGACATCTGCGGCTTGTCACTTGGAGCCTCGTGCTACATGGGAAGGTCGCCATATTCGACCGAAGGCTCGCGAAACATACCTTCTCGGATGACCTGTGTTGCTCACGAATTCGATATGACTTAGGAACTTGGAGGGGTGGCGATCACAATGACAATTCACGCCTTCGGCCGACCTAATTTGCCGTGCCACTCAGCATGTCGCTGACCCACACGTCAATTGATTGCGCACGTCCCGGAGAACGATTGTGACATCATTGCATATTTACTTTTTCTTTTTTGCTTTTTTTCTTTGGTCTCTATGGGAGATTCTCATCTATCGACACCCACTGGCTTGGGCGACTATGCCAGCGCGTGATCCGTGATGGTAGCACATGTGGTTATGCTGCCTGTCAAAGCCGATCTTGGCCAAACCCCGGATCTGTTTACCTTCTACTGTTCATACTTTTTTTCTCTTCTTTCTTCGCTTTTGCCTTGGTTTCATTTTCTCTTCTTTTCCTACTTGTTTTATCATACCGGAGGCCTTGTGTATTGGCATAGCACGCGTGGCGTTGGGACTTTTGACTGGGATTGACATTTAGACTCGTCTGTTTTGATTGTTTTCCATCATTTTCTCTTTTCCAACACGGAACCGCACTGGGCGCATCTGTTCTCATGGTCTGCAAAAAGGCGCCAAGCATTTTCACGGAGCAGCCAATATCTTCATGTGGGTTTTTCATACATCCTCAACATCTACCAACAACACTATTCTCGACCATCACAAATCATCATTGAGGGTCCACGTCATCCGACCTCATTATCCATCTGCCTCCGCCTATCCACAATCTACCTCAAACGCGCTCACCATCGCTCACCGCCTTTTCTCCTTCACTCGTGTACATTGGAATCGTCCCGGTTTGACGATTCGGAAATTGCGCATTTTCTTGTTTGTTTTTCATTTGGCTCTGAAGACATTTGCTTACCATACCCAGAAGCGAGCGGTTGATATATTGAAATGAAAAAGAAATTTGATACATTGTTCTGTTAGTGTGTAGCTGTCTGGGATGACACTTTAGACGGTGGAATGATGTAGACAGTTGATCGAATCCAGAGTGTCTTACAGGTAGGGAAAGTGAAACCTGAGATGAGACATGCAAGAGGTGATCGCGAGGTGGTTACGGTAATGTCATCACTCCGCATAAGTGATGACCCTACCCACATGCTGGATGCATATACCGAGTCACATTTACCTGTGCTTGCGCTGTCATCTATAGAGTATATACTCCGCACACAAGATGTATACTGCTACCAACCGGCAGTGATCCGACAAACAAATGATGGATCAAGAATGACCCACTCTGTCTGTGATGCACTCTATATGTCTGTCTGCTTTATTTCTGCTATTTCCTTGCTGGATAATGAAATTTGTCTGGGTGTGAGTTTAATGCTCGGGACTTTTGTGTGTATGCAGTATGTAGCCTGCATCGCCCTGAAACCCAAGATGGGGAACTTCAAGCAATAAATCGGCAACAACCGCAGACAGGCTCCGTCCAAGGAAGCTTGGATTGTAGACGTAACTACGGAGCAGTAGGATGACATGATCCGATCTGTGTCGAGTAACAGCAGCAGCAACAGCAACAGCAACATACTTTACCGGAGAGTTGAAACTCCCGCACCATGAGCAATGACTCAGAAAGTCGTTAGTAGTTAGTTATACTCCGTACCTTAAGTCAATGGTGACTCACTCCCTCCCTCCCCAATCCTACACAGCTTAACCAAGTCAACATCCCACCCCCCCCGACCCTCCAGAGGAAGAACTCTACAAACCTAATAACAAAAGCTCAAACCACTATCCGAACTTCACAACGGAAGTAGTTAACTGAATAGAGAGTCTGCACCCCAGCCGGACAGAGCACTAACTCATGTACATCATGTAAACATACAGGACTAGGATGTACTACTCCGTCGAGATCTTCCCGAATCTGCAAGCCGCGTACGTCATAACCATAAGGACGGACTGTAAGTACACAGTAACCCTCCCCGCGGGGGCCCTCCTCAGCTCTGCTTCGCCCCTTCTGTTGCAGTGCCGTTGCGTTGCCGTTGGCTTGCCGCTGCCGCCTCCTGCTCGCCCGTTGTGGTTCTGGTGGTGGTAGTGGTGGTGGTGGTGTTCATACGGTCCGTACAGTACCTGGGTGGTACATACATCCAAGTGTTTTGGCTAGTATACGGGTGCCTCGTACCTTATACCTCATACCTTAAAGAATGTCAATATTGGGTGGATATCTCCCATCCATCCATCTTGAAAAGTATTTTTTTTTTGGAAAAAAAGGCTGTGGCTATAGCTGTGGCGATTTCCTGGCTTGAGAAACTGTACTCCGTATCCATAATGCTACGACAGAATCAGAGGGAGTACCGGTAGAAGAGGGAGCTTGCAAAGGCCACGGGCTCCATGGGCTAAGTTATTTACCTCGAGAGTGCCTCTACAGCCAAAAGACAAAAAATCAACGAAAAGAATAGTGTAATATGCAGAGAATTGCGAGATCATGTTAGAGCACCGTACAGGGTAGAACCGTAACTTGGCACCCTGAATACTGAGTTCCTAAGTCAACTCAGGTGAAGGGGTTTGGATGATTAGAGATTGATGTACTACTTACAACTCAAGTTACTGGACATGTCCTGTTTAGGGACTTCTGTCCCGATGTCTATCCTGTACTCTATGTACATGCCCTTCTCTGGCGAATCGTTAGGTAGGTTTATTTGGACTCGACATTAAAGGTGACTTCTATACAATGCCTTTATATATGGGAAGCATGCCACGGAACGTGATGCAGTCTATACGGAGTCAAAGTACCGCTGGGGATTATCGATACACTACTCCCTATCACTAGTATAAGTATGAGACGGGGTAAATAACGGTCAAGGTACAGCAGAGCTAGCTCTGTGGCAAGGGGACATGCATGTATACGAACTCTCCTGATCTGATTGAAGTCGGGCTATAGTAGTTCCTCCCAATACTACATTCTAAAACCACTAATTCATCATTCCAGGATGAACAGTTGTGTCGGTACACATTCCTCCTGGGAAACGCCCTCTACTATCTCCGCATCCCCGCCCTCAGCTGTAGGCTTAAGAGACGGATGGATCTACATTACCCCTACTCGTGTCGCAGAACCTCATTTCATCAAGGACTGGCGCATGTGATGTGATGGGGCTGAAGAATATGCTGCGTGGTGCCAGGGGGTTGCTAACCATGCAAATACACCACGACTACATGGAATCCTAGAACATCCCCTGCCTGTGCATCTCCGCCTGACCGATCCCCCAGCTTAGTGTATGCTTAGACCCATGCTTATTCTCACTCTACTTGCCGCGCACGACCACCCGAAAGAAGTTCTTGAAGCCTATCGGCCGAAAGGAAATCTAATAAACGCAGCTAAGGCGCACGATCAAACGCCATACGTATCACAAAAATAATCAACCATGGCAAGGCGCCATGGCTGCGAAGAAATCGAGGTCAATGCCCACGTGAGAGGGTCGTTCTTGACAGATGTGTCTGTTGTATGAGTGTGGGTAGGTAACAAGAGAGAGGTATTCTTTCCAGGGGGAATTGCGACAATAGGCAAGGAAGTAGAAAAAAAATGAAGAAATCGACGAGAAAATGTCAAGGGAAAAATAGAACAGGAATCGAAGATCCGCAGAGGAAAGACAAATCACGGGAACGCGTATGTGGGTGGAAGAGCAGCGTGAGGATTGCATCGGGCCCAAGGCAAAGGCACAAAATACCCCCGAAAGCGCAAGTCTGGTCGTTTGTCTTCTGTCCTCTGCCAGTGACAGCTCGAGACCATGCAAAGGCATCGGACAAACGACAAGCGTGCCGCGCTGATCCCAGCTCCTAACTTTTCCCACGCAGCCCTTGCGCACCCGTGGCTAATTCCGTGTTTATCTGACGTCATCTGTGAATCCGGACGCGAGTCCATCATCTCTACTAATTTACTCGGCAGCGGGCTTCTCCTCAGCGGGAGCAGCTTCCTCCTTGTCGGCAGGAGCGCTGGACTCGGCAGCCGGCTCGGCCTCCGACGAGGTCCAGAGCGTCTGAATATGCATTAGCACGAGTCATATCGATTCCAATACAGCGATGGACTTACCAGGTTGTCTCTGAGAAGCTGCATAATCAGGGTGGAGTCCTTGTAGCTCTCCTCGCTCAAAGTGTCAAGCTCTGCGCATGCTTATTAGTTCCGATCGATTCGCACGTGACCCTCAAACAAACATACCGGCAATAGCATCGTCGAAAGCAAGCTTGGCCAGGTGGCAGGCCTGGTCGGGGGAGTTGAGGATCTCGTAGTAGAAGACGGAGAAGTTCAGGGCGAGACCGAGACGGATGGGGTGAGTAGGGGCCAAGTCGGTTTGAGCGACCTCGGTGGCGCTCTTGTAGGCCTCGAGGGAGGCATCGGCTGCGCCCTTGCGGCGGTCGCCAACAGCGAACTCAGCAAGGTAACGGTGGTAGTCGCCCTTCCTGTAAATAGGACACGCTCAAGTCAGTGATGAGCCCGCCAACAGAACACAGAGACACACGCACATCTTGTGGTAGAAGACCTTGGACTCGCCGCTCTGGGCAGAGGGGATCAGATGCTTGTCCAAAACCTCGAGAATGTCATCGCAAATCTTGGCAAGCTCGGCCTCGATCTTCTGGCGGTACTCCTTGATGAGAGTGACCTGAGGACCGTTGCCCTTCGACTCCTCTTTTTGCTCGATAGAGGTGACGATTCTCCAGGAGGCACGACGAGCGCCGATGACGTTCTTGTAAGCGACGGAGAGAAGATTGCGCTCCTCAACGGTGAGCTCTACATCGGTGGAGGCAACCTCCTTCATGTTCTCAACCATCTCTGATGAAAAGCGTCAGCATGAGGGTGGTCGTGCGAGCGCGGGGAGGGGTCTCCTGGGATGACGTACCTTCGTAGCGCTCAGCCTGCTCGGCGAGCTTGGCCAGGTAAACAGCATCTTCGCGGGCCATTGTGAAAGTAAATTATCTGGATGAAGCGAAAATGTAAATGTTTAGTCCAATCACAAACAATATGCTGGTGAGATTGAAGGAAATGGCAAAATGGGGTTGATGGGGGAGATGAAGAAAACGGGTGGGAAGCGCCACAGCGTTCGACGGAAGACGATAGATAGTGCCTCCGAAGCGAGGGGCAGCCAGTCACAGGGCAAAAGTGAGGCTGTGAAGTCAAGTGGTGCAAGGAACACGAAAAGCGATAGCCGCCCTCTCCCCTTCCTCCTTTTCCCGGCGTACTGGAACCGTTCCCCGTGATGAGCATGGATTGCTCATCCGTCGCAACCTAAAGTGGATGGACTGAAGACGAAGGACAGTGGATAGGATGGGGATAAGCAAGTATGATTGTTCCCCAAAGTCCTGTTCGCTGTGCTCTTTGCCCCTGACCACGCAGCCACATCCATCCGACCATCATCAAGACGCACTGCGACGATCTCAGAGGCTTGTTGACAGTTCATGGAGGGCGAGTCCTTCTTGCTGGGCGTCCGATCGGCTAACCGGGGACAGGACTGTTGGTGTCGAGTGTAGTCTAATCGGATGGAGGGGAGAGCAACGGATGGAGGGGAGAGCGACAGCTGCAGTAATCCCAACCATTCCAAGCGCAATCAGGCTAGAACCTCGTTTCCAGTATCCCAGAGCCAAAGCCTCTCAAGTACCACAAATTTGGGCCATTTGCGACTGACGACGCCGTCGTTCCCGACGGAGCGGCTGGATCACCCGGGATGAGGAGGGGAAACTGGGGGGGTTTTTCGTGGGAAAGGATGACGGCAGTGCAACAGAAAGAAGAACCAACTCACCTGAACGGAAGAGAGAGAAGGGGAGTTATAGAGGTTCTATTGACTGCAAAGTCAGTGGTTTGGTGGATTGAGGCAGGCGTGAATGCAGGATTATAGAGCAAAGTAGATATTTTTATTTGCTGCTGGCTTGCTTCTTCGGGGTTGTTTTTCTTGTTTCGAATTTTGAGAATTGGGGGGAGGGGGAGAAGCCAAGTTGGATCACTAAGCGGGCAGGGGGTGGTGGGAATTGGGTGTGGGTGAAGTAAGATGGAGGGGAAATTAGGAGAAGATTCAGAGCATTGAGTAGTGACTGACCGGATTGGAGAGAGAATGTAAGATAGGAGTTAGTCAGAGAAGGAGGAAGATGAATTTAGAGTGGTGGTGTGGTAGTAGTAGTGAGTTGAAGGAAGTAAGAAGGGAGGGAGAGATTGTAGTAGTTTGTTGGCGGATGGGTTGGCTTTAGTGTCGGGAGGAGGGGGGGGAGGGGAGGGAGGGAAAGGGAAAGGCAAGAAGAAGAGAGTCTGAGGGAAGAGGGGAGGGAGTCCGTTTGGTCCAGGGTGGGAAATGGGCAATTAATGGCGGCCGGAGAGAGAGACAGGAAGAGGGGGGGGGGGGAAATACACTCTAGACAGAAAAAGGGAGTCAATTCAATCATACTGAACTACCTTACACTCTTCGACTACTACACCACTCTCCCTCCCTTTTCCTCTCTCATTATCCTGTGGCCAGGAAATCTTCTCCTCAAGCCTGCACAAGCACATCGCATCATTATTGCCATCATCGTCATGATCCTCAGCCTCTTCAGCCTAACTGGTAACTTTTGACTACCACAACAGTACAGGAACTCATGCACGCCTCTTACTCCTTTTACTTCCGTACCTCCAAAAAAAAAATTGAACCCTTAGCCACTCTTCCCCCCTACTGAGTGCTAACAATGAACATCGTGCAGTGAGGCTAGAATCTACGGATTCACGGAGTAACGTTAGATAGGAGGTGGATGCCAAAAAGGTGTATCCATTTTCCACACCTCTTCTTCCCCCCCCCTCCCCCCCTTCCCCTCATTCTCACTACTCAGAACAGAAAAATAAAATGGAGAAATACACCGCAATATTACCACTATGGGTTTACGGCCCGGGATTATTGCTGCCAGTACGGAGTACTACTGCCAATAATAAGATCTTTCTCCTTCTGGTGGATTTCTAGAATTGATTTGCTGGGGATTGCGCAGGGTATGTGAGAGAGGCCACCGACGTGAAAGAAAGTCAGTAGAGACGGACAGAAGCAGACAGAAGCTCTCAGTTTCTAGTCTGCTGGCGCCTACGTAGTGGCACTCTCGAGCCAATGCACAGGATGCAATGGAGGTGCATGACGACCATTGATAAAGGTCCAGACTGGGAAAGAATCAAGAAGAATCATCCTGGGATCTTTCCTATACACTGTAGGTGACTCTCTGTGATTCGGATTGTCTGCCCAAGATTGCGAATACAAACAAAACTACACATTACTACGTAGATACGTCTCCTGAGTCTCGGATCCTTAAACGGGCGAAGGGAGATTGCCATGCCTATCTAGCTGGCTGGGTGTTGGTTTTGGTCGGTCGCTTGAAGTGGTTCGGTGGGCCTCTCATCGTCATCCCTATTTCACTTCCGCCAATTGTCTACTAGTAGCCCACTCTGTCACCTCCCCAGTCTGGCTCATCACGAAGAGGACGGGGGGGGCCAGCGATACACATGATAATTCATGAAGGGGGTAACGGGAAAAAAAAAAAAAAAAAAAAAAGAAAAGAAAGCAAGCCAAAAACAAAGGAGAAGATAAAAAAGGGTCAAGATGGAGGAGCCGCTAGGCAACATTCTGTGACCAACGACGTGTTGGAAATATTGATTGATCTGGGCTCAAGGGGTCTGCATTGCTGTTTTTCTGGAACCTCGGGGAATAGCACTGATGGATCCTACCATAGGAGGGGAGGCTATCCGTAGTCATCCCATCTTTCATCCTATTAATATCCCTCAGGGATCGATGGCAGATTGACCGGCGATAGAAGTACACAATAAGACATACTTGTAATCTAGACCAGAAGAGAGTGTGTAGGTTATGAAAAGTTCGGAGAGATTGGTTGGCAAGGGGTTTCTAGGAGGATTCAACATTCTCAAGTCACAACAGGCCCCCGTAGAGTGGTTGAGAGCTTTGCAGGGCGGCAGCAGCTCACCTGACCTTGTGTGCTATCGGAGCCGACCTAACGATGCCAGTGGAGGGCTGAGTCACCGGTCTGGGTTGATGAGCTGAATTGCCAGTTCCCGGCATCGGACCATCTCGTCATCCGGGCCGACCCATCACATGATCTGCCAATGCCGTGCCAAGCACGCACTTTTGTCTCGTTGTGTGTCGTCATTGGTCTTGATATTAAACCAAGTGGAAAGTTAGGTAATCCAGTACGAAAGTACCACCAAGCTAAAGTACTACAAGTACCTGAGAAAAGCTCGCTCACCCTACATCACCTCATGTACCTTGTCTTGTCACTATCACCATCTGACACATCCTCTTCCAACCCATAATTTCCTCACCATCTCCGACCTCCTCACATCCCAGACCTGCTCTCCCGCTCAACCTACTACAACTCATTCACCATGCTCCGTCAAACCATCACCAAGCCTCTCACCACCACCGCCTTCACGCGCTCCTTCTCTGCTCTTGCCCCCAGAATGGCTGGAGGTGACACCGGTGCTCCCCGGTCTGGCGGCGTTCAATCAGGGTACGTTCAATGCCGGTCTATAATCATCGAGGCATCAGACCCTTCGATAAATGACATCATCATCATCATCATCATCAACACCAACATCCCCGATACTTCCTCCAGCTAACACGTCTTCCCAGCGACGCCTTCACCAAGCGCGAGGCCGCCCAGGAAGCCCGCTACATTCATGAGAAGGAATTGGAAAAGTACGTCGTCCACATGCAGCAGCCCTCGCACAATCTTCTCCCCAAGTGGCCGTTGCATGCAAACTGGAAGCTAACCGCGACCTCCAAATAAAACCAGGCTCCAAAAACTGAGACAGAGCATCAAGGAACAGCGCGAGCACCTTGACAAGCTCGACCAGCACATGTGAGTTTCCCCACCTCCATTTTCACCCAAAAACTACCCTGCTTGCTCCCCGCAAACATCCGCGGAGAACCGATTTCACTAACCTTAATATGTCTCACAGCGACGAACTCACCAAGAACCAGGGCGGCGAGCAGAACTAGATTGTGTGCATACTCAATACCCCTCACCTCTTCAACTTCGGTTGTCTTTCCTACATGAACAACACATACTATATCCTCCGCGGAATAACGATATGACTTGCAATGTTGATGTGATGGTCTTTTCGATGTCATGTTAGCATATGGTTTCAGCTACTTAGTCGAAGCCAAAGACGTTACTGTGACCGAAGTATTGGATTGCTTTGCTCCTTGTGTAGACTGAATCATGGTCCATTTAATGCTCGACGGCTTTGCCTTAAACTCGTACCTCTACTCACCAGAGTGCTGAGTAGGCAGTATACATTGACATCATTAAATTTTACAACCCATCTTCCACGCATACTACATACCTTCCGAGTAATAAGTTACTCTGTTATTCTTCATTAACAATCCCATCCCATCACAAATCCGACATAATCACAGTCGCATGTGCAAAAAAACAAGTGACAACAAGTGCTCCGACAAAAGCAAATTCTCAATGGATACAAAAAACAGTAGAGTATGAATGAAAAACCTAGCGCAAAAGGGAAGAAGCCCCCACCAGTATGTAAAACAAAAACTCCACTGCAAGATGTTCAGCGCCGTCCCATGTAAGACCGATAGAAATCATCTACGGCGCTACTACCGCCGCCCAACGACGAATTGCCCAATCCTCCATACCCGAACCGCGAAGACAGTGTCTGACCCGCCCGCTGCGCCTCGTTGACCTTCTGTTGGAGCTCGGTGGTGCCCTGATCAATGGTTTGAAGCTGTGCGAGGTGGGAGTTGAGGATGCGAACGATTTGGGAGATCTATTGTTTCTCGTAGATTAGTTTCACGGACGCAAACGTAAGGTTACTGTCCAGATACGCACCGGTTCATCAGCCTTGCTCGTCTTGCTCAGAGTAGCAGAGGCGCTGTTGACCTCCTCAATCATGCTGGTGAGGTCCTTGCCCATTTCGTCAAGGCGCTCGGATAGTCTCTCAGCAGTCTTGTAGCTATAATTGTATTGAGTAAGTGGCCGTACAGATATGGTCGGAGCAGTTGAACTTACGTTCGCTCACGCTCTTGGTCTGGTCCCTGAAGAGGCTCGTGGGGACCGACCTGCTTGCTCATCATCTCGTCAACTTCACGCTCGTAGCGGTCGAGCCACGAGCTCAACTCGTCCTGCTGTCCCTCAACAGACGCGAGCTGTCGCTCCACCTCCTGCGTGGCTCGTTCGGCATCCACGGTGCTACCGTAGAGCTTCTGGACCTTAGTACCGTTCTCAACGAGCATGCGGTCCCATTCGGCAACTTTCTCCGCTTGTTCGCGGAAGTCCTTCTGGTACTTGGTAAGATCGGTAGCCCAACGAGTGATGATCTCGTCCATAGTCTTGTTCTTTAGGCGGGACTGAGCAGGAGGGGTGGGACCAGCGGTGGAAGCGCCAAGGCCGGTGGCCCCTGCTGCAGGCATTGTCGCTGAAGGCGCGGGTTTGTCGCTTGTGGTTGTCGCAGATGCGGTAGCGGGTTGAGTGGATGGCTGGGTCGCAGCAGGCTTGCCGAACAACCCACCGGTAGCAGGGGTGGCGGATTGAGTGGTTGTGGGGGCAGCAGTAGCTGTAGTGCTTGGGGTCGTTGTCGTCGTGCTCGTCGCGGCAGCTCCGCCGAGGTTGAACAAGCCGCCGCCAGATGTAGCGGGAGTAGTAGACGGAGTGGCTGATGAGGTAGCTCCGCCGAGTGTAGGGAATAGGGATTTTTGAGGAGTAGAAGAGGAAGCAGCGGGTGTGGTGGAGGATGTAGTACTGGTAGTGGGGGCACCCAGCGAGGGGAAGGCGGGCTTTGTCGCATCAGCACCGCCCAGTGGCTTGAAAGCAGGGGCAGCACCTCCAGCCGGAGCGGCATTGCCGAAGAGAGACTTGGGGGCATTGTCAGCGGTATTAGTCGCGGGGGTGGTAGTTGTGGGCTCAGCGGGCTTGTCTTTGTTCGCGTTCCCAAAAAGACCACCACCCGTGGTTGCCGACGGGGCTGCGTTGAACAATGGCTTTTGCGCCGGGTTTGACCCGAAAAGACCGCCGCCAGTCGTTTGCGGTTGTGTAGCGTTGGCATTGCCAAACAACGAAGGAGCGGCAGTCGCCGTCGTCGCCGCAGAATTAGTAGCGGTGGTAGCAGCCGGGGTCGTGGAGGCGGCGGGGGCTTGATTCAAATTCCCAAAAAGAGAATTGGCGGGTTTCTGCGCCGGTTGAGCTCCTCCGAAGAGAGAAGGGGTCTGGCCAGTGGTGGCCGGAGGTGGCCCAGCAGGCGTAGTAGACGAAGCATTCCCAAAAAGGCCTCCTCCCTGCTGCGCCGGAGTAGCCGTAGTATTGCCAAAGAGGGGCTTGGAGGCATTGTTGTTGCCGAAGAGACCACTTGTGGCAGTCTGTCCCGAGCTAGGAGTTTCAGTCGTTTTGTTGGGAGTGGAAGAAGCATTCGAACCGAACAACGGCGTTGACTGGCCCGTGGTTGCTGGCTTGTTGGCAGCACCAAAACTGAACGGAGAGGCGTTGCTGTTGGCAGCGGCAGCTCCAGCATTGCCGAACAGAGGCGTGGATGAGCCGCTTGTCGTAGTAGCTCCTACATTGCCAAAGAGTCCACCACCACTGGGAGCACTAGGGTTTGCGCCTCCGGCAGACCCAAACAGACCTCCCTTGGAATCGCCGCTGGTGGCGTTGGAGTTGAAAGAGAACATACTCGTGGCGATAGGGCGGGCAGTGAAGGGAAAGTGAGAGATATAAGTTTGACAGGGCTACCCTAAAGGGAACGAGAAAACAAAGTCAGTCTTGGAGGGAGATGAATAAGTTGAGAAGAGTCCAACAGACAGAGGGATACTGACTGCGCCCGGAAGAGAGGTCACAAAAGTGCCCTCCGGATAGCAAAGAGCGCAATTGATTCGGACTGAGGGAGCGATATGCGCGTGCTGAAGAAGCAGAAGAAGGACTAAGGTTGGTGTTTCTGGCAGCTGAAGCTGGTGAACCTCCAGACTTTCTGCCGCTTTTACTCTTTGGGCGGGCGGCGGGCGGGCGGTTGGAGGAAGCAGACTAGCGCTTGTGGCGGCTGGCGGTTATGCCACCAGGCTTAGGATCAGGCATCAAGCTTATATGCCTGGTGGCCTCAGGCCATGGTCGAGACTCGCATCGGCCCCGACGATCACGGCTGAGACGACCTCATGCACTTCCCTTCTGGCTATTACTCGCCTCGCCTCATTCCTCTTCGCCTTCTGACCTCTTTTGAGCAAAGACAGCAGTATCCAGAAATACATGCTCTATCTTTGGGACCTTACCTAGAACTTTCACCTCTCAATGTCGGATCGGCCTTCCCGTCCGTCCAGTCCATACTTGGAGCCTCCAAGGAAGACCGTGGAGTTGGAAGACCCCGGTGCTCAGGACTCCGGTAAGCCTCACTTCCTAATCTACCAACCTCGCAAACTGGGCTGGCCCCTGATCGCGACATATGCTGACAATTACTACGTCTTGACAGCGGCCAATAGTGACGATGAGCCTTTCACAGATGCCAACGAAGGTCACCAACAGCCACCTTCCCGCCCCTCCTCCGCCACCGGGCGCACATCCCCTATCCCCCTAACACGAGTGGAACGAGTCGACGAGAATCCAGCGCATGGTGAAGTTCCTGGCACATCAGCCTACGAGATACGAACTCGAGATGCGGTTCCCGATCAAGTCGAAGTAATCCCCGATGGGTCCCGCAGCCGGAGCACTTCGACCTCCAGGCAGCAGCAACGACCGATGACGCCCAGCTCGCCCATTCCCCGGACAGTGGTCGAGAAGGTGGATCTGGATCAACCAAGTCACGGAGATGTACCTGGTACTCCGGCCTACGAGCTAAGGAAGGCGGATGCGGTACCAGACGTTGTCATGAAAGCCTCAGATTCGGATGATGCTGCGCCTAACCCCGAGTCGGTTTCCATTCCTACTAATACACCCGTCCCCGAGACGCTGCTATCTCGAGTCAACTCCCCTACGAATGACGAAGAAACATTGCCACAATCATCATCAGATGACAACGAAGAATCACAACCGCATGCTCATCGGGCAAAACCCAGTGACCCCCAGCCGGATCAAACGGAAACGGTCACCGTGGCGCCCCCAGGTAAGTCGGATTTCTGTTAAACACCAGCATCGAATTTCAGGGACGATTGACCAATGCAGACTCGCCTGCAAGCCATCGAAGTCACACCCGCCGGAAATCCTCAGTGACCGATGACGAGTTCGGGGACGAAGAGACCCCCGGGGGTGGTGCAGATGACTTCGATGATTTCACCGAGGGACAGGACGACATGGGAGACTTCGACGACGCGGACTTCGGAGACTTCGACGACGGCTTCCAGGAGCCGAGTGCAACGGTACCCGTTGATGCTGTTGAAGTCTCGCAGCCTCCTACGCCACCCTCTGTCGTAAGCGGACTATTTCCAACTCAACAAGGTCTTTTGCTAACTTGCCTTCAGCCGACCCTCTTCGACCTAACCACCATCCAGACAATCCCCGACCTCTACGCAGCGCTAGACGACCCTCTCGATCAACTCTTTCCCTCCACCACATCACTTCCATCTTCCAAACTCGACCCCATTCCCAATGCTACCGCTATCTTCAGCACCGAACGCTCCCTCTCCCTCTGGTCCCAGCTTGTCGCGCCCCCACCTCTCCAGCCCCAAAATTGGGTAAAATCCCGCATTCGCCGCCTCTTCCTCGTCTCACTAGGAGTCCCCGTCGACCTGGACGAGATTCTCCCCGCCTCCAAACAAAAGAAACTTGTCCTTCCCTCCCTGACCATCTCCTCCAACACCTCGACCGCCACTCCGAACACCAGCTCCCAAAACCCCGGCATCGCCACCCCAACCCACGCAACCTCTCACTCTCGCTCCCAGAGCCTCGCCGCCAATGCCAACCGCAACAGCACCCAAAGTACCGCCGGCGGAACCGGCAGTCCCGGCGGCACGCCCCGCAGCACCGGCGCCCGTCGAAGACGGGAGGCCTCCCCGCCGCCGGAGCTAGATCTCTCGGCCGTCCGCCGCCTCTGCGCCACCACAGACGCGGCGCTCGGCGGCCTCACGGATGGGGAGCTCAAAGGCCACGTGCAGGAGCTCGAATGGGTGACGCTGCGCGCGAGTGCCGTGCTAGAATACTGGCTCAAACGGCTGGACGGACTCGTAAGTGAAAAGGAGGCATTCGAAGGCGTGATAGAAAATCTGGTCAATCATGCAAGAAGAGTGAGGAAGTAAGCAAGCAGCAGCAGTAGTAGTATCAAAGGCGCCCGGACAAGACTATATCTTATTCTTAGCTTATAATGTGAGACTAGAAGGAGCGGCAGGTAGGGCAGGGAAAAAAAACAACTGAGATATTGGTATACTCGGCTGCGGTGGGATTTTTCTGCTTTCTTGGTTGTTTGGTGGTTTGGCGGCCCGAGGCGAGCGACGGTTAGGAAGCAAATAGTAGGGTTCTAATTTATTGGTAATGACATGATATAAAACATACCTGATGCCATGCAGTGCTTTCTTGTTTTTTTGGGGGGCCCTTCTCCGAGGAGTGTGCATCTCGCATGAGGGATGATTCTGGTTCAATGTGCTGAGTTAGCAATGAGTGAATCACTATTATGTCACGAGGTAGCAATGATAATGTCTATATGCAAGAAGAAACACAAAGTTTGCTCGTGATAAGATATATATCAGATACCTCCTACCTCGGAGATGGGATGTATGTATCCCCCCCTGACAGCAACATATCATAGACCAACGATCATTCCAGCCGGTTAGATTGATATCAACTGGTGTATGCTTCGGATGAGACCACCGGGTTCTATATTTCGGTACGCGGAACTCATCGAAAGTATCACTACCACTAGCTCAACTGAGTGGTGCTGGGAAGTACTCCCCCAAGATTTACGGCATGTAGACTCACGCAGATAAACTACCCGACTGAATTCTTAGTAAACGCAGAAACGAATCGCTTTTCTGAATTTGTGTACGTCACCCAGAATCTGGACGGCACGTGCTACATCCGACCAAAGTGAAAAGCACACAAAGTCAGCAGCGATTTTGAGACTCGAAGATCCATCTAGAATCTATTTTCGTATCGACCAAATGAAACAGCGCCATGTCCACCGACCCGAGAAGCCGACTCCACTTTCCTTGGGAAATACAAACACGGCATTGAGTAACAGGTATTGGGGTATCGTAGAGCATTAATGCGATTGACATGAACGCCAGATGCATGAGATAATTTTTGAGTTAAAGGGGCAATACGGAAAGAAACGTAGGAAAAAGTAAGAAAAGAAAGGAAGGAAGAAGGGAAATAAAGAAAGAAAAAAGAAGAGAAAAGCATAATTCTCTCAGGTCTGGGTTTCATCCGTTGTCATCACAGATGAAGTTCGGGTGACCGACCTGTTGTACTTCCTTTAACTATGCCGGAGGTGAGGAACCACGTGGTACGCATAGTGTCAGTCGAGATCAATCACCTCCGGGGTCGCGCTATTGCGGGGTCCTTGTTCCGGTCGATCTACCTTTTGTCTCTTTGGGGCCGGACTATCCAGGCCTCCAGAGGAGCGTTTCGAGGTCGGAAGATCTGTGTCAGTGACCACCGTCCAAGAACCATCAAGAGCAACTCGAATGGCGCGGGCGTCTGCAAGTTTGTTCGTGCGCACTAATTCCTTGCGCACGTCAACCATGAACTCGTCGCGCAGCAACATCTGGGGACGGGCGTCACCCTTACAGATCGGGCAGCGCCAGCCATTGGAAAAAGGACGCGAACCAGAGACGGCAGCCTGGGTGCGTATGAATGTCTCGTGGTCAAAACACTCGGAGTGAAGGCAAAACCGTCCACGGACGGGTTGTTGGATCGTTCGCGCAGTGAAGGGGTCGGCAAGACTAATGACAAGGTCATTACTAACCACGTGAAGGTCGTCGTAATCGCCGTCATTGCGGGTGGATGGCTGAAGACGTTGCTGAATTTGACGACGGGACACAGCCGCTGGGAGCGTCTGTGCAAGCGCCATGGCAGGCTCAAGAGCAGCAATCTGAGCCATCTCCACGGCGAGGGCGTACAATTTATCTTTCTGCTCGGCCGCATCGCGGATGAAATGAAATGAGATCCTGTTCTCGCCCACACGCAAATGCGGGGTAATGTCGAGAGGTATGTCTTTATGGGCATGATACTTCCGACGTACGAAAAGTTCTGTGTCATTGACGAAAATATAGATCACGCTGGGCCAGACGCTCTCAGACTGAGTCCAAGCTGATTCATTGAGGGGGAATTTGGTGGCGGACGAGATAGATATACAACGCATCCGATAGAGCTGCTGACTGTCCATCAACATGCGCACAGAATGTGGAAGTCCACCAGACTTCATTTGCGACGGATCTGGAAGGCGATCCGCGGCCTCTTGTGTTAAGTTTATAGTCCAGTGGAATTGACATTGAAAGCGGCCTAGTGGTATTGGCGGGAGCGCAAATGAATCCTGATACTGAAATAGCGTTGTCTCTTGAACCTGGCCTGAAGAGTCTTGTCTGACTAGCTTATTGATCGGCCCGCGGAGATGGGCCTGATGTATGGAATCCCTTAATGGATGTAGAGGTAGGGGGTTAACGAGAAACTTCGTTCCAGGCGCAGGCAAGAGCAAAGTCGATGGGTGAGGCTCCGGTGGTGTGGGAGGAGGCGCTCCTGGTCGCGAATGTTGACGCATCGTGAGTAAAGCTTGTTGCGCAGTACCTTCCTGTACAGGCGGGCGACGAGCAAGAAATTGACCCAGAGTTGGTGGTAATAGCATCCCCGTGGAAGTAGGAGCATGGCCTGGTGAGGGGACTGTGATAGACATGTGAGCCATGGTGGGGGTTAGGAGGCTTTTTGGAGAATTCAACTCCGAGCCTGACGTAGCAGTAACAGGTGCTGCGTGTGAAGGGACGCCCACAAGAGGTGGGGTGGGCAATGGTAACACTCCTGGCCTGTGAATCGAGTGAATGAATCGACTTGGGTGCGGGGGAGCCGCGGCAGTGACGGGTTGAGGGCTGAGAGGGCCAAAGAGGGACGGCGGTCGGTGAGGGGGAGGATATCCCATGTTAACGTGATACAGAGTCAAAATTGCATCGGTTTCCTTCTTCGCGCGCGACAATGACACACATTTCTTTATTGCATCTGCTAGACGGAGCTCTGTCAGGGCAGCGTCCTGCCGAAAAATCTCGGACAGACGTTCTTCCCGTTTATTTGGAGCGAGAATACGACGCATCAGAGCTAAAAAGATAGTGTGATGGAGCACATAAGAGCGCAAGGCGAAGTTTTGAATTAGCTCCTCGATCAGAGGTGGCAGGCCTCGCTCGCGAATAAACCGCTCAAAGATATCCCAGCGTTGACCGAGCATTGCCAGGGCAGTCATGACCTGGGCGAGAGCAGCCGACCACCATGGCAGGCACAGCATCGCAGAAATCGGCTCAGGAAAGCATGCGGCCCAGCAAAGAAATTGCGGCGACACTCGTTCATTATCGACGAGCAGCTGACCTAGTGTCTTCAACCCAAGAAGTTGCATATGAGAGAAGCCTTGCAGCTGCGACAGCTCGGCGGGCGCGTAAGAAGCCAGACTGTATAACTGATGAACCACAAGATAGATGACGTCCCGACAGGATAGAGCATCTTGCAGCAGGCGAAGGCGGGCATTCTCCAGACCCACGGATGGGCGGGCATTTCGTGCAGGATCGCGTGCAAAGGCATCCAATTTCTTTTCCGCCGGAGGGAAGTAGGTGGGATCCCCGTGGATTTGAGGTGGATAGCCCGGGCGAAGCTCCGGTTTCTGGCGAGTACTAGCGGTGTCATTTGCTGCAATCCTTACTGCGGTACCTGCTGCGGCCACTGCGCACGTTCCAGCGCTGGTACGCCTTGAGGCTGCCGTGGGTGTCCCCGACGTGGCAGAGGGGGTCATGGACGGGGCATTCGAGGGCGTGGGGCGCGACGAGGGAACTGGCGCTGCGGCCACATTCTCATTCTGGGGCAGACCCGGCGGAGGTTGAGGCTGGCGTACGGGGGTGTGATAGACAGCGATAGGGGGAAGATTTGCCGCAAGAGGAGCAGCTGGCGATGCTGAAGGTGGTGGAGATGGTGGAGCAAGAGGGGGAGGAGGTTGTACTGGCTGCTGCTGTGGAGGCTGCGGAGGACCAGGCGAAGGAAGCGTTCTGGCGGAAGGAGGGGGAGGAGGAGGAGGAGGGATCGACAAGTTGGGGCGATGTGAACATGGAACTGGACGTGTGCGGAAAGCATCTAATGATGAAGCAACAGCCGGAGGAGGATGAGGAGTAGGCGGAGAGGGATTCATCCAGCGCGGTCGGGCTCCGCCGAGAAATATGTGGGCGGTGGAGTTGCTGGACTGTAAAGCGGGTTGATTCGCGGCTGCCATGGTGCATGTTGGTTGACTTCTTCCCACTTCCCTGATCTTTTGGTTTGGGTTCCTGAACAGCAGTAATTATGATGCTGTGAACAGGGTGGGATAAACCCAATTCATCACTGTCCTCTGTTTCAATAGGAGCGAAGAAGCCAGATGGAAGGAAAAAGAGGACAGGAGAATGTGGGGAGACCAGCAAACAGAAGATGGAGACCACATGTGAATCCTCTTATCTCGTTCATAGACTTGTCTCCAAGACCAAGAAAGTGAATAAACAGATAGAAGCCAGAAAGTTGAATTGGAGCGATTCACCACTAAGCGAAATGGCATGGTAGAATGTCACCGCACTAACTATTCACTAACTAATGGCTACTGCAGTATCATCATCAGCAGTAACCAACAGTAACTAGCCGCGAATTACAGCGTAGTGTGTGCAGGAACGAACCCAGACAGCAATGGCCGAACATTCCCCGACTAGGCTGGAGTTGGATACATCACAATGGGCTGAATGCGATCCATCATTCCTTGAATGCAGGGCTTGTTTCGGATGGTATCGTGACCTGTCAATTGGAGGTGAGCTAGCTGAGAGACACTTGGGGCGGGAGAGGAGTGTGTAAAGATAGGATAGTTAGTGAGAGAGGATGGATGCATTGTGGAAATGAATGCAGTTATTGAGGGAAGGGAAGGGAAAGGAAGGGGGGGGAGGAGGTCAACTGGTACATACAAAGAGATACAACAAACAATAAGCTATGAGGTACCACGATGAACTTCTTTTCTCTACTGCTTCTCCTTCTCCTTCTACTTCTTCTTCTACTTCTTCTTCTACTTCCTCCTCTCCATTTCCTTCCCTTCAATTACTATCCTATATCCGATCAACTAATAAGTATAACTACTAATTATATCCAAATTAATCTTAATTCTGCCCGACCAGCACAGAATCCGTTCCCCGCTCCGATTCGTGGTTCGTCCGCCTTGACGCTTGCCAATTCAACTGTTCGCTTTCAATTCTTCTGCCAGTCGTTCTCTTCTTCTGCTATTAGTTACTGCCAGCTTCCCTTCTTTTCCTCCTCTCGCGCATTCTTTCTTCTCTTCTTTTCTTCTTCTCCTTCTTCTCCTTCGTCTCCCTCTCCTCTTGTGCCCGGTGTGTTCTACAATTCTCGAATTTCACTCTTTGATCATCTTTACCCACCGAATCTACGTACAATACCCTAAACCCAACTGATCGACATCATTTTGCCCACTACTGCCATCATCCTGCATCATCGACTTCGCTCTCTGTCTGACTGGTTCTTTCTCCTTGAGCTGCTGACTACCTCCTGTCTCTCCTCTTTTTCCCCATTCATATCGACTACTGCTTCTTCTTCCCGCTCTCGCAATCCCTCCGTCCATTCTAGACCATCTTTACTTTGGGCGGCGGCCCCATGCCCGGCCCTTGAGTCTCACTTGTTCCTCCTCCCCCACACCCTTTTCTCGGCCATTACGCCGCCTCCCACCCCTCCTCCCCAATGGCCCTCGCCGCTCCTCCCCGCGGAGTCATTCCCGGGGATTTGTTACTCGTCGTCCGTGAGTATTTCCCATTTCTTTGATTATTTCCATTCCTGCTTCAATTGCTTACCTGCGCAGATGATTTCGATGCCCGCGGCCCCGACGAGCTGACTTTGCGACGCGGGGAAAAAATCGAATTGGTTGAGCTGGATGAGGGCTTCGGAGATGGCTGGTATCTGGGCAAAGAATTGACTACCGGTTCGACAGGTCTCTTCCCCGGAGGTAGGCTTTCCTGTTTTCAATCATCCTCAAGTATTCCTACGCAATAAAGCACTAACAATGCCGATGTAGTATACACCACGGCCGCCCCAAAGATTCGCACTCGCCCCCCTACTGAGACCACGGTCCAGGCGACGGCCGAGCACCCGACAGAGATCGATGGCACTACTCTTGATGCTGAATTTGTTCCCAGGAGCGGCGATTCTACCCCTCAAGTTTCGCGCCATACCAGCATCTCCGACCTACACGCCCCCGAGGTGCCCCGGTCGCCCCCGCAACAGCAGCAGCCACAGCAACGTTCCGCCTCTTCCCCCTTGCCGGCTGCCAAGATCTCCCTTGAAATCCGTCAGGCGCTGGAGGGGCAGCATCGCAATGGCCAGGACAGTCCCGTCATGAACGAGACCCTCAGCGTGATCGATGAACACATCACCGATCTCAGCACGCCGCGGCATAGCGTGGCTGATCGGGAGCCCTCCGTTTTGAACGACTCCGCCAGCGAGTATAGCAGCCATCTGGATCACCGTCGCTCTTACATCAATGGGCATGAAACCGATGAGGAGGAAGAGCGGCAGCCACAAGAGGCTCAGGTTCGCCGATGGTCCCCGGCCTACACGGCCCGGCAGCTACGTCAGCTGGGTATTGAAAACAAGCACTGTGACATATTCGAAGAGCAGGAGATCAGCGGCGATGTTTTGCTCGACATGAACCAGGACTTCCTATTCATGAAGGAGTTTGACTTTGGGGTTATGGGCCGTCGCCTGAAGACTTGGCACAAGATTCGAACGTTCCAGGACCAGGTCAAAGTCAGTCCCAAGGCCCCATCGCCGGCAGTATCGCCTACCCTGCCGCGCAGCTCGCTGGTCGCAGGCCCAGGCTCGCCGGAGCGCACACGTAGTCGAGCGGGACAGACGGCCCCCTTGCTACCACGCATTCCGACTTTGCGCACCTCGAATACGCCCCATCCCAGACTTGTCGGTAACACCGGCCCTAGTACCGGCAGTAGCTCCCCGATTCCGTCGCAAGCTCCGTCGTATATGGATCATTCGCGTCGCCCATCTGCGGCGTCTGTGCGGGAAATCAATCATTCGCGCCGACACTCCTCCATTGATGCGACAACTCGCTACTCCGGAGTTGTCGATGGCTCCCCAGGACCCACGCAGCGGGGCTCCTTCGATCGCGCCTGGTCTCTGTCCACAGGACCTCAGCAACGCCTACCCACGCGTCCGGGAACATCGGCAGGGACTTCGACGGCCAATTCTCCAGCCTTTGAGACGGGCTTCGTGCATACTGGCGGTCACCGTGCGAACGAGTCGAATGGCTCTGACACTACAGCTGCCACGCCGGATGACCTGGACCGCGGTTATTTCTCGGGCCCCGAAGGCGACACCCGCAAACACAGGCGACTTTTGCAAAAACGGCAGTCGGCGGCTGGGAGCGCCGATGCGCGCATCTCACCGGTCCCTGGCGAGCCTCTTCGGGTATCGAAGCGGCACTCGCGCATCAGCAGCATGGACTCGATTCGAGAAAAGGCTGTGCAGCCTATTGCCCCGCCCAATAAGTCTTTTACAGCCCCTGCACCGAAGGGACGACTCCGCAGTCTCAGCACTCGCCTGGTAGACCGGCGAACACCACAGTCGGCTCCAGTCTCCGCGATCGAGGATCGTTCTGGAGGGTCCAATTTATTCGGTCCGCTATTCGGCGGCAAGTCGGAAAGTGACACATCCCGTTCGTCTCAGCAACCAGCGAAGACTGGCGCTCAAAAGTTTCGACGTGTCGTAGGTATCCGCACGATGTCGGATGTGGTGAACAAGGGCGTCGACACCACCGCTGCGCCACCGTCTCCAGTTCGGGATCGAGATCCTGCTCCTGCCCGGACCGGATCCACGACCCCTTCGACCACCAAGAGTTCTGAACGGTTGAGCACGGACGGCTCCGGAAAGGCAACGGAAAGTGGTCTATGGCCCCGCTCCCGTCCATCTGTCAAGACTGGGTCCAAGTCGAAGAAGGACACCAGTGCTTACATGCGCGGGCTGGAGAAGAAATCGCCGCAGGAGCAGATGACAGGCTGCGATTACGTCGGGTGGATGAAGAAGAAATCCCCGAACCTGATCACCACGTGGAAGCCACGACTATTCGTGTTGCGAGGTCGTCGGTTGTCGTATTACTATTCGGAACAGGACACAGAGGAACGGGGATTGATTGACATCACCGCGCATCGCGTGCTACGTGCCGATCACGACCCTATGATTGCGTTGCATGCCACTATCACCGGCTCTACCGGGTCGCCGACTGCGCCTGCTCCTTCCGTGCAACTGGCTGATGGATCTTCCTCGTCGGATCCCATTCCCACCAGCGAGGCACCGCGAGTCAGCAAGTCCGGCAACGAGGGGCCATTCTTCTTCAAGTTGGTGCCACCCAAGTCGGGCTCTTCACGGACAGTGCAGTTTACCAAGCCGGCAGTCCATTATTTCCAGGTTGACAACGTGCAGGAGGGCCGGCGCTGGATGGCCGCTTTAATGAAGGCGACCATTGAGCGGGACATGGACTTGCCAATAGAGACAACAAATAAGCAGCGTACCATTAGCCTGAAGGAAGCGCAGTTGATGAATCAGCGGCCGCCGGCACTGATGGCAGGAACGGCAGCTGGAGCGGAGGGGGCGGCGCCCGAGGCCACAGCGACAGAAGACGCATCATCCAAAGCACCTTCTGAGCCTACCGAAGGGAAGACGACAGGCGCAGAGACAGAAGACGCACCCGAAGAACGAGGCTTGATGATTAAAGGGCTTGATTTGGACGGGCAGCGTGCCAGCAGCGACAGCAAGGAGGGCGTCCAGCTGTCAAAGCCTTTGGGAGACGTTGACACTGACCCTGCGTCTTTGGTCCCAGAGTCGATGCGAGACTCACAGTGATGCAGCCTGGGATTTCACTTTCTTTCCACCTTTTCCCTTATTCTCTTATTCTTCTTCCCCCCTCGCCCGCACTTCTTTCTATTACCTTCTTGTAGTGATGACGGCGAGCTCGCTTGGCGTTGATGTGATATACCCATTGGAATTTCTTTCAAAGCGGCCGAGATAGTCCGCGGTGGCTTGTGATGAGTTGATAGCTTGATTAGATACTAGCTGGATTGCATGAGTTTATTGTATGAGTTCTCAATGTTTTGATTCTGTCTGGTTTAGATGCTGCTTATCTCGTCTTATAAGGTTGATCAACGAATCCAGTGCCACAACTACCCACTAGAACACACTCGCTTCTACACCATCGTTACTAAGAGGAAGCATGATTAGAATCATAGCAGGTAGGACGACCAGTTGACTCTGGTATTCACTCTTCAATCTGCACAAGGAGAATTGACTAAGATTAGGCACATTGGGTACAGTCAGTCATGTAAAACCTGGTCCTCACTATCTGAGAGATTGGGTGAATATTGGTCCCATGACAGTTGACGGCTTTTTGACTACCCAGAGAGTACACTTGAGAGAACAAACATGGCATTGGGATCGTAGATAAGAGTAACCACTATTCTCAGTTTCCGTCAAGTAAATGCATACTGAGCGGACAAAGAGCCAAAGACACCATAGAAGACCAAAATGAGAGACAACATGAATGGGAGACGGGATGATGTTCGTGCATCTCGCAAATTCATGTGAGGGAGAAATACAACACTATGTATGACTCTCTGCGCGCTTTCCATTCAAGAGCCAAGAAACACAGCACCCCATATACAGTGAACGCCAAGCACGAGCTATTACCCCAGCGATGCCTACTATTCACCCCTGTTATGCGTGCATCCATCCACTGCATGCTCGAAGGGCAGTTCAGTGAATGCGGACCACTTCTCTACACGTTGGCCAACGTGTATGGAACCCCTTCCCAGCACCCTTCACCATCATCCCTACTCATACCTAGAGCCCTCCACATCGATCACAATCTACCCACACCTACACTACCGGGCCCATCACCGTCTTCGAGTCCTGCTGTCCTCGTTGAGACAAGTAACAGCCATGTCCTCCAACACCGACGAAGCGAAGAACCCCACTGTCCAGAAACCGGTGCGAACCTACCGACGTGACTACGAGGTGGAATTTGATGGTGTAAAGCAACACATCAAGGAGGAGCGACAGGAATATGCCACACCACGCCCCGGTTTCGCTGTGCACGATTCCAGTGTCATTCGCAGAGCACCAGCCGAGTTCCCACTCGCTATCTCCGGTCCAGCGCACCAAGATTCACCCAGATACATGACTAGATCGGCTCGCAGGAATACAGTAGTCATTCGAGAGTCCCGTGAGATCAATTCTGCTACGTCTTTTAGTAGATATGTCAGCGTCAGAGAAGAAGAGCTCTATTCGCCTGATACTACCTCCCGTACCAGCGAGGAAGCGTGCAGCACCGACACTGAGGACTCCGACAGTGGTGGTGGAAAACCTATCAGGGGAATCAAAAGCGCAGGTGCCAGCACCAGTGACAAGGCGTTAGATTCTGGCGAGGAAGGGCCCAGTCAGGGGACCAGGAGCGCAGAGGCAAGTGACAGCGGCCAGAAGTCAGACGATGGTGGTAAAGGGTTTCGCAAAGTAGAAATTGAAGGAGCAAACAGCACGGTAGGTGAAAGACAGTGATTCTCAAGAATCGTGGGCGCAGCCGTTTTGCTTCTGGACACCATGTGCTGGTGCTGGGTACTACGGTGTTGAAGGATATCAAGAGCTTGTCATGTAATAATCTTGTGTCTTGCTATGTCTTTCTCAGTTAATATTTGGTTGTTACGAGAATGCCATGTCATCTCCATAAGATAGTTACAGACAGAAGTGAAGCGAGAGGATCGGCGGGCCGAGACGCAAGCTTAGGCCCATCGATTTCCCGCTGCATCGACCAACCTTGAAACAACTTCACCCCCAATAACCTAACAGTAATGCCTCTCTGTCCCTAATGCTTCTTTTCTTTAACCACACTCCTTTACTCTATTTGAATGTTTCTCCAGTCTCTTCTTTGCCGTCTTTTGGCACTGCTTGTCCCGCTGGCCGTGACGAGCAGCCTGTATCTATATTTGTATCCCGTCGTCCACGGCTGCGCTTTTCCCCTGCCACACGACTCTCTTTCTCGTGCCAATGCTTTTCTGGCCACTGTGCGACAACATATACCCACAGACGCTGAACCCGCACCAGCAGCGCCGTTTCGTCTTCTCGTTCTCGCAGATCCTCAACTCGAGGGAGACAGCTCGCTACCCAAGCCGGAGGATGAGCTACCAGCGCGTCTGCGACACCACTGGGCGCAGATCCGGGCTGCGTGCAGTTCTCCGCCACCTTCTCTGAACTCGACCGCAGCCACAGATGCTGATGCTAATGCCGAATCTACGCCTGACACCCTTCCAAGCAACATCTCTGAGTCCAACGCCGAACCCCTCCACAATGATTCCGACATCAACCTTCCCCTGAACCAATCGACCTTCCGCACGATCAACCTCCGCGCAACGAAACAAGCCATCACCGCCGCCCTCCACTCCCTCCTCCACACCGACCTCCCCCGCACATTCAAAGCAGCCCGCAAACGCCTCGACCTCCTAGGCAATGACTACTACCTCGCCCACATCTACCGCACGCTCCACTGGTGGACGCAGCCCACCCACGTCACGGTCCTCGGGGACCTGATCGGCAGCCAATGGGTCAGCGACGAGGAATTCGAACGCAGGGGCCAGCGATACTGGGAGCGGGTGTTCCGGGGTGGCGTCCGGGGTGACAACTTCATTCCTCCGCCTTCTCCTCCTTCTTCTCTTGCCCACACGGATAATACCACCGAGAACCAAAACATCATCAACAACAACACCCTCGCCCTGACGGCCACCACCCACCCCTCCCCCTGGACAAATCGCATCCTCAACATCGTCGGCAACCACGACATCGGCTATGCCGGCGACGCCAGCGCCGCGCGCATCTCGCGCTTTGAATCCACCTTCGGCCAAGTCAACTGGGACGTGAAGTTCTGGCTGAACTCCTCAGGCTTGGACACAGACACAACACCGCAAAACAGCCCTCCCCAGATCCACATCATCAACCTCAACTCCCTCACCCTCGACACACCCGCCTACAGCCCGGACATCCAGTCCGCCTCCTACGAGTACCTCAACGGGCTCATCGCGGACCGTCTCGCGCCTGTGACCGACCGCTCCACGTTTACCTTGTTGTTGACGCATCTCCCGCTGCATAAGCGGGAAGGGGTCTGCGTGGATGCGCCGCTTTTCAAATTCTTCGAGGAGGATGATGGTGGTGATGGTGTTGATGGAAAGGAGAAGCGGTGGTTCGCGGGGGGTTTGCGCGAGCAGAATCATCTGAGTGAGTGGGTGAGTGGGAATGGGGTGTTGGAGGGGGTGTTTGGGATGAGTGGGGAGGAGGGGGAGGCGGTGGTGGGTGGGGGGGGGGGAAGGAAGGGGTTGGTGTTGACGGGGCATGATCATGAGGGGTGTGATGTTTTGCATTTTGTGAGGAGGAGGAAGGGTGAAGTTGGCGGGGAAAGTGATGTTGATGGGGAAGCTGAAGCTGAAGCGGATGGTAAGGAGGCGAAGGACGAGAACGACTCGGAAGACGGAGCAGATGAAAGGGACTGGGAATGGGACGCCAGACGCTACTCCCCGCAGGCACAGGCCGAGACCTCGACGCCGTCGATCCGCGAGGTTACCATGCGGTCGATGATGGGTGCGTATGGCGGGTACGCGGGCTTGTTGTCCGTGTGGTTTGATACGGACAAGCAGGAGTGGGAGTATGAGATCCAGATGTGCGCCGCCGGGGTGCAGCATATCTGGTGGGCGGTGCATGTGGTGGACTTGGTGACGCTGGGGATTGGACTGGTAGCACTGCTCCTCAAGGTGTTTATGCCTTTAAAGCACACGCACCAGCTGCAAGGAAAGAAGGATGGTGCAGACCGTCGACCTCAGAAGACGAAGACATGAAAGTGAGCATCATACAGCCAATGTCACTTATAAAGAGACATACGATAGCATCTGGAGAGATATAGCGCAAACATAGACTTAATTTACAAGCATGGCACACACACGATCTACGCTGCTCACATCCACAGGCAGTCTACAGATGCAAGTAAAACAAGAAACAACATCCTCCTACGACACCACCACTACAAGGATTTGAAATAACGTTTTTATGAATTCATTTTCATTTTATTTCAGGTCATAGATTTGAATTGGCGCACCCATGATTCCGAGCTTGGTATCGTTCCCCAAATCCGCTTGTCACACACCCGCATATAAATCAAGGCTTTTTTTACATGACAACACCGGAGTTGGAAGCAATACGCTGGAAGAGTTGTTAGTGAGATTCCCTCACAAAGAGTCATTCTGGAAGGCAAACTTACAGGCCAAAGCTCAGCAGCCTCCTTACCGACGGGGCCGGTGATGGCGGAACCCTTCATCTCACCCTTGGCGTTGACAATCTAGATTCCCCAGAATTAGCGACCTGCACCAGAAGGGAAAAACTGCTCGGAACAGGCAACAAAGGGGATAGGCAACTTACAACACCAGCGTTGTCCTCGAAGTAGAGGTAGATACCATCGGCGCGGCGCCAGGGCTTGCTCTGACGGACGACAACGGCGGGCATGACCTTCTTACGGAGCTCGGGCTTTCCCTTCTTGACGGTGGCCATGACCATGTCACCGACACCGGCAGCGGGGAGACGGTTCAGGCGAGCACCGATACCCTTGACGGAGATGATGTACAGGTTGCGGGCACCGGAGTTGTCGCAGCAGTTCATCACGGCGCCACTGTTGGGAGTTGTTAGTATGGATGCGATAGGCACAGGTACTCGGGTGATCGTCTGGTGTCCGGGGGTTTTGTAAAGATTTTGGGGGTGGTGTATCTTGTGCAGTAGTCGATGTCGAAATTGGTTTTGGGTTCATCCAGTAGGGGTAGGTGAAAGGAAGCATGCGGTGCACACGTACCAAGGAAGACCCAGGGTCATCTTGAGCTTGTTGCCGGAGGGACGCCTGTGAAGATGAACATGTCAGCTGGGTGGTTCTTGTCCTTGCTGTGTAGCTTGTAGCCTTGTATCCGAGCTCAGCTCCAACTTCCCCCCAAAGAAAATGCATCCTTGAATTCCAGTTTCTCTTCCGCAGTGTTTCACACATTTAATCGATACCGTCACCGAAGGTCGCAGTTGTAGTCGGAAAACTTTTCGATAAACCTGGTACCGGTTCTCGACACCGGCAGGAGGAGATTGAGGCACAAAATCCTCCCATCGAAAAAGATTCGCAAAACCGAGTGTATTGTAGTAGTCATTCCCAGCACATTTCTATCCTTCAGGTCGAATTCGTTCAATCTTTTCTGCCCATGTTGAAGAAAAGAGGAAGACGCGACGGCCCAAGCCCAGGTAGTCGATCATCGTGCACCTCCTGGCATAAGAGAAAATTGTCGTCCCTCGAAAATATCCTGGCTGATCACGAAGATTCCCCCTCTTGCGATGCAATTCTCCCAAATCCACCCCTCCAAAAAAAAAACCACAAAACAAAACACAGAAGGATAACTCACGGTCTCTGAGACATCTTGGCTGCTGTGTATCTCTAAACACGGGGGTTGTCGGGAGAGATGAAGAATTGGGCGATGGACGACAACGACAACTCAGGTCCTTCTTTCTCACGGGGCGGGCGTCGGGGGTTCGCACACGGCGGGCGACGGTGTGGGCGGTCGGGGCGGTCACCGTCGATTCCTCGCTTAGTGGCCGCCCATTCAGTGGGATGAAATCTTGGCGGCGCCGCTCTGATTGGTCGATGCTCGGAAATGCCCTAGGGCTAGTCTGCGGTTGCTGGCTGCTGGTCATGTGATATGCTTGCTGCTTTGGGGTTAGCCGGTGGTGTTGGGTTGGTTCACAGTTACCTCCCAGAGGTTGTTGTCACTACTGGAGCTACCTACCATAGTCATATCATCATGTACGGAGTAGTTAGTAGTATGTAAAGTACTGTCTATTGTGCCTCTGCATTGCAAGGTGCTGGGAGCTGTACAGCTGTACAAGCATACTAGTTTGCATGCACTTCTCCCTACTTCATTCACTTCTACACTTCTACAAATCAAGCTGAAGCAATAGAGCAATCTTACATATAGCCCACTTCGACAATACATAACATCCTATATCATCATGCATTCACCTAGTACATACATCTAAGAAGAAGAAAGCAAAGACAAAAGCAACAAGCAAGCCAGAGATATATGTCGAGGATTAATTCCCATGCAGAAGATCAACCAGAAACACCATTACTGCCCGTCCCGTGCGCCAGCAATCCCGAGATTACAGCAGCCCTAGTCCTCACTCTTCGTGGGCTCATCAGGCTGCGATTCCTTCGTGGCTTCCTTGGCTTCATCACTCGTCTCCGGCTCGACCTTGGGAGCAGCCGAGTCGCCCTTAGAAGCCTCCGGGCTTTTGTCTTTCGATTCGCTGGCATCGGCTGATGTAGCCGCGGGCTTGATCTCGACCTCGTTGGTCTCGGGCTGCTGGGCGGCCGCTGTCAACGGTGACTGGCTCTCAGCGGGCACCGACGAATCATCAGGCACGGCCTTCTCAACAGCAGGGGTCTCTGCGTTGGCCTTCTTTTCCTCGCCGTTGTTCTCCGCTTCTCCGGCGCCTGGTGCGCTCCGGGTCTGCTCCGGCCCAGGCGCCTCGTCTCCTGCGTCTTCCATTGTCGTGTCTTCATCCTGAGGTTTCGGGGATGGTTGGCGAGATATGGGCGCCTGGGGAGCAGCTTGCTCTCCTGGCCCATCATGCGCCAACTCCATTGCATCTGATGCCGCCTCCGTCCTAGACGGCAGCTCAGCAGCCGGGGGCGAAGCCCGCGCCTCAGTCACTGGCTCTGGAGCTTCCGTCATCTTCGTGTCGGCGGTGATGTCCATGTCATCATCGGGAAGCGAGGATGCCACAGGTGTAGCCATGCCACTTTCCGGCCCCGAATCGGCAACATCCAGGTTCCGATAGTTGACCTGGTTTCTCCGCTTGAGTGACTGGGGCTTGCGGTGCACCCCGTTGGCGGCATTCTCATCCTCGTCCTCACTATCACTAAGCTCGCCGGGCTTCTCAATGTACTGGTCAAACCGGCGCTTCGTGTAGCGCTTGTCCTTGTTCTCGTCTTCGTCCAAATCGTCCAGGATCGCGTCTGCTTCGTCATCCATACCATCCACAAGTGACTCCCGCGGTACGTCAGTCATTTGCACAGATGGCGCAAATGCAGTACGCTTCAAGTTTTCCACTACTTGCGTCCGGATCTTGTCAAGATATTCTTTCGTGTTGGCGTTGTCCATGTTCGAGGGCCGCACATCCAGTTCGTAGTCCGGAGCAAAGTACTATGCTTGTTAGCTATGTAATAGAAGATCTGCATTGTCAAACTAACCTCGTAGTAGTCGTTGTAAGGAAGCTCCGCCGTCAGATTGTCTCCCACAAGGATACCGGTCTCGAATGCCCAGGTTCGAGCCACGTTACGCATTGTGTAACCACCACCTCCCAGAATTAGAGTTGGCAGGTTGAAGCTTTTGATGAAGTTGACACAATTGGCGTGACCGCGCATACTAAGGTTGAAGCATCCCAAACGATCACCGGAGAGACTGTCACCACCGCACTGCAACACCACAGCTTCAGGCCGGTACCATTCCATCACACTCTTGATAACGGGCTCGAAAATGCTCTTGTAAGAGGTGTCGTCGATGCCGTCGCGAAGGGGGAAGTTGACAGCGTAATGCTTGCCCTGGCCCACGCCGATATCGCGGAGCTCACCGGTCCCCGGGAAGTATTCACCATACTTGTGGAACGAGACCGTCATGACACGATCAGTGGTATAGAACGCCTCTTCAACACCGTCTCCATGATGGACATCGATATCCACGTAGAGAACCCGCTGCTTGAAGCGTAGCAGCTCCAGAATACCAAGAACAATGTCTACCAGCCGGTTAGCAAACGTCGTTATCTGCCTCCGGTTTCTCCGTGGACTTACCATTCACATAACAGAATCCACTGGCTTCACTCTTCTTGGCGTGGTGGAGACCGCCAGCCCAGTTGACCGCAATGTCGCATTTGTTCCGGTTCAATCGGGCCGCACCCTCCATGCTACCTCCTGCGCTGATACCACAGAATTCGAAAAGTCCGTCGAATACTGGGCAATCATCACCGACGTTGTACTTGCTTTGCTCTTTGGCGAAAGAGTCCATGTTGTCTGGGGTGACCTTGGAAAGGAAGTCGATATATTCATCGGTGTGGAACTGGGTCATTTCGTACTTGGAGGCCGGCTTCGCACGCTGTGGCGATTTTGCGATTAGCACAATCCTTCGAACAGGAGAGTGTCATATAAACTCACGTAGATCTCCATTTTCTTATAGAGACCATAATTCATGACCAAACTGTGCGTCATCCTTATGCGATGGGGCTTCATCGGGTGCCCCGACACATAGGCATAGTTGCCCACGTCCGAATCGTAGAAGTAGGCGACCTTCTTACCGCGATCCGCCGATCCATTGGTAATGGGGTCCAAGGGAGGCAAGGAAGTCGACATTTTGGAGGTCAACGTGTAAGTACACGAGACGGATCCTCACAGAATTGGAAGTTGGGATTCTATGAACAGCGCGGTGTTTTCTCGGTCTCTTCACGGAACTGGATAAAAGTAAGAAAACTCCGGGTGGGGTTCAGGCCAAGGCAGAAGCCAAGTCTGAGTGAGCAAAATGAATCCCCTCGTCAGTCAATCAAGCGAGTTGATTGTGGCAGGGAGAGTAAGATAAGTGAGAGGCATTCCCCATAAGGCGGGCGAACGATAAATGATGGGGGAACAAGAGAGGGAAAGGAAGGGGAGACGCAAAGGCGGGAACCCCGAGCTGCTCCACCGCCTTCGTCAGGCTTCTTGGAAGCTCGACCGATGGCTTCATGCTGAGTTGCGCCGCTCATCACTCATCTTCCCGTCAACTCCGTGCTGCTCACTCTTGCTTACTTGGCCCTCTAGCTCTCAACACCGATCATTCATATCTTGTGATATATCCGCATCTCTCTGCAGTCTCAATTTTCTTCAATCCATCCGACTCTTTCCTATTGGAGCTTCCGCCCAGGAAGTCATCCGCTGTTGCTTTTCCATCTAACTTCCCTTACTTCACATCGCCTCATCAATCATGGATCGTCTCAATAGAATGCTCCAGGCGGCCCAGGGCATGGGCATGGGCGGAGGAGCTCCCGGTGGTGTGAGTTCCTCAGCTTGAATTGCTTTGCTGTTTCCCAGGCCGTCATATGCCGTCCCCCGCGAGGTTGCGGCATTACCAATTTCGCTTGCAGAGGTACTCCACGGTGATATTGATAGCTGACTCTGAATGCTCTAGGATACCCCCAACCTGATTGATAACTCCGAAACCGTTCACATCTCGTCGCTCGCCCTCTTGAAGATGTTAAGGCATGGTCGGGCAGGTGTTCCTATGGAAGTCATGGGCCTCATGCTTGGTGAATTCGTTGATGAATACACGGTTCGGGTGGTAGATGTCTTTGCTATGCCTCAGAGCGGTACGGGTGTCAGTGTCGAAGCTGTGGACCCTGTCTTCCAGACTAAGATGATGGACATGCTGCGGCAAACCGGACGGTAAGCCAGGCTCGAATCCGCACGGCTACAACCTTACTGACTACGCGTCGTCCACAGGCCCGAAACCGTCGTTGGCTGGTACCACTCCCACCCTGGTTTCGGATGCTGGCTTTCGTCCGTCGATATCAACACGCAACAATCATTCGAGCAGCTTACCCCCCGTGCCGTGGCCGTTGTCGTTGACCCGATCCAGTCCGTCAAGGGCAAGGTCGTTATCGATGCGTTCCGTCTCATTCAACCGCAGACTGTCGTCATGGGCCAGGAGCCCCGTCAGACCACATCCAACCTCGGTCATTTGAATAAGCCTTCCATCCAGGCTCTGATCCACGGCCTAAACAGACACTACTACAGCATTGCGATCAACTACCGCAAGACGGGTCTGGAGGAGAACATGCTCATGAATCTGCACAAGCACGTTTGGACGGAAGCACTGCAGATGAAGGACTTCCATGACGAGGGTGAACATAATGTCGAGCGCATGAAGCAGCTCGTAAGTCTGGCTGAAGGCTATGAGAAGCGGGTTAAGGAAGAGACGGAGTTGAGCAAAGACCAACTGAAGACGAGATATGTCGGAAAGGTCGACCCCAAGAAGCGTAAGCATGCCCTTCACATTCCTGTGTTGTGTGAGACTAACATGGTAATACAGACATTGAGGACGTCAGTCAGCAGCTGATCGAGGACAATATTGTCGCTGTCTCCCGGCAGATGATCGACAAGGAGGCATCTGTGGCTCGGCAATCCAACGGAAACGAGTCTCAGAGTGGCGCTGGCATGGACGTGGACGAGGAGCTCTGAACATGTATCGAGTTTTGATCGACGTATAACACCTGTCTCCTAATGCATACCAGAGGTGAAAGCACTTTTTTTTTCTTCTTCCTAGGCAGGCTTCATGGGCGGAGAAGGGTTATCTAGTCCTTAGACTTGGCAGTACCTAGCAACGAATCATGTTAACATTTCAATTTGGGTCTTTATAGATGCTAGGGATTGGACTCTGCAGAAGCACTTTCGATTCATAAACCATGAACATCGCTAATCAATCTAAGCTGAATCTAATCTATGATGCAAAGAATGCCGGCATGTGCTAGGCTCCATCCCTCAGTAACACACCCTCGTCTTCCGACCGTGTGCATATATCGTATAAAATACAAGTGTGTATGTGTATGTGCGTATAGAATCGTCTCTCATATCACGAATCCGCGACCGTAATAGTCTCCGGTCTGAGCGTCTCCGGTACAAAGCCCGCAGGCATCATCGACCTCAGGCGAGCGAGTTGCTGTGCGCGGTGTTCCTCGGCCTTGGCCTCCTGCGCCTTGAGACCGTATGCGTCCTCGTCAAACTCCTCCCCGTCATAATCCGTCCAACCGCGCTCAGGGCCCCAGGCAATCTTCTTGTGGGCTGAGCGGGCCTCATGCAGCAGACGTTTCATCAGACCCCCGCTCTTGCGAACGGACGGCCAGGCATCAAACTCGACGTACTCGAGATTCGGCAGCCTCTTCAGCACCTCATGCAGAATATTCCCAGAGAAGTTTGTATAGAAGTCACGGGAGATGCGGAACCCCTCGAAGACCGGGTGCGAGGGGTCGACCTCGAGGAACACCTTGAGCGTGCGGATGCGGACCATCTCCTCCAGCCCCAGTGACGAGTTGACGCGCCACGAGATCGGAGGGTCGGTCCAGCTCGACCCCAGGATCAGCTCGATGGTGGCAATGGAGGGCCGGTACTGCGGCGCGATCGCCCGCACCGTCGGCATCTTCGAGTAGTCCTGCAGGTGGAACAGGCGGAACACCTGCGTCGAGTAGAAGTAGTCGGCGGCTTCGTTGTGCATGCGCCGCGAGGCCAGGAACAGCGCGATCCGGTGCGAAGCCGGCGCCAGCGGCGGGTTTTTCTTCGAGGAGGCGCCCACGCTGCCCGCCGCGCGCAGCGTCCGCCGCCGCCGCGGCGTGAAGAGCACGTAGTGGTAGACGCGCAGGCGGATCTCCGAGGGGAGGTCGAAGAAGCGAAAGGGCTCGATGGGCGCCTTGCCTTTCTTGCGCTGCGGGCGGAGGTTCTTCGAGGCTTTGGGGTTGCCGCCGCCGCCGCCGCTAAGGTTCAGTCTCTCCAGGTCTTTGGTGAGGGACGAGGTCATCTTTGCTTGCTTGTGCTGGAAATTCGATAGGGAATAGGAATAGTATATAGCTTGACTTCCTCTTCTTCTATAGAGCGTGTGGCCAACAACCAAAAAGAAGGTAATTATACGGCAGATACGAATAAAAGTGGCAAGAATTATCTTTTATCAAGGGATAACAGGCTTTTGGTCATCCATCGTCACATTAAACGGCTGGAATCACAGCAGAGAATGAAGCGTGTTCTATGACAACATGACCACCGGGAGATGAAAGCGGATGCAAGTTGATCGAAGAAGAGGGCGCTTGACAACTACAACTTAGCCGAGGAGGCGAAAAATCGAATTGTATCCCACTAACGGGGCTGCAGCTGCAGAGGAGACCTTTGCTGCGGCTCTTGGGTGTGGGATTGAAGCAAAACTTCCTTGGTCTCCCCAGCTAATACAACCCGGCATGCATAAAAGAGGCTTGAAGGGTCAAATTTGTGGACTGGGTTTCAACTTTCATTTGGTTAAAGAAGAAAAAGAAAAGTATCATCAAGGGGAAGAATGCGGAGGATTTTATATGAGATCCGGAACTGCACTCCGGGGATATGTCGCCTCCCGGACAGTGCAAAGTCCGTCCGTGCCTTGAACTTTTTTTTGCAAGTGACGGAAGAGAAAGAAAGAAGCAAGACGCAGCAGCTCTTCTTCTCCGCCCGCCGACCTCTGCCGATTTTCCCCCATCTCGACATCTTGACCCTTCCATCTATTCTTCTCTCCCACTCAAGGCTACCGTGTGCTGTGTGTGCTTCCACGGCGCATGTGTAAATTGTTTATTCCTATCAATTCCATAAATCTCCTCCTTTCTCCGTTTCCCCCATCTCCCATTTCATAATGCTTAGCCGTGCCGTACTGCCTCTGACGAGGCCTAACGTCCTCGCATCGACCGTCCGTGCTTCCACCATCACCGTTCCTCACTCGCGCTGGTATGCGAAGAACAGTAAATCAAAACCTGCCTACAAGCTTCCCAACTCCATTAAGGCCACACAGCCCAAGAAGCCTGCCGAGGCACCCAAGCAAGAAGACAAGCCCGCAGACTATGCGGCCGAGCAAGTCGAATTTGATACCAAGGCCGACCCGCAGAGCAATGCCTCTTCCGAACAGACCCCGGTGAGTTGTGCTGTTCCTCACTGATATTCATTCCATTATTCTGACTTGTGAGATTGTTTAGCCTGAATCACATGCCCCCGCTTCCGAAGAAAAGGAACTCCCTCGCCAGCCCCTCCCCGATCTCACCCAGGGTATCCCCTCCACCCTTGCGGCTGAGCTGGAAGCTCGCCAGACCGGCCGTCCTTCGACCACTCTGAATCTCACCGAGGATCCCTCCCGCGCCGAAGACTACGCTGAAGATGAGGGTCGCGGCGACCGATCCAAAGACCACTACACTTCCTCCCTCGACCGCAAGCGCGCCCGCATGGCTAATCTGTTCTCCGCCCTGTTCTTGATGGCCGGTGCCGGTGGAGTAGCCTACCTGGGCCGCAACTGGGAAAACGAGTTGGAAGAGCAGGCTCACCCCGAGACTCCGTCTGGCTGGGGATTTGGTCTGTGGTATAACCGCGCCAAGGCCCGTCTCAGTGACATCACCAGCTACTACAAGGACCCGGCCTTCCCCAAGTTGCTGCCGGATGAGGATCCCAACATGCGCCAGCCCTACACACTGGTACTGAGTCTGGAGGACCTGCTGGTACACAGCGAGTGGAGCCGTGAACATGGCTGGCGGGTGGCCAAGCGGCCCGGTGTGGACTACTTCCTTCGGTATCTGAACCAGTACTATGAGCTCGTCTTGTTCACCAGTGTGCCCAGCATGATGGCCGACCAGGTGCTCCGTAAGCTCGACCCTTACCGGATCATCCGCTGGCCCCTGTTCAGAGAGGCCACCAGATACAAGGACGGCGAATACATCAAGGTATGAGGCAATTGACTCGATTTAAACCTGGTTTTGTTCCCCTCACTAAACAACTTCCAATAGGATCTGTCTTACCTGAACCGTGACCTCTCCAAGGTTATCCTCATCGACACCAAGGAGGAGCACGCCCGCTTGCAACCCGAGAACGCCATCGTTCTCGACAAGTGGCGCGGCGACCCCAAGGACAAGACCTTGGTCGCTCTGATTCCCTTCCTGGAATATCTCGCCGGTATGGGTGTCGAGGATGTGCGCCCCGTTCTCAAGTCTTTCGAGGGTACCTCTATCCCTGTGGAATTCGCCAAGCGCGAAAAGGCCATGCGCGAGCGCTTCGAGCAAGAACTTGCCGAGGAGCAGAAGCGCCGCCCCCGCAGGGGTCTGGGCAGCTTCGCCTCGGCTCTGGGCCTGAAGTCCAACCGGACTCTGGACGGCGAGCAAAGCCCCTCGGAGGGTCTGGCCCAGGGTAAGATGCTCTGGGATCAGATCCGCGAGCGCGGACAGAAGAACTACGAGATGATCGAGAAGGAGATCCGCGAGAACGGCGAGAAGTGGCTGGCCGAGATGGCCGCCGAGGAGGAGAAGGCCCGTCAGGAACAGATGGCCATGATGAAGGGCTCCTTGACCGGCATGTTCGGTGCTGGTGACAAGAAGCAGTAAAAGGCATGACTTCAAAAATCGATTCGCTGCTCTTGCTTTGTGTTTCTTGATCGAATGAGCATCAGCACCCCATCATGATGTGCGTCAGGTATGGGCGCTCGTTCTGATCTGAGCGCCACCAAACAAAGGCCTCTGCCCCAGTCTCTCTCCGCTTTTCTCCTTCCCTCTCTCTTACTGTCGTTATGTGTCACGTATACCTGGGGTACATTGTTCTCGGGGCCGGGGTTTTCTTTCATTTTTCTCTCAAGAAGCAGGGGTTTTTTTTCCGTGATCACGGGATAATTGTAAAATAGGAAGCATTTTCTTGTGTTGTCTTGTCCATTCAAGGGGTAGGGTTATGTATAAACTGGAAATAAATTCTAATCATGTACTGGCTTCGAGTATTATAAGCACTGCATTAAGCCTTGGGTTTCTATACAGGCGCTGGTGGTTCAATTCTCTTGGTGCTCGTTTACTAATGGGTGGTGGGTGCGCGCGGTATATATTCCACAACCACACATCCAGCAACGACCATCAGACTCAGTTTTCAAAGCGCGTCTCCCACGAGGTACTAAACAATATCGATCATTGGGCGGAAAAGAAATGTATGTATTCCCTTTTATGACTATAGTATAAGAGAAACCAGAATCGCAACCGATTTTCCCAAACAAACACGGCCTCAATTGGGGTATATTTGCAAAACCAAACAAAAAGCCTCCCTCCCCTCCTGCCCTTCTTCTCGCTCACTTCGACTCTTATGTTGAAAGATCTTCAAATCAAGTGGTGTGGTGTGATGCTTTCCATGCTCCAGTTGAATGAGCAGGATAACAGAGACAGAAAATGAAACGAAGATTCTAGATATTAAGATATGCGATTAATGCCATGCAGTGCTGTCCGCCCTGCCCCGCTCATAAACCGGCCTCCCCCCCCTCCCGCTTCTTCGCCCCCCCACCGCTGCCTCCCTCTCGATAACGCTTGACCGTCACGGAACATATCCCAGGAGGGAATTCAGGATAGGTTCACGTCCTGAAAGACCGAGACGTCCCAGATACCGGTCATATCGAAGGGAAACCCGTCCATCGTGCCGAACGTCCCGGAGATGGACATCATGTCGTCGACGATGTCGTTGTTGGTCTGCGTCTCGGGGAGGGAGATGGCGGCCGGGTTGACGAGGCGCGTGGAGGCGCCGCCGGGGCCGCCGGGGCCACCGTGAGTATCACCCAAACCGCCGGGACCATAGGCACTCGTTCCGTCTGAATTGGTGGCGCCGGGGTTGCTGCCGGGTAGGCGGCTGAGGAGCCGCTCGCAGTGATCGAGGCACATGTCGGCGACGTCCCAGTCCTCATCTTCGCGGACGCGGCGCAGGATGGCGCGGAAGGTCTCGACATTGGTGAGGCAGGAGCGGGCGACTTCGCTGTCGGTGGTTTCGAGGGCACAGCGGACGAGGAGGGTGGCGGTTGTGGTAAGGTGGAAGGCGCTGTCTGTATCTTTTGTCAACAAACTTTTTTTTTTTTTCCTCGCATCGGGAGGAAAGATGCTGAGGTGGCTTGTAATGTATGGGCACTCACATGGAAGCCAGAATTCTTGGAAATTCTCCTTACGAAGTGATGAGATGAATTGCACTATTTCCTCGGCTGACTTGCGGCATTCGGTCTGGAAATATCGGCGTGCCTCTGGGTTTTCTGTCTCCGAGTTGTTGACCTCCTATGGGTTTTTGGTTAAAACTGCTTACGCAAAAGACTCCTGAGCGGAGGGACGGATATTGCTCACATTCAGTTCCACCCGGCTCACCAGCATCTTCACAGCCAAAAATGCTAGTTGAAGACTGCTTGTTCCCGATATGCGTCCCTCCGAGGTTCGCGGAGGGTTCCTCAGCCAGTCCGGAAGCGAGTCCTCCCAAACGTCGAGATCCGTCCGGATTTGCCTCACTTTCTTGGTGGTTTCGCGCGGAAATCGGTGCTGCAGACCGTAGACTAACGGCAGCAACTCCCCCAGAATTTCAGTTAATTGACAGAGAGCAATATGACAATGCGCGGCCCTCACGCGCTCAGGAGTACGCGATGCTGGTGGTATGAGTACATCGATTGTCGGAAGAGGCACATCGTACTGGTTCTTGGCGATCTGCGGTGGTACACCATGTCCGAAGCTCCCCCTGGAATTATGTCAGTGACCAAGTCGATTCTCATAGCTTCAATACCTACCAGCGATCATGAATTACGACACCCCACCATAAGCGGATGCGGTGATTTTTCTCAGCCGGTGATAGCTTCCAATGACTAGGGTCGCGATTGAGTCCGAGACAGTGTGCGAGGGAGACCATACGACCACTACTGATCGCATTGCCGGTCATGGAGAAGATTGGGCGCCCTGTTAGGTCGATGAGAGCCGCGCTTATGGTGGACAAACCGGGGGCCGAGAACTCTTCGTGTAAAGCAGCCACTGTCATGTTGACCGCGTATCGAACATCTGGTTTGGGATGGCAAGCCAGCTTGGGCGTATGCTTCCAATACACCAAAGACATCGAATAGACCTGGCACAAGAGAGAGGCCGGCGGGTCACCGGGAGTTTCAGAAATAAAGGCTTCCCAGAAGCTCTCTCCATCGAAGATAGGGAACGCGGCGTTGAACCTGTCAATGAAACTGTGGTTGGAAATTAGTATATCACTGCGGTCCGAACCTAGACGAACGAGAAGCATACAGTCTAACGAGGTCGTGCTTGAAGGGCCCCAATATTTGCTCCAGAATTTCCTTCTGATTCTCGCCTGGCGGAATCCCAACGCGCATCCCTTGCCTTCGCCTTGAGACAGTTGTGTATAGAATGGGTTTCCGTGGATCGCTCGAGTAGACATTATACGTGTTGTTCTTCGGTTCTACGGACTTGCTGGTCCGCTCGGTGGGCATGTACTTCTCAATCACTTGGGCATCGTCGGCCACCACGGGCCCGACTATGAGAACTGACTCATTATGAGGATCGTCAAATCTGGACTCGCTTCCGCGATGGCCACCGATCGAATCTGTCTGGGGAACACTGGATGCCCGTGGGCGGCTGACGCTGGCTGGCGAGCTGACTTCTGAGCTGCGCTTGCGCTTCTGGCCAATAGTGGAAACTTGCGCCGGGTCTGCGGACCATCTTTTTGTGTCATGTCCGTTTGACAGTGGAGCGTCCTGGCTGGATTCTTCCTGGTAATGGCAATCGGCGCCCTGCACGCGACACAGCAGGCACGACTGCCCGGGTATATCCACCGTACACCGAGACTTGCGCTTCCTGCACAAATCACATGCCCTGACCTTATGTGACCTGTATGGTCGGGCTCCGGCATTGAATCCCGGAGAGGCGAGCTTCTGAGTGGAGCTGCTGCTTGCAGCTGTCGTGGACGACATGATGAGTCTCAACGGAATGCGGCCTTATCGGTGAATTTTAGGAGTTTCATCAATTGATCAAGAGCCAATTGCGTGTGGCGCGAATTGAGCCGGTCGTGGTAGAGGGCGAGACTAGACCGTCGAGTGCGAAGCGTGTGTGGTGGAGGGATCGGATCTAGGCCAGCCACAGATGATCGGGAGATAGGCCAGTAAGTTCCCGGCTAGATGATTCTGAGAGTGAGAGGGGAAAGCATTGGACCGGGAGGAGCTATTCGCGAGGCTGCGCCAAGTACTGCATGGTCACTGAGCGCTCACAAAGAAGTAGGCATTGCGATGAGCGATAGTTTTCACTTGAGGGGTCGTGATCGGAACATTCAGCGCGAAATGATTCCCTTGCGTTTTCTCCAAAGCCGATAAAATCTTCCTTCTTATCGGCTGCGGCTGCGGCGAGTTGTGGGGAAAAAAATGGATGAGTCAGCGACTTAAGCCAACCACGTGCTCCTAAATCGGAGGCCGTATTCATGTCGGGAGACTAAGCCTAACTGGGACTGGACAGAGCTCCCCCGCCCGCCTGAGTCTGTCCTCAGGCATCCGTTCTACTTCCTCCCCGCCTGGCGCGTGCGACCCTCACTCAGCCTGGCCAAAGTCACTACTTATTACTAGTAAGTACTTACTCCCAGTAGTCAGCTACAGCTGGGTAGTTATTGATTCGCTACACCATGCACTGATGCAGCCAGCGCATGGATTCTGTTGTCCCTTCCGTTATCTCATGCCTCTTTAGAGCTTAGTCTGATTGACTTTCGTCAACTGAAACCAGGCCCGGCGATCACCGTTGCATTGGTCTGCGTTTGGGAGAGACACAGCCACCGGGGTCGCTAGTTGGCGCTTACCGTGCTTTCCACTCCCACCCACCCCCCGCCAAAAGAGCGCCAAATCCTGCCTTTGGAATCCTGCTTCTGAAATCCTGTTAACTTTTCCCCTATATCCCTTTCCGTCATGATGCTGGATGGATACAATTGCTTTTAGAACTGTGTCTGCATTTGTGTTCAGCAAATGTAGACACTCATGGGTTGGTCCTCGTTGATCATGGATGAGGAGGTTCAATTACCTTTGGCTGAGCGGCTCGAAGGGCCCCATCATGATGATGCGCAGCATCCAACACCACCAACAGCATGCTTGACCAAGCTGCAACGCGGTCCGATCACAGACGAGAAAGAGCTCGCAGGCGAGCAGCGTTCTTCCCCTTTTGCGCGTCTACCTCGCACAGTCATCGAGCAGTAAGTATTGCCTTCTAGCTGCCGCGCTGGTTAGACGCCTGTCTCTTTCAGCTCTCTTATCTGCCGTGCGCGGTTTATATGCGGTTCGCTCTTAACAAGTCACATAGTATACTCTTCGTTGCGGATGCTAACACATTCGCGTCGCTCGCCTTACTGAATCGCAAATGGAGACGGATCTCTGACTCGACTGTGCTCTATTCTCACCATCTGACTCAATGCCCGTCTTTTTCTCTAACTCAGAAGGCCGTTGCCGAGCCATGTCGGCCATGCGATTTGTCACACCTCAAACAACTGTTTTGCACCCAAATCAGACGCAATGCCTTCGAGACCTTTTTGCGACCTCGCAGGACTTTGATCAAGCTGATATCGACCTCAATGAGCTCGTCGACTGCCTTTCCGCAGGGTGAAGCTTTCAGGTTCTCTTTCTCCCCCAATGGCCAACTGATTTTGTGCATCAGTTCTTCTAGAATCGTGGTTCTTGACGTCACTTCAAACTCGGCTTCAGTGAAGCATGAACTCAAAACCTGGAGGCGTCCACTACATGCTGCGATTGCAGACGATGGCTCTCTGCTGGCCGTGGTTTCTTCCAGCCATCGCGTCAATATTTACAGTCTTTGTAGTGAGGAAGCAAGGCTGGTCCAAGATCTCACATTGAACGATGTTCCTCGAACGCTAGCACTATCCCCCACGGGAGGTGTGCTTGCTATTGCGTACGATGATAGCATTGAAGTACATGCTATCGGAGAAGGGGTGCTAGCTACTGAAAGACGAGCAGTCCGCTGCTCTGGCGTCGACGCTGTCTCTTTCTCTTCAGATGGAGCCATGCTTCTCGGCACCTCCGCCGATCCCCAAAATAGCGGTTTGGTCACGATATCCGTCCCGTTCTACGCCGAATCAGAGCCTGAACTTTCGCTCAGAGATGTTCAGAGACGGATGTGGACGACCCAAATCCTCTTCCCAGATGTCACCACGGGGTTCAGTCGCGCATGTATGCTCCCTCTCCACTCCGAGGGCGAGGGTAGTTGGATCTTGGGTTTTGACGAACAAATCAATTCACTTCGAGCATTTGGAGCCAATAATACTGGTTCAGGCACAATTTACTTTGTGACGCCGATGTCCGATGACGGATTAAGAGAATCCCCTCCCATCATGCTACCTACTGTTGATGCGATGGGGGAACTGGTTGCGGCTGGCTTCGAAGAGTCCGGCCTTTGGGTTTATGGCATACCTGATCGACTGGATATAGCTCCTGTTGCAACAAGCGCACGACCAACCGTGGACTCAGATGTGAATTTAAATACCTGGGCGCATGAAGGCGCGCTAGTTGGCGAAGACTGCTCAACCCGACTAGAGCGGTCCCTCACCAAACCGAAAGTACTCATCAAGGGCCACAAAGTAAGTGATATGCCCGGTATGACTGCAGCCCATTGGGTAGAATGCCCAGGGATGGCCGCAGAACACAGGCGCTTGGTGGCCGTCGCGCCAGGCGGCATAAGTCCCCCAACAATTGGCGAGGAAGATGTGCCTGTTGATGGTGGACGAGTCCTTTTGCTGGACTTTGCACGGTCGGCAAGCGATGGCAATCACCTTGAGATCAGTATTGAGGTCGGCGATGCCGAACCGAAAATGCTTAGCGAGCCAGACTCGAGTCTGGCGACAGAGGTGGAACTAGAACGGAGAAGGACTCGCATACACCGTGCCAACGCCACTTTGCCGCGAGCAAGAGCATTTGCGCGAGAGTCATATCCGTCGGCCAGTTCTGTCTACCACTCGTCTCGGCCGAACATCCGCCGCAACAGCTCCTTCTTCTCAAGTTCGTCGAATGGGGACGCATATCATATTCCTGAGTCTCCGTATGACAATACACAACCGCGGTCAAGAGATACCCTGCGTCGCGCTGCAACCGCAGTGGCTCATACTAGGGAACGACATAACCCTCAGCCTCGCAATGCGCAGCGTCTCTCCCAGACCCCGAGACCAGTTCCTCAGGCTTTCCAGGTTCCTCATGAAAGCGACGCTGACAACTGGGTGCCGCCGCCTCCACCCTATTCTCGCGTGCCAGATGCACCCCTACCCGAGTATCTGCGAACAACCTTGCTACCTTCCAGAACAGAGCCCATCACTCGGGTTGGTGAACCTCCCGCCGATGTTCGACGCTCGCAAACCAGCCGTCTCGAGAGTATGGCCGAGGAAGCGCCCTCTCGGGGTTCGCTGCAAAGGTTGAACAGTATTGCCGGTGTTAGGCTAGCCTCCCGCTTGATGCGGAACAGCATCCGGGAGCCCGACTCTCTCGAACGAGTACGAAGACCGACCTCGATTATGCGCAGGAGAAAAAGTTCCGCCACCGGCGCTCCGCCGAACCTTGAAAGCCAAGCACCGCTAGTAGCCCCCCTTCAAGAAGCGGTCGAACACCAGAGACAACCTCAACTGGAGAGCATAACCGACTACTCAGTGCAGCCTAGCCGATCTGTGCCGCTGCTCTCTACTGACCCGTCTGTACCCCAATCAAATCCTCAAGTCGACTATGGTAATTTCTCGCTCGAGCAACCTCTTATGCATGCCCGAATCGACACTCCGGAGTCCATACCCGTTACGCCGGAAGTCGGCAACAACCGCCGATATTCCATCTCCTCCCCGAACCTCCGAGTCTCATCGGTTCCACAGTACGATGCGCCCGAAGTCTTCCAAGGCAGTCAGCGTCGTCCCAGTCATCCCTACCGTATGGTCGACCGCCGGTTTCAATCCCAAGAAGTCCGATCACCGGTAGGAGACGTGATCCAGCCCCTCCACCACCGGGCTTCGACTGACCCCACGCTATCGGCAAGCTCCCAAGCGGCTGCACATGACCTGTGGCGGCGACGCATTGAGGAGTGGAATGAACAAACCATTTACGAGAGGAGTAAACGGCGAAGCAAATGTATTGTGATGTAGGATGGAGATTTTTTACCTTTTTTTTTTTTTTGTGGGGGGGGGTTTTGTTTCATAACAGATCTGATCTCGGGTTTGTGTTATTGGTCTCAAGATCTGGAGTATATGTTGATTGGACCAGGAACATATTTTGGATTGTAGAGCGATGGCGTGGTGTGGTTTGTTCTAGAGTTGGAATTTCTACAGTACAGTACCGATGCAATGGCTGGATTGACCCGTTATACTGACAGCCTGTACTCTGTAAACCGTGTATGACGGTGGCTAGTAATATTCACAAATTGAGATGAGAACAAGAGATGCTAGTTACAGAAATGGACTAACCCGCCAGTCCAGTTAACAACCACCCCCACCACAACCACCAGTACCGCCCCCTCCACC